CAACGCCAAAAATGAACGGAAAATTGCTATAACATCGTTGTTAATTTTGCTGTTTCTAATATCATCACTTGTACCTTATTTTATAACAGTTATTCTGGAGGCAAACTGTCTCGCTTGTCGTGAACAAAAGTGGCTATTTGTACTCAAAGAATCATCAGTCGTGTTCTTGTTTTTCAACTCTTTTGTCAATCCTTGTTTAACAACCTTTCGTGTTAACCAACTGAAAGAGTCTGTCAAAGTAGTGTGTTTCCACCGACGCTAAAACTATAGGGTTTGCCAGCTATTAAGTTTGTGTTGTGGGTGTTTCAAAGGCAATGTTCATTTATAGCGTCCTTCAGATGTTAAAAAAAAACGAAAACGGAAAAACAAAGAAATTCATTACACATTCGTGAAAGCACAAACGAAAGCGAGGGTCAACCCCTTACCGTAGAACGGCATGGTAATTTAGCCGTTAGGCATAAAAACCGACAAATTTTAACCGTGAGTCATAACAAACCTAACCGTTATTTTTTTTTCCTTAAATCGCAACAAAAAATAATTTCAGCTGTAGAATTGCCAAAAATTAAATCGTTAACCGTCAACCCATTGAAACTCCTCAACTAGAGTGAGTCCAGCAAATTTAAGATTGCCACTAATTGATAATTTAGATTAAGTGGTGAGATTTTGGATCCATAATGATATTTATCTAAAAACCTGTTAGATGATAGTGTTCTAATCATTTTTAGCCTATTCATTTCCAAGGACAATTACACAGTAATGGAGAAGGGTAGCTGCGTAATTGCATTTCTTGAGTCGCAATAAGACAGTTTCTCTCCCTTGACTCAAAATGCCACTCGCCGTAGAGAATTGCGACGCTGTGTGGTTACTGAACATTTGTGATATTAGACTCGCTTTTAATTTTCTTCCTTTAGGTTCAGAAAAGACGCTGAATCTATGTCATGATTTTTAAGTCCACGAACTTGAGGCCTTTTGGTTTATTCATTTGGTAAACAATTCACTAATCCGCAAGCAGGTTTTACAAAAAATTTAATGAACGCTTTAAATCTTGCGATGTTGAGCTCTTGGTAGTATACTCCTTATATTTTTATTAAAACTATGTGCAAAATATTGCATCGACCAACGTTTTTATTAGACAGGCTGAATATAGTAATCATTCCAGCTTTTATTATATTTGACTGCTCACCACAAATGATTAGGTTAGAGTGTGTTAAGCTGATAATTAAGTCTCCAAAACAGGCGCTAAGAAAGAAATTGGACGTATTTTCAACCACACATAGACGAATGGCAAGGATTGAAATATTTCCCATCAACACCATGCTCTCATCTTCAAGTACACAAGATGCCTTCAAAGACACTGCCTTTTCAATAAACAGGACCAATGTCACATTATTATAATAATGCCAACTAGATCCCTTTACCTTAAATGGTGGAACATTTGAAAGCGAGGTCAGGCGTCGGAGGGTGAATCAGTCGTCTCCAACAGATGGGGACCACTTGAATACCACAGAGTCTTATAAGGGATCGGGAAAATGGTATTTTGATAAATAGTGTGGGTCTCAAGGTGATAGACTGACAGAAAGAAATTATATTCGACAATTTTTTTCCTCGACGTCGTCTGGGGAATTATTCGTTAAAAATGAATAATTCTCAAATAGTTTGTAATTGGATTGTCAGAGAAGTATCGCTTTCTTTCGTTACGTTTGATTTTCCCTAGAAATACGAAGAAACCGCGTTGTCATCATTTTAAACAATTTTTGCTTCTTTAGTATTGAAATTACCTTGCACTGAATGATTATAGTAATATATAACGTCATCCATAAGCACCTACGTAAGTAAAAGCATATTGAGGATATTCTCAGGTGATATAGGTCTCCCGGGACACGGATGACGAAAATTTCCATCAGTCTATCTAACTTCTCGCTGGGTACTTTTCCAGTGTTTCATTCCATGCAGAATTTCAGGTTTATACTCCTTAGTTAATTTCAGCAAAACCTCAGCCTGAATTCCATTCAAACGTAGCATGTGGCCTTATTTACAAACAAGTTGTGCGTGAGCGAGCTAATAGGGTAATGATATCAAATCAAAAAATCGGAACTGCGAACAGGTGACATGCTCCTGTCATATACCATATTAAGTTGTGCATAGAACAGTCGGGGTGGAGGATTGGCGTAAAGGGCCTTAAACAGACAGGACGACAACGCAGAAGAGTTAACTTAATTCTCTAAAGACGAAATAAATTCATAACTTTCTAATGAATTTCTCAAATGGAATAATGGGTTTGGCGTCCCTACAATGGTGCCATTTGTCGACAACCCTAATGCAGCCTCAACAAAGCATTTGTAAGCAGCGATGAATTAAAAAAAAAAAAAGAGTATTTCGTCCTCGGGTTCCGTTCTCAGACCGCGAAAAATTTGGTGATTCCACCTTGCTGGTTTGCAAAGGACGGTAAAGGAATGTAAAAGACCATAAAACGCACGCGCACAGCTATTGTCTTGCCCATTAAAAGGTTTTGGTTTCCCTCGTTTTCACTGCCGTCGCCGTCGTGGTTTGCTTAAGGTCACTGCTGGCGAATAAAGGACTCTATTTGCTTTGAGCCTGGTGTGTGGTATAGCGTGCTTAGGAGTTCTGTTCATAGCACTGTTGGTGGTTTATTCGACCATAGAAACGAAACTTGCTGTAGTTGGAATCCACAAGGTTGACTAAGGTTCTATTTTTGCAACTTGAGAGGAATCCTTTGTTTAGCTTGTTCATAGGCTCTTTAGAGCAGTGTAGTGTTAAGCCAGTTAAACGGAGGCTGTATTCCTCTTTGTTTTCTGTTGGACAGAACTTCCAAAACTGCTTACATCTTCTTGTCTTTGCACGCGGATGACAATTCTTAAGGAATGTTTCAACTCGTTGATTCGAAATGTTGTCAATAACGGGTTCACAGTTGAATTTAGAAATAAGAATACCACTGAAGATTCTCTCAGCACAATAAGCCATTTCTTACCGCGACAACCAGAACAGTTCGCCTCAACAAGAATTGATGCAAAGTATGGAATTATGGAGATAATTAGGAAAAGCAGAATTAAGAAGGAAGTCGTGACAAATTTCCTTTCTCTTTTAACGCGCGTTATCGCTCGCATGTCACCAAGATGAGCATTTGTCGAATTGGCCTCCCGTCTTTGAAAATCGACTCGAGCGCGTTTCCGCAAAACAAAGAATATTCCTAAATAAGACAAACTTGTCGTGATAAGAGGAAATGTCGTGTGCAGATGTATATCTATGGAAATATACACATCAATTGGAATCCCAGCAAGTTGGAGGCAGGCAAATATCGCAGAAAAAATAACGATGATTGAGTTGCATAAGACAAGTGTCTTTGGTTTAACCGTGTTTAGATAAAAGTGTGGGCAAACGACCGACACAAGTCGATCCACGGACATAGCAGTGACCATAAGGATTGAACTGTTGATTCCAATGTATCCTAAAATTGTGGGAATGTCACCTTCGCCAGGAAACTGTTTTCCACGGAAAGAACACAAAAATCGCGTTATGGCTTCTCCAGTGCAAACTACACTCCCCACAAAGAGATCTGTCGCGGTTATGAACGCTAGAAACACTGTGAAAGTTTTTCTGAAGCAGCGAAGAGGATTTCTGTATAGAGTTACTAAGATCATTGCATTGGGAATTGAAATCATAAATATCAGCGCCGCAAATATAATTCCTGTTCCAAGGCAGAGAGATTTCTCAAACGTGCGCTCCATCGTAAGTGAAAATGTGTTCAGAATTTAAGACTGAATCCCGAAACGATCCGAAAAATTGTATCGACAGAGTTTGTTTCTCCATCAACCAATTTCCTCAAGTAAACACTACGTTTGAAATTAAAGACAAGAAATTGTGTTTGTTTTGTTAATTGCAGACTATTTGCTTTCCTGACGTAAAAAAAAAAAACGAAGAGCATCATCTCACCTGTCAATGCGTTTACTAATTAGGAAACAAAAGGCAGCGCTTTCAGAGACGTAGCTTTCGCCAAAAGCAAACAATACAAATAATTGCGGGAAAAATTATAAAAATATTTCAAGTCTCTAATTTTGCTTTTAGTTTTCTCAATTATCACGAAGGCTTTTGATGACTTTCCAAGTCCTAATTTGCAAAATAATCATCACGCACACCAAGTGCTTAAAAGCACACAAAAACTGAAATATTGAGAGGATGAGTCAATGCAACATTTCCTTGTTTTCGTTCTCTCTGTTCCCTTAATGCTACGTGACGCGAACTAACGACGGACGCAAACACCACTTGTTTACTCTTGATATACAACACAAAGGTTCCTACGTAGTTTAAAGTAAATATATATTTAATATATATTCATCTTTTGTCGATGTAAATTGAGGATATTTCCTTCCATTTTGGTGAAAAAATTTTCATTACCCTCGTTATTTTTTTATAATTCCTTTCTTTTTTCGTTTCGGTGGGTGACAAATGATACAACTTAGGGATAAAACACAACAAAAAACAGAAAATGCTGTACCTTGTAAGAAACTTTATTGATTCAAATAAAACCTCGCCGTGTGCCTCCGTTATTTATTTGCCGAGCGATTTATAAATATTTTATTAATTATTTAAACTGCAACCACTTGGAGGCGCGAGTTTTCTACCACTGCATCTATTTCCAAGAGATCTCCATCATTTCATCAGATATTCTTAGATATATAAAAAAAAAAGCTATCGTACGAAAGCGTCTCATTTATGCAAAGACCCGCAGCAAAAGGTATGTGGTTCAATATTCCTAAGATCAATCTAAAGTAAAAATTCCACTTTTCAGCTTTCATTATACTTGCTACAAGTTGGCTGAATTTTCTCTAAATATCAAGGCAGATAGTATCATTGTTACGAATTCTTTTTGATCTGCTGCATATCTACAATTTTCTTTCTTTTTCTTTTTTTTGGCAAATGCATCCTAACTAGCGAGATAAAAATTGGGACGTTAAGAAACTAAACAAAAAACCCAAAAAAAACATACTATATCTATAAGAAAATCAAACATCGCCATATTCCAAACGAATGAAAATGGAGACGAACTGTTGAGTGTTCCTATTTACTCTCTAGTCGGGAATTTTGATTGTGCACTCGTGGAAAACTGAAATGGTAACAAATAAGTGAAAAAATCTTTTTGCGGAAAATTCCTTGATATATTGCTTCGCAGAGGCTCTTTCAACGTCAACTCCGTTGTATTTTCTTGACTATTGACCTTTACAAATATGATTTGCCATCCGCGTATTTAATTGTTATCCATTTTCTTGTAACTTGAACAGATCTGTCTATCACTAAGCATGTCTACAAGGTAACGAATTGAGATCTTGACACATATATCAATTCTGAGAAGTACACTGCAAAAACCCGTCTGCAACATCAAAATCACGATCTTCAAAGAGAAGTTACAGATCAGTGATTAACAAGAAAACCCATGTGCAATCAATTCTTTACTTAGATTTTACGTAAATTACGAGCTTTGCCCCACAATATAAATTACTTCTAGGACATTCTACCTAATTCTATGCTCCGTTGCGCAGTGCTAAAACTGTGTTAGCGACATGGTTTTTCCAGCTATATAGCGCTAAATAACACAGCGCAAAAGTGTTCTACCAAAGCCTCTTAACTTTGCTAATGAAATGCACATCGATAACGTTTTTTGACATGCGGAATCTTTTACTTTGAAATATGTGAACTTTCACTTAAGCATGGAGCACAAGTAATCGCTAATAATTTATGACTGTATTTGGTTTTAGATTCAGCGAAATAGCTCGCTATTAATTTTCGTATGTAAACTGTGTATTTATATTAGTTGTATCCTATTCACTTCTTGAATTTATAAAAGTAATATTTAACTATAGATAATTTTTCATAACTTTCAATTATCTTATTCAAATTCTCATCCGGGGGAGCCATCATTCTTCGACAGTTATATTTTCATTGCCATCTCAACCAAGTTGCAGTGTTAACGATTTAAAACACTTAAACCATCCAAAATCTCCAATTTATATGCTTTGCATTCTTTTAAGAATGGAGCCGTATATCTCTATCTTGTTATCATATCGCATCGACCAAATCTGAAACACTGCAACAAGTTTTTTTTCGCGACTCGACAAAAATTTGTGCAGAAAAATGCTATTGCCTCCACGAGCGAACAAACCAGAAGTCGGTGCGTAATCGTCACTCAAGATTGTGGCATTAAATAGAAGCCACGTTTTCGTTCTGAGTCACTTTCCTTCGGCTAAACTCCTCGTGAGTCCCTGGACACTAGGCTACATTGACCTATAAGTTCCTTAAGCTCCTTCTTACACGAGGTACTGGGATGAACCAGTAGCCAAAAGAGCTATCGATGGTTTGTATGTTACTTGTAAGTGCTTTGCATCACGTGTCTTTCCTTATATAGCCATTCATCGAGCCGTTCATGTGTCGTTTCTTAGCTTCGAAAACAGTTGATTCTGCGTCGCTATCATCCCCGGTGTCACTCAGCATCAGACTGGTACTTAAATATTTACCTGAAATAAGAACATCGAATCGAACAAAAATTTCGTTAAAAAAGAAAACAATTAAATAAAATAAAGGGAAAAGTGAATAAATAAACCGAAAGGAAATGAAGTCTTAATTTTATCTTCGCGATCGCAAATATTCCGCAGACCAATCATTGGTATGGGCGGGAAAGAAGGCGGCCGAATGTGTACAACCAGGGCCAAAATTGGGAAAACTTTAGGCCTGAAAACTTTAGGCGGGAAAACTTTGGGCGTGAAAACTTTGGGCGTGAAAACTTTGGGCGTGAAAACTTTGGGCGTGAAAACTTTGGGCGTGAAAACTTTGAGCGGGAAAACTTTGGGCGGGAAAACTTTTGGCGGGAAGACTTTGAGTGGGAAGACTTTGGGCGGGAGAAAGGGCAGGAATCGTCGTATTTCGCAGGATTTGTGCTTAAATGGTAACCAGGCTAGAATGCCTTACTAAATGAAGAGCGTTCCTACACAATTTATCTATCTAGCCAACGCCACAAGACCGGCATTATTTACACGAATGCTTGTATTGAATCCGGCACTATTCTATTGTTTTTTGGGTTTTTGTTTTCTTTTATCACTTCTTTTTTATCATGTACGATGTTCCTTTTTATCAAGCCCCAGTTGTTCGAACGTCGCATAACGTTATCCACAGGATAAACCTCTATCCGGCGGATAACGCTCTAAGTTTTGCCATCACTTATCCGCTGGATAACGATTTATCCGTCCGTTATAAAAATGAGCCCAGATCTTTAACCATCCCTTATAAACAAGGACATAACTTATATCCCTCCCTTCGAGAAACCTCCGACACAGCTTATAAATTCCGAGGTGCAACTTCATTAAAATTCAAGCAGCAAGAAAACGAATCTCCAACGTCTCTCACCTCCTTTGGGAAGCATCTCCATGCTCTCGAGTTTATCCTCCTCGTCCTCATCAAGAACGGCGTAACGATGGCGCCTCTTGCCACGGACTCGTCTCCTGTAAAGAATGACGGCGTATCAAAACAGTTTTAACAACCAAGTACCAAAAAACAAAACCTAAATAATCAAAACTACGAATCAGAACAAAGCTTAACATCATCATCAACCAATCAGAACTCAAAGTAAAAACATGCACCTTCCTTGAAGCGCAGGAAAACGCGCGTGACCAAGCTGGGATTGAGTTTAGTTTTGCATTTGATTGGTTGAGATGATGGCGCTAGTTTTCGAGACCGCTGACAGGGCGAAGTGAAGGGTCACTTTCGATATTCCATTGAAAACTGCTCTGATAATAAGGAAAAGTACGTGACAACCACAACAGCCAATCAGAGGAGAGCCAAAATTCACCAGCAGCTGATGTGAGTTAAAATTTAAAACTAGTAAACTGCCTGAAGCGGGGGAAAACGAGAATAACCAAGACCCGTCGACGCCAACTTTCTTAACCAATCACTGAGCGAATATCAAAACTGAAACAATTTTAACGAAGTTAAGCGTTTGACACTCAATTGTGAAGTGGTCTCTAAAATACAAAAGAACAAATGATCGAGCAGGATTGTTACATGTAACAAAGAATATCCATCTTATTCGCACAAATAGCACAATTTCACAACCCGACAAAAAAACACGTAAAACTAGCAGGAAATGGTAAAAAAAAATTGTTAAAACGTAGAGCCTAACAAAGAGTGAAAAACGAAATCGAATGTTGAGTAGTTAGGACAATGAATGAACAAAGAAATAAATACATAATATTGTTAATCTTTCATGGTGTAATAGAATGATTCAGTGAGGAAGTGAGATTCCAAAAAGGAGATAACATGGAAAAAAGCTCGGGAAAAGTGACGGGCGAAGCGATTCAAATCAAACTATGGATTTCTACTGTGTGGTCAAAAAAGAAAAAAAAGAAAAAAGAAAGAAAGAATTCAGCTGAGAAGGATGAATTGTACGTGGAATTAACATTGAAGAATAACACGACAAGAAGAACAACATTTGACAAAAGGATGCACAAGAAGCACAGTCATCCCATAATAATTCAACGACATTGAGGCTTTACTGAGAAAGTCGGGAAAACAGGGGTTAGGCGTGTCGCTTAGTTAACCCTGTACCCGTGAGAATATTTGAAGCATACCTACGATCTGTTGAAGAAGCATCTTCTGTACTCGGAGGATTAACAGAAACTACAACCTTCTTACGACGGATTCTAAATAGAAGAAGAATGGAGAGATAGAGAGGAGAGGAAACCTGTGCAAAGGTGGGTGAAAGTTTCGGACAAAGATTGAAAAAAATTGAATGAGTGGTTCAGGCGATATTCCATTGTATGATAATATGACAGGGTAAAAAGCTGGACAAGAGTCCGGGCCCCTAAACTAAAGGAGTCCTTGACCAATACTGTCTTTCAGACGGGAGGTTCATCGACCTTTGGGGGTGATTGAGAACCGTGTAGAAGCGAAGTAAATTCAGCAATCTGATAGGTGAGAAAGATAAGCGAAAGAACGGTGGGAAAGAATTTGCACACAAAGCAAAGAGGAGGGGAGAATATGACTTATTTCATTATTCATTTACAGTGGACAAAGGGAGGACTCTTACTTCTGTTAACTTACTGTGCAGTGCAAACATTATGTGAGTAATGTGCTTGTTGCTGAAAAGAGAAAGTAAGTTGTACTAACAGCGCCGAGTCGTGAGGAGAATTGATTCGTTTGACGAGCGAAAAGCGGCATTTTCTAGGTTCAATAAAATAAATGTTTCCAACGATTCGATGGAATCTATAAGGAAAATGGTATCTTACTTCATACCAAAAAAAAAAAAAATTCTTGAACAGACGAGTTTTCAGCGACATGAACCAGGCCCTTGTCCTTGTCACGCTTCATCAAACTAGTAACCAACTTATCCTAAGACACCGTGTTAAAATTGTAGCGCGAGATAGGCCCACGGCCTGATATGATCAGAAATACGACGTTGGTCACATATCATGATGTATGACCTGGCTAATCCAAGAGGTCTTTGAAGCTCATTTGGTAAAGTATCCCACCGCGGAAAGTGGAAGATCTGAACTAGAGTCCTCGCCAAAGATTTATATTTTTGTCTTTGTTTCGTTTTCTACTTATCTCCTACGCTGGAGAAAAATGGTAACACCATTCCTCATTCGACGACTGAGCCCAAATTTAGCAATCTTTCTTCATCGTTCTAAGTAAAAGACTCTTTCGACATTGCTGATCCTAGCAGTATAAAGGAAGGCGTGTGTCACATATGAACCAGCATATAGTAATGACCTTACTCACGATAAAGTTTCCTGATGTTCAGAGGTGGAGAATTAAAGAACGGAATCGGATGATCTGAGGTGCAAGTCTTCGAGGAAGACTCACAACTTTTATTTGTCACCGTGGGCACACTCGTCCCAAATGCTTAACATAGTTCTTTACATAAAAATGTCGTACTAACCTTCCCATACAGAAACATATCGCCCACACAATCCCACCGATGGCCATAATGATGCCGAAGATTATGACAGTTACGTATAAAATACTCCAATCTGCAAATAAACCAAACATCATTACTCCTAGACCGAGATAACCTTACAGTCTACTTGCTAAAGTAATTTACTACGAGAACGGTGATGTTGTATTGCTAGCGGGGTTCTTGAAAAGGAAAAAAAAACAAACAAACAAACAAACAAACAAAAAAAAAAAACAAAAAGGCCACAAGCCACCTACCGCAATTGCTTTCTCTAGTTCCAAAGTGCACTTTGAAGAAATCCTGCATCCAAAAACTTTCGCAAACGCACATCTTGGTGCTGCGATCACAGTAACCATGACCTGAACAGTTATTCCTGCAAACTTGAAGTGCAAGGTAATGGTAAAGTCATAACATTAAGGCGCCACAAAGGGAATCACTACTCTCACTAAATGGAATGCTAGTTCGTTTTGACCTACTTGTATCTCTGTTGACGTTGGATAAGATTAATCGCGACTGTGAATGAAAAACTGGAAAGGGAAATTTTGAGTTTGAAATTTCCCCTTAGAATAAATCAAGATACCACTGCTCTCGGCTGCGCCTAAAGCTGCGACCGCTTTGGTCGCCATGCCGAGTAGAAATCGACATAATTTGCAATTGAAGACACTCATTTGGCGGCTCAATGTCGGTTGCCAAGTACCAAGAAGTCACGTAGTATTTTACACAGGTTTTATTATCTGATATTAAAGTGAGGTACACATTCTAGAACAAAATCTCTTATTAGATGTCTTTTTTTGTTTTGTTTTGTTTGCTTTGTTCTGCTTTCTTTTGTTTTGTTTTGTTGTGACTTTAATTATATTTCCAGCGACCAGTGTGGGATTTCAGGTCGCTGGGAGTTAACTTAAAAAACAACAACAACAAACAAACAACAAACATCAAACAAACCAACAAACAAAAATTAATAATGATAATAATAATTATAATAATGATGATAACAATAATAATAATAATAATAATAACAAAAAGAATAATAATTATAATAAAAATAATCATAATCATAGTAATCATCATCATCATCATCATCATCATCCGGTGACCTGACGATCAAATACTTACTATACGGCTCTACTTTCAACATTCTAAACTCGAAGAAGCCTTCCTCGTTCCCAATCTTCTCCTTTAATATTGCAGCCACCTCGTAGCCATCCTTAGCTTTGAGCAATTTATCTTTAACGTAAAACATCACCTTCATACTGTCGAAACAAAGCAAAACAAAATGACAATCGATATTGCATTTTCTCTTCTTGTTACAGTACCTCGAGATTTTATCCCGAAACGATTTCTTTATCCACCAGAAGCTGTATTATTCGCAAGTGTTGTTTGGTTTTATCGGAATGAAAAAAAAAAAAAAAAAAATTAAATAAAATAAAACGGCAAGGAGAGGGGGGGGTGCTCTTTCAATGACAAGACCAAACTAAACCAAACCAAATCAAACCAAAGCCAGCACAACGGCTCCGAGAGAGAACTAGCGAACAAGTAACTTTGGATCTGAATATGACTTCTCCACATATTTCTTTTTGAGTTACTTTTGAGAGTTTTGAACAAGATCAGGGCAGTAACTTCTTAGATTAGATAATGATCCAAAAAAAAAAAAAAACTCAAAACCTCTCTTCTTGAGTATGCACTGATATAATGATGTGAAATAGCATTTTAATAGCTCCTGAAATGAGAAGGCTGGCAGAGTCGTCCATTCAACAATACAAAAATAGCTGAACCCTCTGGTTTGTGTGAATGAAAAAGAGCTATCTTCTTGGCCAGGCAGTATTTTACGTACCTATGTCCGACACCAGCTTCTTTTAAATGCTCCACTATAATATCCTCATCTTGAACGTCAAGGATTACAGCCAGTTTACGAATTAACTGCTCCTGCAGATGTACAAGTTAGGAAAAAAAATAAAAGTTCAAAAAAGAGAACACCAAGCACTTTCGAAAATCTATCCTTTTTCCGAGGTAACAACCCCCCCCCCCCAAAAAAAAAAAAAATTTTTCTTTGAGGGAAGGAGGATGGGGTCACCTAACTGGTCGTTCACACGCTAAGAACCGCTCATCTCGTAAGAAATAAATAAATGAATGGAAAAATGAATAATTAAATAATAAAATATATAAAATTAAAATAGGCAGTACAATGTACCTTATTTTCTTCAGTGAATTTCGTGATGTCGACATCCAGGTACAACTCCACAAGATGAGCACTGTTTTGATCTGCAAGTCAAACAATCAGATTTTCAAACTTCTGTACATGTGCAAACAGCACTCACCACTTAAAGCCAGCCTCTGTATCCTAGTTAGTGCGCATACACCTGTTGTGCACTCTGAACCTTTGACCCCGAAGAGTCAGTAACATCTAATTTCCCGTGAAAAGATAGAGGGGCCGCAGCCAGGATAAAACATCTTATGAAATTTAAAAAAAACGATCTCTGGCTAAAACTTTTAACAATACGAGCGTTCGGCTGTTTGCGCTACAGCCTTCGAAGCCTTTGAAGGTTGTAGCGCAAACAGCCGAAAGCTCGTATTGTTAAAAGTTTTAGCCAGAGATCGTTTTTTTTTTTTAATTCATAATCTAATTTCTCCTCACAATATCACCCTGATTGACGCATTAAGGTCACAAGAAAAAAGGAAACGATCAACTAGGAGGGCTCCTAATTGTTAAACAAATCCTCTCTGTCAGCACCCTTGAAAATGCATTTAAAACAGTATGGAGAATATGCATACTGAAGTTGCGCGGTAAAAGGTTAGCCACCAAGCATTCACGAATTGATTAGGCAACGCACCTTCTTTTACAGTAAGTATGACGTCATCGTTGCCCTTGAGCCCCTTCCCATCAGCCACAGTGAGCTTGAACTTGTATATTCCCTCTACAAGGTTTGACAGCCGCAGTACAGCCTGATGGTCACTGTTGTTGATGACGTCCTGTAATCAAACATAATAAATCGACTCTTTTCTTGCCACGTTTCAACCATGGAAACCAACATATGATGTGGAACGGGAAAGACTGGAAGAAAGGAAATAAGTGCGCAAGTGCAGCAAGCCTTGGGAAGGAAGGCCGGCCATACTGTTCTCCGCCAGGAAACAACGACAGCGGCTACAACACTTTTTGCAGGATTAAGGCTATGCGCGCGAGTTTCAAAACTTTGTATTTCATAGACAAGCATGTTAAGTGAAAAAGTTTGGTTTCCCTTCGAGAGATTTGACATTTGATGGAGACTTTCTGCAAATTTTGCTCTAGAGTTGCAAACGCATTTAAATTGTTGACTAAAACACAAACTGATTTTTCGTAAAAGGAAGTATCGCGACATTTGAAAGAAACTGGCCAGCGTTATGGCTTAAAACTTCATAGCTACATGTATGCAGGTCTCAAATACCGCGTGCACGACCGTTTATACAGGCTTAGTTAACACTTACACCAGCCGCGGGACTTTTAGGATCACGTGACCACTCGTACATAACAATCCCATGATCATCATATGAACTGGATCCATCTAGTTCCGCTGCTCGGTTTGGGAGATGTACCGTGACATCTGGACCAGCATTGGCAATTGGAGGCTTATTTATATCTAAAAAATAAAAAGGCAACTCGGTGTCAACAGAGACAAAACATCCGCAAATATCTGCGGGATAGGGACCACTACCTGACGGAGCTTATATCGGTTAAAAGAGCACGAATAACTCTTTTAAACCCTGAAATCAGTATCCAAGTTCTCCCCACTATTTTTTATACATTTCCTATAGAACGAACAAGGAGAATTTGTCTAGCAATCAAGTGCCTCTAGGAATTTGCGATCTTCTCTTTCATTCTCATGACCTTAATGTTTGATTCTAAGGGGAAAACTGTTGGGAGAAATTAGATGCTTATCATCACTCATAAGGTGTAAAGGGTGATTAGATCAACCACTATTCGTCTTAGGTGGAATGTCAGTCTGCCCTAAACACAAGAAACCTCTAAATCATTTAGCTCTCTTTAACCCTTTACCCTTGGCGTGATTAGCACCTAATTTCTCCTTACATTATCACTGCTGAATCAAACGTTCAGATCATGAGAACACTGGAAATTATTTCCAACTGGAGAAGCTCTTGATTATTACACAAATTCTCCTTGTCATCATCCGAGGAAATGTAGAGAGAATAGCAAGGAGAATTTGATTATTGATATTAGGATGCAAAGGGTTTATAGCTTCCCATAACCAATTTACCGATGTACAAGTTCTTGGTTAGCGAAAATGGGCGAAAAAAGCGGGCGCTCAAACGACTGCGGTTTCCTTGACAACCTCGACCTCCGTGTTCAGTAACCGTGTAGCTTACCCACCCTTGCACTCGTCTTCAACGACGGAGAGCCCGAAACGGATTCATATACATTCCTAGGTGGAGAGCGGTTATGTGTGAGTAATGTTACGCTCAAAACACATGTGAACTCAGCAAACATCGAACCTTCACTGTTTGATCTAACCATACTAAATTAAAAAAAAAATAAATAAAAAACGGTCCCCTTCATCAGACGCTATTCAGCGGATAGATGTGTTGCGCGCAACTGCTGTGTATTGTTTGCCGCTAAGAGTTATCCCACAGCCATTGACACTTGGCACAGCTGCCGGAGTCTAGCAATATCACCAAGTCTGTGCACCAAAAGTTTCAGAAAATTATTTGTACGCAAGGGCACACAGCAACGCACGTGTTTTGGCATAGACACTTTGAGCGTCCCCCGAAAAATATTCCATAGTCCTTTACTCGGTAACTTCCGTTCCCAGGCCATCATTCTTTTTCAAAGTGAGCAATTTGTTACGTAAGTCAATTCCACCGCACGAGATCTTGTTGATTGCCCGCTAAAATATACGATCACGTAACCTATCCACATGACGGAGACCGCAAACTGAGAGCTTAGCGCTAAGAGGAGCAAGCAGCAAGAATCGTTCTTGCCATCCTGTACTTCGTGCCTTGTGCGAACGGCTTCGCTTTCCGATCGCGCCTCGAGAGGAGAATTTCGCTTGTCGACCATTGTCGCGACTGGTGTTTCAACAGACTCGTAACGCTATCACATGAATCACGGGTCCATCGACAAGACTGAGTTGCGCTGCAATTCTACAATTAATTTATCCAGAATTTACCCGAGCAGGCCTTCATTATCAACGCTTCAGCAGGAGCGTTCCTTAGCCTGCGGGAAAGTATGAAGCCTTAAACAACGCGAGTCGGCGAGAGGTCTACAAAAGTCTAGCACTGATAATTACTGCTAGACCCTCGGAAAACTTTCCTCCCAGTACGTCTCAACTAATTCAGCTGGCAGGGAGACGCGCGTCCTGCAACACTTAAAACAAGGACAGCCTTGCAGGCTAAAAATACTATTACATGTACTACACGGTGAAAGTCACTGCTACAACTTAAGAGTCACCTTTCTTAACATTCACTGCCACTGTATCAGTTCCCGTGAGTCCCTTGTCATCTGTCACTGTTAATTTAAACACATAGTGACCTTCTAGAAGTTTCTTAACCGTCACAACTTTGTCATTGACCCCCGACATCTCAGCTTGGCGCGGCCCGCTTCAAAAAACAAAATAAAAACAGAACGAAGTCAATTACAGGATGACTTTTGATTCCATGTTACTGCACCATAAGTTGCAAGAAATTATCTGTTTCACAGGTTGATAAGCACATGTAGGGAATATATGGTGAGCTAATTCAGGCAGAGGGCAAAAACGCCACAAGACTTTTACAGAGATTTTTAAAGTAAGCAGGTCAGAGATATAAGTAGTCATGACAACCGCGCTCGGGTCGACAGTCTAGTTAAAACGGCAACTATCAAACTGAATTTACTCAGTGGAGGGAGAAGGGAGCGAAAAAATTATTCAGAGGTGGCAGAGGAGGCAAAAATGTGGCTTAAACATTGTAACCGCAATGAGATAGAAAGCAAACAACATGCTCATTATGGGAAACCGCAGTTGCCTAGATAGATGTTAATGTATCTTTATCAGGGTTGTATTTCAGGGAGCAGTAAAACATAGATACATTACACACCAGCCGATGGGAGTGGTCATAAGACGACGTACGACGAGAACCGTTTTTTGCCCCATACTCCAACTAAGCAATTCTAACTACGTAAATCTGGATGTCAAATTTGATAGCAGCGTGACAACTGAGAAGCGCTCATTTGTACCAGCTCACCTTGACTGCTCCCAGTGGTAGCTGACAATTTTTTGATCATCATGACTAGATGAGGCATCAAGAACTGTGGAGTCGTCAGGAAACACCAGATCCTAAAAGATAAATAATTGCTTAAGTACTTCATTCACATAAAATGCACACGAATCAACAACTGTCGATAAACAGCAGACGTACTCTTGACAATCAACCCTGTTAGCCCCTTTGGTGACTCAATAGAAAAGAAATTCCTCGCTGTTCCATTGCCATATAGGCACACAGAAAGGTGCAAAGAAATGCAAAAAAATACAATCTACAGTATACATTTAACCCACAACAAACTCTCAGAAACAACACTGATAGATATATATTCCATTCAGTATAAACGAAAGGCTATTTCCATGACTACGTCCTTAGTCTCTCTTTCAAAACGAGGGTGGATGCACAGTCTTCGAAAAGAACTTTTTACTGTAATACTTAATGATTTAACAGTTTTTGGCATTTAGCGTAATTCTGAAACTGATATTCCACGGAACTTAGTATGGCCTACAAAAATAGCGAGCTTTGGAGTAAAATTGTAGTAATATCTGCAACAAGGCAAAAATTACAACAAAACAGAAACGTGAACACAGGGAAACCAAACAAACCTTATCTGACCCGGCGACTGCCACAGGTGGGGCATTCTTCTCAGGTTGAACCACTACTGTCAAGCTTGAGCTAGCAGTCTGTCCCCCAGTATCGGTCACTTTTAACACAAAAGTGTAGTCACCCACAACCATGTTGGACACCTTTAAAGTTGGAGAACTCGTGCCCTGGTGAAAAAAATCACATTGCAATTACATGTACAACCAATCACTGCAATCAAGTGAAAGCATCTGGGAATCTTTGCACAGATTATCATGATTCTGGAAAAGGGACACTGTATTGCAATTGGGTGGAAGAATCTAGAGGCAATGTGTTAGTGACAGATCCTGAATACGAGAATACGATATGGACCTTAGTGCGGAACGATTTGCTACATCCTTATCTCACTGTAAATGATGTGATAAATGGGTGCAAATGTACACTGCAATTTCATTAAATTAATCAGACCAAAACAGTTTTGCATAGGCACTGATTATTTTCCTTTTTTTCTTTTTTTCTTTTTTTCTTTTTTCTTTTTTCCCCTTGTGATTAACCCTTTCCCTCCCAAGATCTGTTTAGTAATTCTCCTTACTATCTCCCATACAATTCTTATGATAATAGTTCAGAGAATTTGGTATTGGATCAACTAACAATCCCATAATTGATATTCTTCTCTATTCTCATCACCTGCCTGCTTGATATTGTATTGATATTGTAAGGAGAAATTCTGTCTTGGTCACTTGTGGGGGTGAAAGGGTTAACTCGTAAACTCCTATAAATGACCAAAACAGAATTTCTCCTTACAATATTAATACAATACCAGACTGAAAAGTAAGTAGAATAAAGAAAAAAATTAAAGTAAAAGATCTTTAGGGGATCCAATACCAAATTTTCCTAAGTGACATCAGAAGACTGGTATGGCAGACAGTAAGGAGAATTTCTTATAGCACTGATCTTAGGAGTGAAAGGGTCTAGGAAATATTCTTGGATTCAGTCACAATCCTCTTTAGAAAAGGAGCATACCACTTAATTTCCCAAACAACAACAGGAAACTGAGCCTTACAATGAGTTTTCATCTTCTTGTTATTTCATAGGATTATAGAGCAAGTTGCCTATAAACATCTAATTTGAGAAGCAAAGTATAGCACTGTACACAAGTAACATACTGCGTATTCATGTTTCTACCTGCATGTCCCCTACAGCTGGACTGGAAGGTGTTTTGCTCCATTCATAACTGACAATACCCTGGGGGGAAAAAAGTTTTTATAGGAATATATAAGTATCATTGCTACCCCTAATCAGCTATCAGGAAAAAAAAATTGGTTTTGAACAGGGCCAGTTGTTCTGTGGTGCTGGCCAGAAGGACAGGATCATGCCTTAGCAGGTAAAATTAAATATGGCTATCCTGTATTTGTTCAAATAAATAATAAATTTAAGTTATCTTCTTTATCTATCATTAAGTACCTTGTCATCTGTGCTTCCATTACCATAAAGAGTCACATGATCCACAGGAAGTACAATCACAACATCATTTCCCGCACGTGCCACAGGTGGGTAATCTTTCTCTGGAATAAAGAGGAAAACACATGATGGTAACTACTCGACAAATAGACTGAAAAATCCATCAGTTAGCTTAAATACACCATAATGACATGACTTGTATCATCTCTAAAGCAACAATGTGCAAACAAAATAAGTGATTTCTTTGAGATGACACAATTCATGAATTCCTTCACTGGCACTGAAATTTCAGAATATGTTTAACTTTTTGGCTACCCGAAGTGATAAAAAAGAACTCTCTCCTCACAATTAAATAATTACAAATACAATTTTTAAAAACCAGAGAGCTGATATCAAGAAAGAATATATATTAACAAGTGGGATATCACTTGATTTAACAAAACATTCTAAGAGCTACAGTAAAAGTTGATGAGATAGAAGGTAGACAGTAGAGAGAGTTGATAACTAGATCTTAGAAGTAACATGGTTGTGTATGCATGAATAAGTGGGACTTACCATCATTAACAGTCACTGTGGCTGTGGTGGAATCTGATTCACCATCTGAGTCAGTCACAGTCAACCTGCAACAACATTAAACATTTACAAGAGTTCAGGGAGACACAGTGGCCTTCACCTGAAGGGGAGTCGTAACCATTATAATTATTCTAATGATGAGTTCCACTTAGGTTTTAAAAATGTCAGTCACTACTACAGACAACACTTTTACTCCAGATTACTCTTCCACAGACCATCCGACATTGCAATCAAAATAAAGTACAGTTATTGTAGAGTGCTAATGGCCAAAAAGAATACTCTTAAGTTTGTAATTTGTGCACATAACTATTCAGCTAACTCAACAATATCAGTATCAGTGTGAATATTCTCCACACTCGTTTGGATAAATGTCTTAAGGTGCCAACCAAATAAATTTAGAATAAGAAAGATGAGAAATAATAAAAAAAAAAAGATGGGGATTTAGAATTTTTTCTTTGTCCAATGCCCATGACAAGACGAAAAATGTCTTTCACCAGGAAGAATTTGTTTGACAATCAAGTGCTTCTTTGGTTGCTGATCATTTCCTTTATTCTCATAACTGTAATGAGTGGTTCAGGGATAACATCGTAGGGAGAAATTATATGTTAGTCACTCTTGGGTGTCATAGGGCTACTAATGGTTTGAGTAACAGCTGACTGTGTTGCCATATCTCCAATGGCATCACTCACTCTCTAAGGCAACAACTTAATATGTTGTATGCAGAACTAGTCTCAAATGGATGAACAGATGACAATATAGGATGTGATATACTTAACAGACAGTGATCAAAGAAAAAAAACAAACAAAAACTAGCGAACAGTTGCACAGATCCACCAAAAGACCTACTTGAATGTGTAGATTCCAGGAACAAGAGACTTGAGCTGAAGTACAGGAGAGTCTGCTCCTGAGCTCATCTTTTTGTTCTTATCATTTAGAGGACCTTTCACTTCTTCCCATTTGTATTGAGTGATTTTTTCGTCATCTGAACTCTCTGCACAAATAGAAAAAAGATGTTAAAGTACCACAGCACTCAGCTACACGTACACTCACCACTTGCTTGCTGGAACATAACACTCACTTCTGTAATGTTTTACAACTTCATGACAGCATCCCTGGTATTAAACCCCAACATACACATACAGTACCTAACTTTGTCTGAGACAAAATGATGAACCACAAAAAAAAAACAAACAAAAAAAAAAAATTCTTTAACCCTGAACTCCATAGATCTAATTGTTAATCCTCCCATCTAACTGCTACACATTTCCTGGTCAATTAGAGAATTTGGTGTTATATCAACATAACAACTTCTAGCTGAATACTTTGAAGTATTCTCATGACCTGTTTCCTGTCTAATGTAGCATGGAAATTACAGGGAGAAGTTACATGTTAATCACCTCTGGGAGTTGAGGGATTGAAGAAAAATCACAACTGTAGCATGAACTAAGCACATCATCAGCCACAACAAAGCTAACGTGACCAATGCAACAGTTTCAAGTGATCATGTATAAAAGCTCTTTATGGACAATTTTATCAATTATGTCCACTGTGCAACTCCATATATTAACTTTACATTTGTTTACTTAATAATTTTGAAGAAAACTATCCTCAACTTACTTGATCCATCAAGTACAACCTCATTGGTTGGCAAGGTAATTGTTTGTTCCTTAGGGGAGATGTCGGCACGTGGTGGCTTATTCACTCGAGGAGCTAAACAAGTACACGCACAAAATGAACAAGAAAGAGAATCAGAGCATATTTCAACCCTGTGTCAAAAAGACCATTCACAGCAGGGAAAACTAGGAAAAGAGTCCAGTGAAAATTCAACTCAGGACAAACTGGCAGAAGTGTGGAGAAATGACCATGACCAAGTTGTGACTGGTTTCAAATTACCATCTGATAGGTTAACAAGGACATTTGTAGTCATAGAGGGAAGCAAAGTACACTGTAATCCTTAAGAGTGACCACCATCTAATTTCTCCTTACAATATCACCCCTGAATAAACCATGATGATAACGAGAATAAAGGAAATGATTGCCAATTTAAGAAGCTCCTGATTGTCAAACAAATTCTCCTTGTCATCACCATGAAAAATGTAGAGAGAACAGTATGGAGAATATGAAAGTTCATGTGAGGGTGTAAGGGATTAATTCAGTACTGCTCTTATTGATATCTTTAATAGAATACTGGTATTATCAATTTCAGAGACACAAATCGTTTTTTTATGCTCATTTCAATCACCCATTTAACCCCTTACAATTTTGCAAACATCAGCATAGATAAAATTAGTCTCAATACTGCTCTCTGTACATTCCTTTCGACTAAAAAGAAGAATCAAGAGCTTATTTAAAATTAATGGTGATCATTTCAGATTTTCTTGCAACCTTAATGTTTAATTCTTGGATAATATTGTAAGGAGAAATTAGATGCTGATCACTCAAGGGTGAAAGGATTGTGAGTACCACATGGATCACTCATGGAACAAAAAAATTTCCCTTTCCTCTATGTTCAGAAATTAACAATTAATATGTGTACTTTATTTATTAGTATAATGACATTAGACACAACTCACCAGGCAAAACTGTGACATTAATAAATGCATATCCATAAGATTGGTCCACAGCTGTAACTTTCACTTTGAATTTATACACACCAGATTGATCAAGCTGTTTTCAGAAATAATAATCATCATTCGTCATCATCATCATTTATTTGCCATTTTTAACAGTTAACTAGAAACTATATATATATATATATATAATTGTTTTTTTTAAACAGCATTGTAATCATTAGGCAAAGAGACCCCAAGAGACCACCTGGCTTATACATGTAGAAGAGGACATCATTCTTACTGACAACAATAATTAAATTTAAAAATAAGTGCTGCAAATGTGCAGCTTGGCCAATTTAGTGATTGTTTGAGAGGAAACTCTTGCACTTTGGTCTTAAAGCTAAGAAGACTTATGAAAAAGTGACTGATACAGGAAGAGAGTTCAAATTTTTAGGACCTTGATAAAGAATTGTTAATTGCTTGAGATTAATTTTGACTAACACAACTGCCTTCAATAATTATTGGCTATTCTAGTGCCATAAAGGAGCTTTTAGTGAAGCAAAAGAATACAGTGTACATTTTCATTTTGTAATTGTGAGTGAAGGCTCTCCAGAAGATCTTGATGCTCACAGAGGATGTTTCTTCACATTCAAAACTTTTAATCCATGTGTAAGTGCATTTTGATTCTTGCTATTTTTAGATGTAAATCCTAATAAACACAAGACAGGAGTAGAATGAAGTGTAAATGTATGTCCATGACTGTGTATACCTGACTGAGTATTACTCTTCTGGAGTCCTGCCCCTCCATGTAACCATGACTACCTTCAGGGGCTGAGATCTGTTGCCAATGGTATGAGTATGGATTTTCTAACAATCAGAATAACAGGATAATGAAATTTAAGACATGACTGCATGGTAATGTTTAAAAATTAAGCAATAGACTGACGTCTCTATCAGCTTACCAGCCTAATAACCTGCTTGGGATCTGGGTAGAACACAACCAATGTTTTCAAATCACTTGCCTCCAATTCATGATTAGTAAATCTTTTCATGTGTTCTCCCAAAATTCCAAGAGGGATATGATACATGCACATAAATAGAAAGTGAAGTCTATTGCTTCTATAAAACAAAATTAAAATGGTTCAATTTTCTATGCCTTTGCCAGTGCAACAAACAATACTGTACATTTAAATCAGGGTGCCTGTAGTAACAATATATCAGCTCTTTTGCAAGTGACTGATGGTCAGTTATTCTACAGGGATTCTGTTCATCTGAATCTGGTAATTATACATGTAATTTTCCCAAAAAATTATTTTTAACTCTTAACACAATTTAGAGCTCCACACTGAATTTTACCACAAACAATAAAATTTTAAGTTTCAATGAAATTTAAGACATGACTGCATGGTAATGTTTAAAAATTAACACAATTTAGAGCTCCACACTGAATTTTACCACAAACAATTAAATTTTAAGTTTCAAGCCTTACAGTATCTCTTTTTTTTTGATCATGAAAAAAAAAAAACAAATAAATAAAAAAAAAAAAATGAAGGTTTTGTCATAACTCGAGGAGGATGGATTGATCAAAGTGGCAATTGGTTCAGTAGACTTAGCAATAGTTACCTGAAGTCTCCTTTGGCCATGCACTGGCGTACAAGCTTACTGTGTTCACTGGAAGTGTTAGTACTTTGTTGTCACCCGCAGAAACTTCAAGGGATTTGTGTGGCACTGAGGACAGAGTGAATCATTATTAGAGAAGCATGTAACACTCAACAGTTTGGTTTACACCAGAAGAAAGGTTACATTGTACATGTATGTGTTTGCAGATTACATGCAAATAGAATTCTACCACAGTAATTAAAACCAGCATAGTTTTCTAAAGGTACATGTATATACAGTGTAAATTCGCTGCAGTAATTTTTCCTTGAGCTCATTACCCCTTTAACTCCCTGAAGTGATAAGATACAACTTCTCCAAGATAACCAAACATTATCCAGCAAACAGGTAATGGAATAACCAGCTTATCAGGTACAGTGTTGAAGTTGTTAACTTGACCTACTATCTCACTAAATTCTTGCAACCAATTTAGAAGGAAATGTGTAGCAGCTAGAGAGGAGAAACAATCAGATCTTAAAGGTTAACAAGTGCTACCCCAACAAGTCTATGAGAAGAGAAGGTATACCACAGAACATGAACAAAATCACCCCTCAACTTGGAGCAGAGGCCCATAGAAATAATACTTCGATTGAAACCAGAAACATGCCGACTTTTATTTTATAATCTTACATTGATATATTTTTTCTCTCACTCATGACTTCATACCTATTTTGTTGTTAGTTGTAGAGTAAATTGTTTTCAATCACAAACTGATTTTTGTAAGGTGTAAAGCAAGCATGAAGCTCACTTTAAGTTGAGAATGCACTATATGAATTAATGCTCACCTTCAGGAGATGGCTTTGCTGATGGTCCTGTAGTTGTTGTATCTGTAATTATTACAAAGAAAAGAGTAATTCATTTATAACTCAGCATGTACTGGTAGCTGAGTGGAAGACAGCCATGTGAAAACTTAATAGCACAAAAATTTCCTTGTTTCCCCACTTCAAAACATCAGCATCAGGAAACTCAACTCAACAATGATCCACTGTCGAGAGTCAAGTATCAAGGATTGAGTTAAAAGAGATTGTCAACTTACTTTTGAGTGAAGGGGGTAAGTTTCTAAAGAAACTGTGGTGCTGCGTCGGTGGGAGAGTATAGCAGGTTAATTTCGTGTTAACAAGTGAGTTGAAAACGTAAATTGGCCACCATAAAGGCTAAAAAAAGCTGACGTTTTGAGTGTTAGACGTTTGTCAATCACTCTGACGAGGGGCTGATGCTCAAAATGTCAGCTTTTTTACCCTTAACAGTGGCCAATTTACATTTGAGTGGTACTACATGTATACCATACCATAATCTCAAAGCTAAAATAATAAGAACTGTTTGACAAAGTTTGATCATGAAATCTGATCATCCAGGTGAAATTGGACCCAAGAACAACATTTCAAAACTCTAATGAAGACTTGCTTTTAAGTCAGTAACACCAACAACAGTCCTTTTCAGGTCTTCTCTCACCTGGACAATCTGACTTCACAGTCAAATGATACCCCAGGTTCAAACTATTTACTTTATTTAGATATTGGGTGTGAAGGGTAGCAGAGGAGGGGGAAGGGAATCAGTGCATATGTAAGTTTTCTTACCAAGGTTTGTGTCAGACTGGTTGGTGAGGACAGGTTCTGAAACAAGAAAATTAAAAAATCATTGGTTTTATAAAAGCATTAAATGTTAAGAATCCATCATTTTTGTTCTAAGTAGAAACTTGAAGAAACTTAAAAAACATAGCTACAAGTTTGCCATGAAGTTGTACACTGTTTCCATGCATTTACATATACATGTAACTTGTTTAACAAACAATAATTCAAGCTCACTGTAGATTATGGTTATCCTTACTTAGAGTTACTGCAGGGGGAGTTGCAGAAGATGAATTTTCACTACTTTGTGCAAGGTTTACTTCTGTGGTGTTAGTGATGTTGACAACAGTTGGCTCAGTCATTGGATTCTGAAGCATGGAGGAAGTTGACAATGTGGAATTTAATGGCAGAGAAGCAGTTACAACCTGAAGTAAAATGTTCAAGGATCAGATTAATATTAATATAAAATACTGTGCAACTGAAAAAGAGAAAAAAAAAGAAAAAGAAAAAAGAACCATACAACAAGTCTACTTGATAAATCATTGATGGATTTACTTGAAAAAAAATGTATTATCATGGCAGAGGGGCAGTTGCAACCTGAAGTAAAAATTTTCAAGCATCAGATTAATATCGCTGTAAAATAAACACTGAACAATCACAGGCTAAAGAGAAAAAAGAACTTAATTAATCATTAATGGATTTACTTGACAAAATGTATTATCATTAGAGACTGACAAATGGAGAAAACAAACTACATGTAAGAAGAAAACCAATGAGAGGAAAATAAACAAGTAAATGGACAAAGAAACAAAATAGGATGATGAAAAAGTGATAAAAATAAGCAGCAAGTATTAATTAAAAAAAAAAAAAAAAAAAATGTGTCTTGTGATAATGGTCTTATGCCAACATTTGCAGCGAAGGTTGCCACTTTGACAAACTATGCTCCAGACTGAAATATATTCATTTTACAATTAAGCCTGCTAAAAACGTTGAGCTTACATTCTTAGCAAAGAGTCTTTCACATATTTTACATCTATCATTACTTGACCCTCTAACTCCCAAGATCTCATTATTAATTCTCCTTCCTGTCTGCCATACAGTTCTTATGACATAAATTTGGAGAATTTGGGATTGGATCAACTTGTAATCCCCTAATTGATATTTTTCTTTATTCTTATCACTTGTATGCTTGATATTGAATTGATATTGTAAGGAGAAATGCTGTCTTGGTCATTCATGGGAGTTAAAGGGTTAACATTGATTTAAATTTAGCTAAAACAAAACATTCTTCAACTTTTTCCACATAATGAGATACAATTACACATACATGTATTCTGTTCATTATACTGTAGCAGAACATCTACAATTTTCAAGCCTTTGACCTGATTTAAATAAAATTGGTTACCAGAAGTGCAATTGGCACTTAACAAAAATGTACCAACACATACTTTTTGGACATTGTTTGCTTCACCCTGATTAGGCACTGATGGTACATCTTGAGGGGTTATGTCCTTCAAAGCAGAAGACAGTCGACTTTGCTGCGCATTAGAATTCCTATCTCCTGACACCACCTGAGAAAAGTTTCCATTATTCCCACATCCTCTCCCAATATCACTGCCTCTGTGGATGGCATGACTGCTCCAATAGATGGCTTTGTTACTGCCATGTCAGCGTTAGAATGTCTTTTGGATGAAGGATGGCGCTGTGCTGTGTAATGTGGGATAGGTGCAGCAGTGGTTGCTTGGGTTTCATGATCATCAGTGTCCTTATCGTCATCATCATCATCATCATGGGTTACCAATGCTTTGAGGTCTTTTGAATTGTCAGCATCCAAAGAATTGGCCTGATCCTGTTTATTTGATTCTGTAAATACAAAGGGAGCTTCGTCAAACCCCATTCTAATCAAGTCTGGTTTAACTTAACCTAAATTTAGTCTTAAAGCTGGTTTAGTGTACTAAACTTACAGTAACCCTTTAACTCTTAAGATCTCAGTAATTCTCCTCACTGTCTGCCATACAGATCTTGTCTTGTTAGTTTTGAGATTTTGGTATTTGATCAACTTTTAACCCCCCACTACTCATATTTTTCTCTATCCTCATCACTTGTTTGCCTGATATTATACTAATATTGTAAGGAGAAATTCTCTCTTGGTCACTCATGGGAGTTTACTGAGTATCAACTGAATTGGAGAATTATTAGACACAGTGCATTGGATGAAATTAACGACTGCACAAATTACTGTACTTGCATGTAAATAAAACCAAAACATGTGTTTGGAAAATCATAATTATTTTAGTGCTCTAAACTTGACCCGTTTTGGTCAGCTGTGACTCGCAAAAAAATGGCGATGTAACTTTACGGTGCACAGCACCAATTTGACAACCAGTGCTAGTCAAAATCTATATGGCCAAAAACCAGTGACATGTTCAGCAACTGTGGAATATTGCATGAATATTTTTTTCCAAGCAATTTAGTTGTAAATGGCAAATTAAAAAAAAACAAAAAAAAAAAAGGTGAGCTTGGTGCCCTGTGTCAGCTTGTCACTGTTTGGGGTCTGAGGGGTGAAAACATTGTAACACCAGTGTTGATACATGTACATGTACATGTACATCTACCTTACCTTTAATGCCAAGCTTTACACAACCCTCTGCCTCTTTGGTTCCCTTCTCAGGCAAAATACTACAGTTGGGCAAAATAACAGCCAAGTAATCAAACTGCCTTGCAACTCTAAAATCTGATTTGCATACACCACTCTGCAGTTCCTCGCAGTCTTCTCTGCACAGTCTGACTGGTTTTGGTTTGTTAGAACTTGAACAGTATGGGTAAGTTGTGAGGCAAATTGCTTTCAGTGCATATTTTGCACAGTCTTTAAGTAATCGTGGCTTTAGAAGACTAAAAGGACTTCTGAGGCTCTCTTCCAATATCTTGGGATTCTTGTTTAAGTACAATAGTTTGTTTTTATCTAAGTATTCATTGCAGACATGACCATGGTAGTGGTGACAACTTGCTTGTCTGAAATAAAAAAAAAAGAAAATTAATCAGAAAAAAATTAACAATTTGTAGCAAGCATGCAGTGGCATCAATACACTGCAATGAAGACAGGCGCAATATTTTGTTGAAAGGCTGCTGAATTTAAAAGTGTTCTGTGGCAGATTTTGTCGCAAGTAGCCGGCTTTCAAGGCAGGTGCTTTCTTTTCACCATTTGCTTGATCAAGTGAGACGAGTCTACACCGAAAGTCATGAATTATTTATCGCAAGAGAAGAATACACTGAGTTTCGTAATTTGCTGCAGGCTAGAAATTACCAGGAAGCAAGATCGTTGTTACTATGCAAACAAGAAGGGTTTCTAAGCCCTTCAAAAACGTTTTTTCAGAGTGTGAATCTCATGCAGCAGCTACCGGAGGATGTTTTTGCAAAGTGTTTAGTTCCAGAAGCCAAACTACTATGTCCATTAAAAGGGACTCTACTCTGAGTTTCTGTTCTTGTACTATCTGGCAACTGCATTTTTGTATTTGGCAACCACTTTTTCTTTGATAGTCACCAAAAGGCTACTTGGAATTTTTTTTAATTCCGAGCCCTGATGTAAATTAAATTTCTCCCTAAAGCATTATTGCTGTATCAAACATTATGGTCATGAGAATAAAGGAAATGATTAATAAGTTTTAGGCTCTGTTAAGTAATGGAGAAAGATGTTCTTTCATCTCGTCAAGAGTGTGGGACAAAAAAAAAAATTTCGAATCCCCATGAGGAGTCAATCTTCAGACCTTCAGATTTCATGCTCTGATGCTGAATTCTTTACCATCCCTTTTATTCTATAATTACAAACATGACCTTATTGACACTACTGATTCTAACAGTATGAAGAACACGTGTGAACTTTAAGATGAGCCTCTCTCATCATTGAGTCTCTTGGCTCAGAGAGAGCATCAGGGCATGGAATCTGAAGGTCTGAGGTTTGATTCCTCATGGGGACACAGACTTTTTACTTTGTCCCACACTTGTGATAAGATGAAAAACATATTTTTCTATCATAAGAATTGTATGACAGACAGTAAGGAGAATTACTAATAAGCCTAGGAAGTGCTTACTGGTGTTAGGATATAAAGGGTTATGTGTCCGCACGAACACCAAGAGAAGAAGCCCACTCAAATGTTGAGCTAAGAGCCACTTTACAATTAACTACTAGATTAAAAACTCTCATACAACATTAGTCTCATCTCAGATTATTAGTGACACTAGCCCTCATTATTATTGTTACAAATTAAATTCATCTACTAAAAAGCTAATACTGAAAAAACACATGTACCTTTTTTCTCTAATAAGTTCCTTGTTTGGATCAGACTTCAGCGCATTTGTACTAGAAACAAAAGCAGCACAATTTTAAAGAAATTGAAACTAATTATAGAATACATAAACTACTTTTCTCAATATAATGTTAAGCATAGTAATCAAATCTCAATCAAAAATTGTCACTACACAAACCTTTCCAGCTGCCTCTTCTTATCAAATTTGGCTGACAAGTAACATGTGAAAGAAATTGAGAACAGAGTGAATACCTCTTTTTGTCTTTACAATGTCCATGTTATTTGATAAATGAATAAAGGGGTAAGTTTCTAAAGAAACTGTGGTGCTGCGTCGGTGGGAGAGTATAACAGGTAATTTAGTGTTAACAACTGGGTTGAAAACGTAAATTAGGCTAAAAGGGTAGAAAAGCTGACATTTCAAGTGTTAGCCCTTCGTCAGAGCTAACGCTCGAAACGTCACCTTTTTTTCCCTTCACGATGGCTAATTTACATTTTCAACCCAGTTGTTAACACTAAATTACATGTTATTTGATAGTTCACATCTATACAACTTGAAACTTTTTATTTAAAAAAAAAAACTGTTTGGACACTCCACTTTCCTGCACAAGAATTTTTCACTGGGCATACTCCCAATCTCGACATTTCTTACACAAATCATGAACACAGCAGTAGCTTTGATTGCAAAAGCAATATGTTCAAGAGCAGAAGAGCATTATCTGATCCATAAGTCAGGACCAAGCCATTTTTGAGTAAAAACAATTGGAAAGAGAATGCATTTTGCTCATCTTGTAATGAGCATGATCCAGAAATACATTTTGTTCCAAACTCATAAAGATGAGTAAGTTCCTTATCCAAGGTCAATTTGGTTCCTTGTTAGTTGCAGAAGAAATACACATGAATCCTTACAAATTCACAAGTAGAAGTTGTCATTCTTGATCTAACACCAAATTCTCATAACAAATTTACAAGGAAATGTGTCGCAGCTAAAGGAGAGAATTGACAATCAGATGTTGGGAGTTACCAGGTTAAAGCCATCTAATGACTTATGACTCAAACAATCCAGCTTTCACTGAATCCTTGGCAACCAGGTTTAAAGCAGAAACAGTTCATTTTCTTCCAATTCTGTTGATTTTGTTTTCACGTAAAGGAATGACCATACTCTAGGCACTCCTAATTGCTTAGAACTACTGTAATGGGGATGAGTGTTTGCAGTTAAGAGACAAGCAACGTCTCAGACTTCTCCCAGTGATAACAATCATTAGGTTAATAGCTAAGTCATCAACAACCTTTTTCCCTCAAATTAGAGCCTCGCTCATCAGATACGATACTCTGCATTTTGGATTGAAACATGCTTAAACTTATACCTAATTTACTGTTCAGAAAATATTTTTTAGCAACTGGCAAGATTATAGATTTGATAATTGCACTTTTAAATAAAATGAAGAACCAGAAGGTAGCCTCAGGAAAACTAAAACAAAAATGAAAATAATAAAAGAAATAAATAATTCATTCTCTTGCTCATCAAAGGTCTTTCAAGCCTTTACTTTCTTACTTAACAGGCGTTAAGTCCGTTTTCGTTTATTCAGCTGTTGATAAATTTCAGAGAGGCGAGCAATAGATTAAAAAAGTGACAAGTTATTTAAACACTCGGATACAAGATCGTTTATTCGTAACTGCACAGGGCTTTGTGCAATGACGGCAAACGATCTTCAGTGCAGGTACCGAGAGCTATCGAACAATGTGAACGGCGCTTACAGCTGATCGAAACAAAAGGACTAACTTTTGAATTTTTGATCGCATAAATCTTGCCCGGAATTTAAAATACAACCAAAATACTCTCATTCTGTGATTAAAATACCCGATTGCCATGAGTATTGACTAAAATGGTACGTAAGAATTCACATTAGGAACGCACACGGAAAACTGACAAATCCATGATTTGTACGTTGCAGAGCCCAGCCAAAATACTCTTGATTCTTGTGAAACAAGACGAGATTACTTCTGATATATAAAGCTAGAAACCTTTGGCTAATATGAAAAAAATAATTAGCTTCCCTACCGATGTTCCGCACGAATATTCTAGGAGCCACAACTCCATCACGCTTCACACTCTGAGGCATGCACGCTTCGGCGGACTTGCATTGGACGGAAAAGCAACCACCGTTGACAAGCAAGGCCAATTCACACGAATCGTTTGCACAACACAACTCTTTGCAAGTGGTCATGCTTGTAGTACGTTTGAGAATTGAAAAGTCTCCAGCAAGTGCCCCATCTCGAAGAGTTGCACTATTCCATTCGCGACCACCTCTAGTGCACTTTCTAAAGTTGCTCTTATTCGAGGCCACAATTCCTACAAAAAACGTAAATTTCTATTAGAAGCGGCGGTAATTTCCCAACGAGTTTACGTTCGCAGTGAAGAAAGAACCACACCAACCTAAAACCACGAATAAATAAAACAGAAAGAGGCACGCTTGGAGTCGTGATTTCCTACAGGACGCGCAACAGACAGAAGCCATTGCATATCCAACTCAAGTCACGTTCGATTCGAATTGTTTTAACCTCCAAACGAGATTTTGCGATGTTATGTTCCACAAGAAACGTTGACCTGTAAAATTTCAAATACGGATGCTTCCTGGTAAGTGATACGCATCTTTGGAACTCGAGAAATGAACTTAACAACGTCACATTGCAGTTCAAATTCCTGTAGTTTATCACTTCCTTCGACACACAACCGCCATCTTGATCGGAAGCTGTTTATGGTTTATTGATTACCATGACGTAACGCATACGGGGATCTCGTGACGTCCGAAGCTTACTGGTTTGAAATCAGCTGATGGCGAAATAGCCGTCGGAAAGTGGTTTCTCAGGTGAAGAGAGAGATTTTGGTGTATTCTCTTCTTTGGGGCTATCATGATAAGTATAAAACAGAAGTGGGGAAGAACGTAGGAGGTTCCTACTAACAATCATGAGATAAAATGAAATAAAAAAAAAAAATCACGTTACCTGGCATATTTTTCACTTCTTCAAGAATGTAATATTCACATCCCTGTCTTTTTTAAGATGAGTTCCTACTTTGGTGATATTTTTCGTTTACAGTTCCATTGCTTTTTTATTTGATATAAATGCCTGAATCCGCTTAAGCTTCCTTTAACGTGTGTAAATTCCTTCATAACTGGGCTAAGAAACTTGTACAGGAATACACTAGCAATGCCGTCTTTGCCAAGAAAATCGCATAAAAGAGTTGCCGGGACAGATAAATAGTTTCTGGAAAAATTTCTTTTCTTGACTGAGACAATACATTGAACTTTCATTCAATGGCCATTCTTTGTTTATTTTGCCCGTTTTTTTTTTTTTTTTTTTTTTTTTTCAATAACCTTTCCTCGTTTTCTGGTTTAGTTTGCTCGTTTTTTGTTTTGTTTTTTTTTGCTTTTGTTTTGTTTTGTTTTGCTTTTTTCTTCGTTTGTTTGTGTTTTTATCTGTTTGTTTAGAATCCATTCAAGCCACTTCTGTCCAGTTTGGTTGTGGCGGGAAAAATTCCCGCCAAAAATTCAATGCAGCTCGCGCCGGACGCGTTTGCCAAGTGAAAACAGTTCACAAAGTTCGCCTTCTTTGCTAGAAGCAGTCGTTTAGTTAATTAGCGCTTGAAATAAAAAAAATTGAGCTATACTGATCAGTTATCCCCTGTCCTTTCGTAAAACATACGGACAAGATGCTTTCAACAAATGCAGTAGCTCGATCCTGGCCGTTGGAAAAATACGCAAAGTTTATTTACAATGGAGAGAGCGGAGGGCAAGCTGAAAGTCAGGGATACTGGAAGGTTTGTTCGCGGCTTTGCTATAGTCTACACATCGAAATAATGTGAGTTTTTTTGGCTACAGATGATAACTGAGGTCTTCTAACTGACCATTTCTTATTTGGTTTTAAATTTACAGCAATTTTCGTCCGCCGAAGGTGGTTTTGAGGCCTTACAAGTGTCATTGTTAGAATCAAACATGATTGTCCGCGAGGGAAAAGTGATGCACGTCAGTTTTTACTTTATTCTTGTTTGTTCAAAAGTCTGAAAGCGTTGTTGTAGTATTTTATTTAATGAGTTTTTGTTACTGATTTACTGACTTAAGCTACAGCTGAATGAGTTAAGAAAAGTATTTCAAACGGTTCGAGTATCCAAAGGACTTGATGGTCACCACCGTTTGTATGGAGAATGAAGCCAAGACAGGGAAAAAACTAAGCCAAAAATCGGAAGGAAAAAGGAAGGTTAACTTTTTATTGCTTGTTTTCATCAGTACGAAAACATTGGAACATCTTCTTATCTGTATTTTTGTTTCACTCTCAACTTCTCATCTAAATTTAAAACGACTCTTCCTTACCTTTAATTATTATTTTCCATGTCTGTTTAATTATATATTTTTCGCCTACACCAATTGTATTTTAAAAACAAATTGAGCGGAATTCAATTCACTGCTATGAATATACAAAACAATTAAGAATAGATGTTTAAAATGTTCAAATCATATTATACAGTCGTTATTCGTCAATTTTCAGGAAAGTTTCTCTTTGTTTAATGCCAGCAAGTGGTTGAAAGGCATTGTCAAAGGCGATAGTATGCTGTTTCTTTACAGGATGAATGTAAGTATTATTATCTGCCACGTTTTGTTGTTGTTGTTGTTGTTGTTTTTAACCCGCGTTCGGCATTAATACATGTCATACAAAGGAGACAGATTTCTTGCGTTAGTAAACTTTGCCCACGAGCTCGTGTTGTTAAAAGATCTGAGCTTTTAAATACTTCTGTGGTATTCTGAGGTTCAGCAATTGTGTTCATGGTGACTGTAATATTTTTCCATCTAAACGAAAAAAAGAAAAATTTGTGTTGTGTTTCCGTTGGTTTTGCAGCTTACAAGAAATGTGTAATGATATTTCATTTCTTTAGCTATTCTTTCGTCAGACATGTATGTATGCGCTACTGCCTTTGAGCTGCAACCGGCCGGCCTGAGTCTAAACAATAAGGTACTTTTGGAATCTTAAAACTGTATTTGTTTATTTACAGAACGATTGCCGGCGATTCAGAATCAAATTTAAAAGAAGCGCTGATCGATTAGCGATAGAAAATTGCCGCCATTTTGTTTTCGAGATCTCGCCCAAGATTCCTGTGAGAGAGCTGCCAGCGTCTACTGAGTCTGACTCGCAAGTTCCAATGGAAGACTCTCAACTTATTTTATCGGATTCCCAGCCAACCAATAGAGGAACTACCGACAGTGCCGGCTGTGGATCTGCTTCCGTTGGTCTAACACTTCCTGTCTTAGCAAATAAGGTTCGTACAAAACGATAACTGTCGGAAATCGCCATCATGGACGAGACTGTACTTCGTGGTAATAAGAAAAATTCATCGTTTCACTGTGAAAAATAACTTTTGCGATAAAATCTGTAGACATCAATCGGGATGAAGTATTAAGAGTAAGGAAAATTCGAAACAGTCGTTGGCTGTTTTAAACTGGATTTTTGCGCCGATAATGGATAGTTTAACACATTTCGGTTGCCATTATTATGTGCATGATCCACTAGGGACTCTGCGAATCAAAGAGCTGTCGTTTGATAATAATAGTAGCAACTGTATTACGTCATACGATCCAAGAGGTCGCCTCCGGGAAATTCAAACATCAATGTAGCTTGTATATTCCTCCAGTTTTTATACATTTTGGTTCTTGTTTCTCAATATTTCTGAACGAATCTCATAGTACAGGACATTTTTGTTAGTTTAATGGCTAGTGGAGCTTGTTTAGTTCGCTATATACCCAACTGGTGGTAGTCGGCTTATACTTGATTGGCGACGAAAGCACAAAAGTGATTATTTTTAGCGTAGGCTGTGTGATATAAACCTATAAACAAGGAGTAAAATGCCATCGTTTCCCTCTCAAAAACGAATTTGCAATCCTGTGAAGAAAGCATGAAAGTACGATCGTTTGACATCGATTTTTTCCTGTTACAGATTACATCGGTAGAATCTCGTTTGGATGCAGTACAGAGCGGTAGTAACCTTATTGCACCACAAGATCAATTAAGCTTGATGATAAGACTCTGTTTGACCGACAGTAACTTCCCTGACTTCGTGGAAGCTGTGGAAAAGGAACTGAAAAGCCTTACATCACTAGAATAAAGGAGAACCGATTGATATATACAGGTGTAAGGATGCTCGCTTACCTGATGTTAAGATGTGTAGAAGTTTTGTCTACCAGGTGCCTAATAATATCAGGGGTCGTTAAGAAGCATAGACGGGAACGTGTTCGAAACCTTCGCTATTCTTGTCTTTACAACGCTTTGGGTTGTCACATGACTTCTTATCTTTCAATCAACCTCATGCCCGATGCGAATGAACTTCTTAACCCTAATCCCTAAACACGAGTGAGTCACACTTACGGCCGGCTTTATCAACTGAACAGCGATGAATTAGAAAGGCAAAATTACTTTTTTTCCTATTCAAGTCTTGTTGTGGCAAAAAAAGGAGAATTTCTCAATTTACTGATATTATTTCTTTTAATCGCGCATCACCTTTCTCCATTTTTCAGTTATTCAATACGAAAACAAAACAATAGAGAGCAAAGGCAAACCGCGAAACCTCAAAGAGGAACAACCAGATCAAAGATAAAACATTTTATTTTCGTTTTACATGGTTAATTACAAATTATAAATACAATGCCAAGGGCTTCTCGGTTTTGTCAGTCTCTCTCCTCCTACTGTCTAAAATTTCCTATTTACACCACTGAGATCTAAACACAGCTTACAAAATCTAAAAAAATGCGCAGAAAGCAACTAAGTGACATCCTTCAGCGAAAGTCTTTTCCCCTCAATCACAACTGAGGCATGAGAAATCAACATATGAGATCTTACTAGGTGACTGCGCTAAGATCTAACCATTACAAGTGCCTAAGTACATGCAGAACCTAGAAAACTCCTTTTACATTTTCTCATTTGAACATTGGAGAAATCTACGATAGCGGTAAATGAGTTAAGCTTATAGTCTCCTTCTAAAATAACGGACCTGCATTTTAAAGGCATTTTACGACAGAGACAAACAATAAATATTCCTGTCATATTATTAAGGATGCGATGTTTGCTAAGAATGATTCAGGCGGCCTTGTACATTTAATGAAACTCTTCGATACCTCTTCGATCAGCTCCCTAGAAGATGCTTTTTTTTGTTTTCTTTTCTTTTTGTTCTTTTATGAAAAAGTTTACTTCTAACCATGCCGACCATGCTAAATTAAAGAGAAATAGATCTCTGTTATAATGCTTTGCCTTTCACACGTTATAAGTTCTGCATTGCTCGTCTCGACTTGGAATCCAAGCTTATGACACTGGGTCCGTTAAATCTTTCCACAGAGCATGGTGGCGGAGGGCCGTTATAACTGAGGGATTTCTTAATAGACTGCGCTTCTTTAAGGGACGGAATTCTGTTCCGGCGAGGCACCTCTGTGTCCTCATCTGAATCACTTTCACTATCGCTCAAAAACATCGGGCCATTTTTTATGCACTTGGGATCCCCTGGAAAGAGAAGAAAATCTTCATCATCTTTCAGTACGGGAGAAAGTAAAGAAGCAGACTGATTATATGCAATAAATCAGTGTTCAACATCGTGCCTGATGCTCTTCGTCTAGAACAAGAAAGAACTGGGGATGGGAGTGCACCCCTTTCTGCTCCTCAGGCTCCAAAGTTGCTGACTAGAGATTCATATACAGACTTTAAAAAGCCTTCTTTCGAATGAAAAATGTTCATAGCTTATCATTCTTTTATATATATATATATATATATATATATATATATATATATTTTTTTTTTTTTTCTAAACTTTAATAAATTTGCTTCTCAAAGCAAAAATATATTGTTCTCGCAATAAAATGTTGCGATTGAAGAATCTAGGTCCTGTCTACACGCCAAAGTTAAAGAAAGAAAAGTACCACTCTCGTTATTTACCGAAGTTATTGTATTGTTGGCCAAACTTTTGTAGATTCCAGCCCTGTGGTAACATTTCTAGTCCTTGAGGTGAATCACCGCATTCGTTCATCATGGTAAATCTGTCACTTGGTTCGTCTTTCGATCGCAGTCGTCTTCCACTAAACCAAAGACACATAAGTTGTTACAAATAAAAACTTTGAGAACGGAAATGACTCTTCATGACAATGGAAGTGAAAAACATGAAAAGGATTCTGAGGGAAATTGCAGATGTATTTAACGCAGGAAGATAAACTTTGATAAGATAACTATCTAAAGAACATTCTGCTAGAATAGCAGAAAATATCACTATCCATAAAAGCTCTTGACGGTTAAATTCTCCTTGCCGCACTTAGGAAATGTTTAGAGAGAGAGTGGAAAATATGCAAACTAACGTTAGGGTGTAAAGGGTTAATATTGTATTAATGTCGCCTCCCTGACGAATTTAGTTTGTAACATGTCACTGCTGCCAATTTACTTACCGATGCCAACAGGTACAGAGGGTCCACATAATTCCAGTTATGCCGATACCAATAGCGATAGAGCCAACTATGATGTACCACAAACTCCAGTCTTCAAGATATGCAAACAAAATTTCTCAGATTAGTTTTTGTTTCGTTATTAACGCCTTTGTAGCAAATCACTTGCTGGAAGGGTTTCATGTAAGGTGCTTTTTTTTATAATACACGAGGTATAATACACGAGGAGGTCAGCTTGGATTTGTGTATCGTTAAGTGAGAATATGCCGCTATCGCGATGCAACTATCAAGAAAAAGTTGTATCGAGAATGAAATCGTAGACAAAGCCTTTTAAAATCAGGACAAAGGTTTAGTTTCTTTTTAGTTAACTGACCTGTGCCTGGTTCTTCGACCTTTTTCCTCGAGGTGATATACGCAATCTGCGATCCTTTATTGGCTGTAGGATGAACTGGTACAGGTACACAAAGCTCTTTACTTGCGCAGTCTCCAGCGTAACAGTTTTCTCCTAAAACCAAGGCCAGGTCACATGTCTGCTCAGCACAACAAAGAGCCGCGCATGTCTCGATGCTATCCACTTCGGCTATGTGCGTAAAGTTTCCAGCTCTAAGACCTCCTAATAAAGTGTGGTTGTACAAGATGTGGCTACGAGTACATTTAGGAATGGCTGTATAGTCAGCACCTTCGTCCTCGAGCAATTCTGCGATAGAATAACGCTTAGAATAGTCAGCATCGATTAATTTACTTAGTTTCAGAGTTATTAAGAGCCTCCCATCCGTTGTCAATTTTTACCCCACAAGGGTCAAACGGCTTACTTTTTTCCATCAGTCCGCCTAAAAGGCTAGAATTTGATTCGTATCGCACTCGTAAACATGCACACAGGATGCTTCCAGTGTACAAAAAATATTTCAAAGTCGTGTCGATTTTGGTATTATGCATCTTCTCGTCGAGAATGAACGCGATAAAGCTGATATCATTTTCGGTACTCTCACTCTAAAGCACTTCATTTTTATATAATATATCAGTGAAATGGCTAAGGCTTTCAGAACTCCCATCTTTCCTAGTAAGAACGCACCAGTTGGTATAAATCTACCGGCGCGTTATCAAAAATGTGTCGGTCTGATTGTTTAAACTACTCGATATCTATTCCATTATAGGTAGTGACTAGGTTACGATTTGTCTGAGTTTCGCATTTGATTGTTTTAAACATTGCGAGTTTGGAAGACCACTCACAGAGCAAAACAAAGAAATCCTGGGTTGCTGTGGAAACTCAGTTGTATAGCACTGAACACTGAAAAAGAGTAAGTACAAATTTAACACTGCGATACCTGTTTCGTTTATTTTTGGCGCCCACTTTAAGAACGCTATTCTGGGGTAGAACTTGGAAGGCTGAGCGGGAATTGTCTGACAAACTCTACCACTTGAGCATGTAACTGAGTAACAGTAGCTTCCCAGCATGAAGGCTAAATCACCACTCCCCAGTTCGCACGTTTTTCCAATGCACTCCTGCATGTTTTTAGTCTTTCCCAGTGATGTAAAGTTTCCGGATTTAATTCCTCCGAGCAAAGTGACGTTTGGGTAGATTTTGCTAGCCGAGCACGTGCTAGTTTTTAGTATGGTTGGGTGAGGCAACTTGTCGCTGATAATCTCATGTATTTTCATGGTTGGTATTTCTGAACTTGGTGCTGTTGGGAGGACGTTTGCTGTGGAAAGAAGTGGAATAAGTGATGGCTATGCTCAAGGTGTAAATCTCCTCACTAATTCACATATTTCTCATGGTGGAAGTTATGAGATTCTAGTCCCAAGTGTAAAATGCTTAGTCGACAAGCGTTGTTAATGTATCATAACCTTTAACCTGTGAGCCAACTCCTAGATATTTTTTACTGACACTCGAATCCAACTTTCTTCTCTTTATACCTGTATCTGATAACTTTTTGAATACTGCTAAATGCCGAAAAGTACTCTTTTGTAAATGTAATTAAAATGTAGAGTAATCAATGTTACCTTTTCTCGCTGGCCTCTGAAGCTCTCTACGCCTGATGAAGGCTATTTGCGGGTCATATTTCGTGGGCCTCGCCTTGACTGCCTGACAGAGCTCCTCACTGAAACAGTCTACTGCTATACATGTTCCTCCTATCATGAAGGCCAGGTCGCAAGTCTTACGCTCGCAGCAGAGTGCAATGCACATGTGCATGTTCTTCTCGTCACCAAGGTCGCTGAAATTTCCGGCTTTTATTCCACCTCTTAGAGTCACATTCTTTAAAATTGGACTCTGGGTACAATGAAGTTCCTCCTGAGTCGACGGATCTTCCACTGAAACTGAAATGTGGGCCCGCAATCAAAATGAGAAAGTGGTTTCACTTTCATGTCACTTCCCCCCCACCCCCCCCCCCCTTGTTCTGAGGCATAAATTGGTTGATATTGAAGCTATTTGGTTTGAAAGGAATGCTATTTTACAAAAGGAAACGTTACAGAAACTCCTTAAATTAAGTTTTCTTTAAATGTATGTTTTTTTAGCGGAAGGGAAGGTAAACGAACGCAGGGAATGCTTCTTGACGCTTTCTAATTCGTTGCGTCAAGCGTTGTACGAAACAGAATCGATTCAGCTTCGTTTCAGCAGAGATTTAATTAACGCAGAAGTAAAAAATGTCCAACTTGCTTTGGAACTGAGCAATATATATATGCAAATATTACAGCATAGTTGCGAAGTCGTAACCAAATGCAAAAGAATCCTAAAGCTACTGCTCATTTTGAAACTCAGTCAAAGTTGATCTCGTAGGTGCTAATATTTAAGTATAAGATCCAGGAAATACGGAGCTTCTTAAACATCTACTTTTTGTTACATTTGAAATAAAATAAATCTGCACACAGCATATTTGAAACAAAAAATCTACGGCACTAACCTGCAATTTGATCCTTTGCCGGGTTTACAGCAATCGGTCGCACGGCTGCAATCTTGACTGTAACATTGCTAGGCTTTACAGTAGTAATCTCACAGTGTTTCTTACTAAAACAGTCAACACCATAGCAGTGATTTCCAGGCATAAAAGCCATCTCACAGTCATCCTTGTCACAGCACATCTGGATACAGGTCTCCATGTCTTCAGCTTTGCCAAGTCGCGAGAATTTCCCGGCACGCAGCTCATGTCGAAGAGTGACATTAGAAAGTATCGGCCCGTGCGGGCATTTCAGAGGTTTGACATTGGTTATTTCTGATACAAGGCTTTCCTCTAAAATTAATAGAAAATGATAATCATAATATTAATGATAGTTATGATGATAATTTTATTAATAACAATGATAATAATTTTTTTTACAGTCGATAAAAAGTAATGAAAACTCTAATTTACTGCTTGGCCAAAATTTAATTCTAGTTTATCAAGTTTCCTCCACATTGCGCGGGTCGCAAGGACTGAAAAGTTTTCAATACATGTAAGATGTCGCAAATAATTTTGCCTACTTATACAGCCAAAGTTTAGTTTTCCTAAGTCAAGGGCACAAAACGACATTTGAGAAGTTTCCAATTATTCGTGATAACAACAAATCTAGACATTTCAATTAGTAATTATAAATACGATTGAGAGAGATACATAACTATGTTAATATTCCTTCTACTTAGCTTGACTGGTGAAAACATTTCCCCGAGGGGGAATATATCGCGAAATATTACTTTTCTCTTTTCTATTTAAAATGTGCAACGAAACTCTTGGCTGGGTTAGTGTCTAGAGTAAAGTCCTTTCCATATTGCACAAAGTTGTATTTATAGCGATCTCTGCATATTTTTCTTTCTTATTCATTAACTAATTACATCAAATAAGGTCCACGGTCTGTCTACCCTATAGATAGGGAATTAGAGGTAATTTAACGTGAAGAAAACAAGCGAAATTTTGGAGCAATATTATTGTCGAGCTGAATTTTGTTTAGCGAATTTGAACATGAACTTACCAGTTGAAGCATAAGAAAACTTGAAAAGCAAAACAAGCGATATAGGCAGCGGCAGTTTTCCAAAGCCCATAACTTTGACAGACAAACATTAATCGGAATTTCAGAGATATATAGATTTTTCCTAGTGATAGATCTTTGCTCTGATGCGAAACGTACTGGGCGAGGCGTTGCGAAAAATTTCTTATTCCACGTGTTTCAGCTCATTTTGTATGCAACAAAAGCCCATATCCACCTTGAATTTTCCTTTTGTAATAAACATAAAGTTCATCAGACCGGTGACTCTATCACGAACCATTCCCTGTTTTTGTTACCATGGCAAACAAAGCCTTTTGAATGCGCAGGGCGTGTTGCTGTGAATAACCTGCAGTGCGAGACAAAGCTGATGGCAGGTGATACAGGTGGGCGTTGTATAAGGCGAATAAGACAGGAGTCTTTCTATCGATTAGAAATGCTGTATGATGATCAGGATAGGATGACTGTGTAACAATCGAAAAGCTGTTTCGATGTGTCTGATAAAGCCCTATTGCTTAAGTTAGCGTTCATCCAATATACTGTAGTCTTCTCATCTATAGGCGTTGTTTAAATCGGCCTCGCGCGTTTTCTAACCGACCAAGCTACTTTGTCTAAACAACACCGTGAACGTATAACAAAAGAGGAAGAAAACGATTTTAGTCATGAAACTTAAAGGCCATTTATACATCATGTTGAGATTCAACTTAAAACGAGATGATAAAGGTACAGAGTACCTATCATTAATTTATTAATTCCCAACCTTCGACGACCGAGCGAAGTTTAAAACTTGCAAGGTTTGCGAACAAATTGTACACGTGATGAAATGACGATGTATGTAATGAATGTACGTAAGAATTCAGTTTTTTCAAAACTCGAACAGTTCATGCTTTCCAAAAGAGTTTTTTCTAACTCTCAGGATTCGGTGCTTACTTCAATGGTAAGCAGTGTCTTCAAGTAGGTTTATCATTTCTGAGAGAGCAAATGGAAATAACTGACTGGTTGCTTTCAAACAGGATTAACATCCTCAATATTGAAGTGTATGGAAAGAGAAGAGAAAAAAGGAAAAGAGATAAAATTACAAGCGATACATGAGAACAAAAAAACACTAACGGCGCTTCTTTAAAGAATTTCGTATGCATATTTATGTAACACAGAGCACATAATTCCCAAGACATTTTTATTTATTTCTTTCATTTAAACATTAAAAAAACCCCTCGTATCTGTACAAACTTATATTAGAAAAATTATACCAAAGAGTTAAACTGGCCATGGAAAAAAAGGGTTAAATGCAGTAAATTTTTTTATTCTTGCATATGTCCCGCTACCACCATAGGTTTGTGGAAGGAAAAACAGTAAATGTGGAAATGTGTATAATAGGCAAAATGTTAGTCAATCAATCAATCAATCGGTCTGTTCTTAACAGACATTTCGAATTGATTGAACCCGCGGTTTTTGCAGTAAACGTCGTCGTCGGTACACGTCGTAGTACTTTACTGTGCCTCGACTCCAATTATTCTAAGATTGCTTGGTAAATTCGGAAATCTATTGAATTGATTACTTTTTCTTCACTATAGCAGTGAGACCCCTACATGTTTTTAAAATCAGAATCGTTTGTAAAGCAGTAAGTTTACTTGTATGTAAAAAAGTAAATAACAAAAAAGAAAGGAAAGAACCTTCTTGTTATATCAGTCATGAAGTTTGACTGATTGAAACAGGTTGATTTTCTACATAAAACTATCGTCTAGCGATAACGTAATTTACACGCTTGAAATCGCTATATCAGTAGAGGTATTTTTCACATGGCACTGAAGCATAGGTCTGGATTTTTTACAGCTATTTACTCAAAAACTTTAAGTGGACCGGATCATTTAAAAATATAGTCTATTCTTGGGTATAATATGTTTTAGGCGCTATTCAGAGGTCATCTTAATTTTCGCCTGACGGCTACATGACTCTAAATTAGTCTGAGTCATTCTCTCGCACGTAAAATCTATTGCTTTATCATAATTATAATGATAACGATTATAATAATATTCACAGTGATAATGATAATAATTATGATTGTAATGATGATAATGATAACTATAATGATATTGGAAATGACAAAGGTAAGTCTAATAGTACAGCAATTGGCTGATCTTGGAGAGTGATATTGACGAATCTTATTATCGAAGGTTGCCTTGATTGATTAGTGGCCAACACCTGGCAAGTTTGTTAATATCAAGCCTTAGTGCAGCATTGAGAAATGCTATACTCTTGTCAAAGTTATGTCTGCGGTGACAATTCATAGCTTAAGCGTTTGTCCTCCTTTGTTTGCCACTATAGAAATATTATTCGTAACAATTCAATTTCACCCTATTCCGCCACTGTTGTTAAGTTTTGCCTGCTTGAGGCGAATAGGTAGCTTTGGCGTTTTCTTGTAGGACCCAGAAAACCAGAAATTTCTACAACATTTTTGTTTGTTTCAAAGGAAAAGCCAATTAGGCGTCAGAGAACTAAATCGCAAACGTCAAAAAGTGTTTGCCGGTGTTTCTAAGGTCAGCTTGCATTTTCTAAACATTTTTGTAGTTGGTCAGTACAAAATTGACTAATCAAATAAAAGTGTTCGCAGTTTTCTGATTTCACAGCAAACCTTTGGTGTGTGTACGTCTCTAGCCTATTACAGGCGTTAAGTCGGTGAAATGGAGCAAAATAGTAAACGGCCCGATAGGAGCGCCGGAACGAACAAAGCTAAAGGCTTGGGTCGGGTTATGTAAGGGAGGGAGGTAGGTTTGGGTGGAGTAGCCTCCTTCCTTTACGCGATCCAAGCCTCACGCTCCTTCCACTCCATCGCGACTATCGTGCCGGTTACAACTTTCCTCAGTTTCACAGACTGAACGCCTGGAACAGGACAGTACGTCTCTTTCAGATGAAAGCTAAAATACAAACTCTTATTATGGTACTCGGAGCCAATCAAACCGATGGTACATATAACATTACGTATTTCTACTGTCTACCTTTCTGTGCATTTGGCGCTTGTATCTGTCTCGGTCAAGTTTACGCCTTGTATCCGATATAGGCACGTCGGATAACTGCTCACGAAAAGTATTTTTATTTAAATGCTCACTTCGACGTTTTCTGACGCTTTGTGGAGCAAGTAAATTGCTCTTTGTCCTGGCGTAAATATAAACAATTCTGGGGGCGTAAATCGATGACCGCGCCCGCACAGCCTCGCACAGTTTCTCGTTAAAACACATGACTGAAAAGCAGTTGTTTTTCAACATAAATGCGACATCGCAGCTTTTTGAGATGCAGCATATTTCAACACAAGCTCTCATGTTTGGGACCTTTCCCCGATCCCGAAAATGTCCAGTAGAAATCCCGCCTCGCAGAGTGACGTTTGTCATCTCCTCACTGTTTGTGCAGTAGCCCTCTTCCTTAGTATCTAGGTCCTCTCGATCTTGGGTGTTATTAGCTTGATGTATTGTCTCAGTCTTGGTCTGAGTATGTTCTGGGAGGAAATGAAATCATAGTTAGGCACAACCCACTTTCGCCATTTTATTGTGAAGCAAATCATATAAATGCTTACAGTTCCATAGGCCTCGATGAACTACCTGCTATTTACGAACTAAACACAGCTGTAAATAATAAATAGTGTTTTGGAGCGAAAGAACGGTACATTTATAAGAGCTTATTGACATTTTGGAACATCCTTGAATGACGACCAGTGACAACTAAATGCTTCAAATAGTTTTTAGTGTTTTTGTTGCCGTTTTTGCCTCGTGTTTACCATGGCTATCGCAGATAAATGTCCCCTGAAATAAAAGAAAATGTTCCCTGACATACAAGAAGCCAATTAGTAAGTATTACCCTTACATCAGTTTTAATTGTTGTACCCAGTTGAAGTTCATTGTATTCTAGTTTTACATCGATTTTTCTCACCTTTCTTGTTCTGACTCCCAATATCTCTTCTAACGTAGGAAAGTCTGGGGTAAAAATCAGAAGAAGGAGCTGGCACCTCTTCGCAGAGTTCTTCGCTGGCACACGTGATAGCATAACAAGAGTCCCTTAACATCAGGGCGATATCACAAGTATTTCTCTTACAACACAAATGAACACATGCTTCCATACTGTCCACGTGACCAATTGGAGTGAATTTTCCCGCGGAAAGTCCACCGCGGAGTGTAACGTCATATGATACAACGCTAGGTCTGCAATACATGCCGTTACCAATGGCTATTTCTTGTGGGAGAGCTGTACAAAAGAAAGTGGGAAACACTGGTTTTGAACAACTTCTGTATAGTTGTAAGTTATCCGATTATTTTGACTGCACATTGTGACGTGAAAATAATGAAGTTATTTTCAACTAATTTTTTCAAAATGATCTGAATTCACTTTGATTCCTCATGGGATTCAGAACTTTGTCTCACGCATGTGATATGATGTAAAAACATCTTTTTATAAATTGAAATTTTCACAATGTATGACATACCTTCCTCATCTCGACTTGTTATGTATGATAACCTCGGACTCAGGTTGGTCAGTAAACCAGACTTGCGCGCAAGTACAGGCTGACAGAGATCCTCGTTGTAACAATTTACCGCGTAACAGTTCGCCTCTAACATCAGTGCCACGTCGCAATCCTTCCTACCGCAACACATACGAATGCATGTCGATATCTCGGATATTTTACCCAAATCTGTGAAGTTACCAGCCTTTATTCCACCTTTTAGTGTCGAGTTGTATTTTATATCACTGTTTTTGCACATAAGTTTTGAGTTTGTAGCTGGAAGGTTGCTCAAAGTTATAGCTGTAAAGAAGAATGTGTTGTAAAAAGATTAGGCCAAAGATAGGAAAAAATTGACGCATATTGTGAATTACTTGATGATAATTGATAATTTAGTCCTCATTCAAGATCCAAAAGATATGATCTATCATTTTCCTACTTAGGCCTTACATTAAAAGTTGAAATCTTTATAGTAATTTGTTTAATCAGAAAGAAGATTTGGATTCAGAAAGCTGATTTACTCAAAATAATGACATACGATAAATCAGTCGCACGGCCTTAACAACTCAGTGTCTGCAGAAATATGAAACATAGCTGGGCACAAAATTGTCGCGACAAGCACGTGATCTGGAATCGATAGCTATGACACTTGCAGGCTCCTTTCAGCAATTTCACTTTTCGTTCATTATTTTGCTAGTTCTCTTTACGCGACTTGTAATCATGTGCTGTAACTAAAGATCTAAGCAAACCTACATACCTGTGTCCTCGGTGACATTTGTGACCCATTTTCGCACAAATGCCACAGTAGGCTGATAATTCTTAGTCTCAGATTTCACTGTCTTACATAGTTCTTTAGTAAAACAAGATACTAAGAAACAATGCCCTTTTATGATTAGAGCTAGGTCGCACTTTTCTGAAACACAACAAAGTCGCGTACAGGAATCCACGCTTTCCACAGTTCCTACATCCGTGAAGTTTCCAGCAGAAATTCCACCTTTTAAGGTCACGCCGTCCTCTGCTTTGCTTTCTGCACACTTCAGATTCTGCGGAACAGGGTGAATTCTACGACTGTTACCTACAAATGAGATACACATGGACACCTGGGGCTCAGCTAAGACAACAAGGTAATGATTTCAGCCATGGAGAAAAATTCCTTTTTCACTCCGACATTCAGACTTTTTCGTTCAACTTCATCAACCGCTAAGAATGAGATAAAAGGCGAACTTTGATTTAAAAAAAAAAAAAAAAAACCTTGAACTGGAAAAACTATGATCTTAAATTTCGAGAATCTCCGTCTGTATAGACAATTATTTCAACGATTATGTTTAAATTTGCAGTTCGCCGTGAACTAATTTTTCAGATCAAAATTTGACATGAAAGCAATAAAACTATTAAGCTAACGAAATTGGGCAAACTTTCTCAAAGCTAAAGTTAAATTAAATTGTAAGGTCTAACAAGGTATAAAAGTGCTTAGCGTGCTCGAGAACGAGTAGAAGGGTCAATATAAGGACGGACAACTCTGAAGAGCAAACAAGAATAAACGCCGCTATCTAAAAGGGAAGGCATGCTACTTTTGCTGCTCCATTAAACTTACGGATTTCGATTAGTGCTCCAAGCCTAATGGTGAGAGACGCCTTCGCCCGCGGGATACGAATCAAAACTCAGAATTACAAAATCCCTGGTGATCACGTAGTATTGACGCGGGGCTGATCAATTGGTCAAAAATTCATCAAAATTTCAAACGTATTTTACAAGGCATCGCCCGTCATTCAACGCTGAGTCGCGTGAGCCAAAGGACGCATCGTCTTTAAAAAATACGCTCTTTTGTTTATGAGATTCATGGTACCAAACCAAGGCAGTGGGTTTCCAATTTTTAGTAACTTGTAGCGTCTTGTGCGACGACTTGTTTCAAAGCGATGTATTTCTGCATCATTTCATTGAATACTTTACTCGCGATTGAAAAAAAAAAATGTCTCTGTATCTTGCACCTACCTTCCTCTCCTTTTATTGTGACATGAGAAATCATCAACGAAGATGGCGCTTTCTTCGCTAGTACAGCAGTACACAATTCTTCACTGAAGCATTGTACCCCGTAGCAGTTTTTGCCGGACATGAGCGCGACGTCGCAACCCTTTTCCTCGCAGCACAAGCGAATACAAAGTTGCATTGCAACAAACTGAGCCAATTTCTTAAAACTTCCTGCGTTAATTCCACCACGAAGAGTTACGTTTTGGCGAATCGGGCTCTGCGCACAGGATTCGATGGGACCCTGTAAGTTCTTTGTACTGTTTGATAAAGCTGCAGATTCGAGAATATCACGGGAGTTATTACAATTCATTACAAGCGTTAATTTGAGTGAAATATCCGCTACGAAAACAAAAAGGAATCTTGCATACCCTTCGCTGTAGCAATTAATGACAACAGTAGTACTAGAAGTAGAATGACGGAGATTGTTTGCCACCTATATTGTTTCCTCATGGTACCATGGTGAAGTTTGTAAAGGGGCAACCCGCCTTCACCGATAACACATTCTTTGCATCTTCTGCAGTTCACCTCATGTTGAATTTTGAAGCAAAATGATGCATTTTCTTACGGAAAATTCGTAAGGAAGTTGATTCTGCCTTCTTTCGATGTCTGACTCTCAGAAAACTTGTGAATTATTGAACATTTCGAGTCGTTAGCTAATCTGACCTAACTGGGGTTGTATTGTTCGCCGGAGCTCGCAACTGGTTGTTTACGTTCGCTCTCTCAGGCTATCAAATTCACCTCAAAGGACTCAACCAAAGTAAGTAAAAAAGTTCAGGCTTATGATACTTAAACAGTAGTCAAGAAATAAAGAATACGTTTAGCTATAAAATTCTTCATTGGTGTCCGAAGCTCGTCACTCATGCAACTGGTGCTGGAATTAGTCATTTTTGGCGGAATATTCATAAAGAGAAACTGATCACACTACTCATCCGTGACAATGAATGAACCTCGTGACAGCGGACAGAGAGAGAAAGAAAGAGTGCGAGTGTGATCATGAGTGACATGTATTATTCTTGCTCCACATGGGACGCCTTTTCTACGACGATGTTTCTTGCGTGCAGTGTACGCTTATGGCAAAGAATCCCGTGAATTTCCAATCGTGGTTTCTGAAAATGAAAGGCATACGTGCTGGGAAGGATGGAAGTCGTATCTGAGGCAGTGTATTCACAAAATCTACAGCCAACCAAGTGTAGCCTTGGCTAACTACAAGCAAAGTGCACTGGGAAAGTTATATCGCAATGTCATAGGCTCGAACGCAGAGTTATCTCAAACTCAGATGCAACACGTGCAGTAAATGGATTTACACCAGAACTTTTGAGTTAAGCAAGGTTCTTTCTTCTGCCGATCTCCTATATAGTTGTTGTTGACCAAAAAAATCAAGTAATAATTTCTCCCTCCGGCAAAGAGACAAACAGATTAAAAAAAGATACTCACTTATTATGCAATTCAGAAGCAGTAAACTGCATTTACAGTCAAACCAATATTAAGCAGGCATCCAAGGAGATTGGCAAATCAGATTCGAGGACTTAGGATTCCAGACCTAGGAAAAAATGAATGTAGCTCATTTAAGAAATGTGGCGTCTTTGACAGTGTAAACAGGGTCCACATCTATTGATAAATGCACCACGCAAAGACGATTTACAATCTTTTGACGGTTTAGGCCGCTTCAAGGCCGAAAATATCACTGAAAGCAGTAATTTTTTTTTTTTTACGATGCATTGAAACACGTGAGATTATATTAGGTATCCATTACTCTATTTCAAAAGGCACTTTTTGAAAGTACAGCTTGTTGGATTTGTTTTCGTTAGCTAAAACTTACTACGTGGACTGGATTAATTTTAGTAAGATTTTTTTAATGCAGGATAATCAGCCTAAAAAAATTGGCGTTTTAGGCAATGCACACCTGCACTAAACCTGCACTACTGAGTCTATTCGACCGCATGCGAACAATGACCACTATGTTTTGTCAAGTTTCCCGGCACCCAAGATAAATATCACATGCCCCAGGGTTTACAAACACGTGCGTGAAGCGATAAGGCCAAACAATACCGTGACCAACTGAAACTAAATAGGAAATTCATATGCATCAATAACCTCCGTTAAGAACCTCTTTATTTAAGCTTCGCTAAGCATCGTAAGTAGAAAATAGAAAAATTATAATATCACGAAATTGTATCCTTTCCCAGATAGTCTGAATTTACAACTTACCGTTTAGACTGTGCATTTTAGCCATGAATGATGTGTGCGTTTCTATGTCTTGTGAAAGTGATGAATACAAGAGATGCTAACTCAACTAAAAAGCTAAAAGCATGTAAGGCTTGAGTGTTCGAGAAATGATATGCATTATGGTTTTAGCCTTGTATCCTTGGAGATGCTGTATTTACATTTTAAATAGAAAGTCACGAATTCAATACCGTCACGTATTGAGTTATTGTGTTTCTACATCGATAAAAATGATCGGAGTAACGTTTTCCCGTCCGTATGATGCCTTCGATTCTGATTAACGTGGACAATTAGATAAATTCGCTGTCGAAATGTGGAGATGTTGATCTTCCAAATCTGCTACATTGTGGATGTTCTCTCTTCCACATAACATTACTTCAATTGATTGCTTCAGTTCTTTAAGTCTAAATGTAGTCAAAATAGGATTTATTGTTGAATTGACGGACAGAAATATCTCAGAAGTTACTCTTAAAATCAACAGCCAATTCTGCTCGTGGCAGCAGTCGCAGTTTGCTTCAATAAGAATAACGACGAAATAGGGAATCAGACAAATAATCAGACAAAATAAGATTAAAAACGAAGTCGCGGCACATCGATCGATGCTGTTTTTGGAAGTTTTGTACTCTGCGTATATCGCGAAGTACTCGGTTGTTAGGGATCGATGACTGTCTTTGCAAATCAAAGCGAGAGCGGCTCTTTCGCAAAGTTAGGAAAATCCCAGAGTAGGCCATCGTAGTTGCGATAAGAGTGTGTGTAAGTGAATATCGACTAAACGTAAACATTCAGGGACACATCACGAGCTGAAGAGAGGCGAAGATGGAAGAAGAAACAACTATGATCACGTTGCAGAAGACGAGGTGTTTTGGTCTGACTTTAAGAAGATAGAAATGAGGACAAACAACAGAAACGAAACGATCGACAGACATGGACGTAACGAGCAAAATCGAGCTGTTAACTCCAATGTATTCCACTATGATAGGGAAATCCCCCTCTGTAGGGGGAGGATTATCTCCAAATGCACCCCTAAGCCTCATAAGAGCCTCTGCTGAGCAAACGACAATGCCAACGAACAGATCCACCGCAGAAATGAATATCAAAAACACGGAAAAATGTTTCTCTGTACAATGCCACCAAAGTCACACCATTAGAAACTGATATGGGAAATGAAAGTAAGGAAAAACTTATTCCACCCCCGAGACAAATAGACAAAATCTCGCTCCATGATGATAAACGTATAAGAGCATCGTTATCAGAGACAGAATATTGTCTTTTAAATGTTTAAAGTCTTCAGGATGGTAAATTGATATCACACACACACGCACACACCCAGAAAAAAACTTATGTTAAGCGGAACTTTTCAATCGTTTGTGCATAACGATTACCTTACATACGCCACTAATGCAGTAAAGAAAGAGAGTAAGATGTCTTTTTTCCCGTCACAAGCGTGGGACAAAGAAAAAATTCTGAGTCCCCATGAGGAATTAAACCTTTACCAAGCTAAAACTTAAAATCTCTCTTATTCTATTTAAAATCATGACGCTATCGTCATGGCTGATCCTGGCTGTATGGAGGACGCGTGTCATATGAATTTCGTAATAGACCTCACTCACCGTAGAGTCTGTGTGGATCAGTAGGATCAGTAGTGTAGCATCGGAGCGCGGAATCCGAAGGTCTGGAGTTTGATTCCTCATGGGAACTCAAAATTTTCCTTAATTACACGCTCGTGACAAGACGAAAACATCTTTCTGTCTTTTTGTCTCTATTAATTAGGTGCATATTTAAGCGTAAAAATATTGTTATTATAATAAGGTTGCAGGCAATAATCATGATGAATACACTTGCACATAAAGAAAAAGAAATTTATTTCCAGGGTGTTGTCACTTTCGCGGTAAATTGCGACATTTCGACTGTGTACTGCGCGTCTTCTTTGGGCGATAAGGTCGGCAGAATATTGCTTAAGTAATGTTTTGATCGTCGGAAACATGCAGTCAATATGTTTTCGAAAGTCGCAATCAACATCAAAAGTGATCACCTTGTCAGAGAAACAATCATACCTCATAAACAAATCAATACAGTTTGCCATATTCTGCGTGACTTGAGCTCTGATCCTCGTAGTCTAAAATTAAGGATTCGTCATTGTTAACTAAATGATAAAATGTCCATGCAGCGAAGACAGGGAACATTCGTATCTAGTGAAGCAAAACACAAATCATTTAATAAACCTATGCTATTATGTCTATTATCACATAAAAGAAGGTATTGATATTATCACTCACACTTTGTGGTGTGTGGCAAAGACAGGTGTGATATACTGTATTTTTTCTGCGCCAGTTAGCTAGAACTAATTAAGAAAGAAAATTCTGGAGACTAATTTTAAGCGGGTTGTATTCGCTTCAGAAAGACTATAATGATTGTTAGCTGGTTGAATAAAAAAGGACTCACAATGGTCAGTAATCAATAGTAAGATTAAAAACAATGCTTAACGTGGCCACCAAGTTAATATATTAGCCTAAGGCTGTGCCAATAAAAGAAATATATCTCTATATATATATATAAATATATATATTGTTTTTTCTGGCATGTTATTGTTAATCTCTTGCGATCGAGTCTACCGAAAGAGTTATGATAATTTTAATGAAACAGTTTCTTGAAATGGTAATTTATGCTCTTCTTATTGTTTTTTTTTCTTGAGTGTGAAAGAGTTTCCTAAACCTTACCGCAACTAAATTTCAGCAGAAAGAGCGGATTGACGTCTCTAATTAGCATGACAGTCAATTTCCCGCATTAGATACTTTCCATTAACGGCTCTCTCTGGCACAAAGCAACGCAAGGTGTATCGGTTTTACAAAATAGTGTTCTCTGAAATATTTCTGGAAGAGAACTTTGCTCTGATCTGCAGCATATACAAATTAGAAAAAATAGTCTTTTTCTTCGAACGTGATCCTGACACACACGTAACTCACAAAGAAGTATGATGACCAAAACTTGTCAAATATGGGCAACTACACAACTATTATTAACTTTGCTGAGTGAGTACCAATGTTCCTTTAAAGACACGACTTTCTGTATAGTAAGTATAGTTACCACAAGCATATTTCGAGACATGAATCGAAGCTATAGTCCTCCTGATAGCATGCGGAGGAAAAGAGGAGGCTAAGACTGAAAGAGCCTAAGACGTTTTCTGATTATAGCTTGTTATGTACTCTAAGGGAGAGTTCCTCGGTAAACCAGCGTATCATACCATAACTAAGCTACTTAATTACTTTTAAGTCTGGTTAAACACAAGGTCCTCCGTGCTGATTTGAAACTCTTGCGCAAAGATGCAAATGAAGGAGTAATTTAAGCACGATTTTTGAGATCAAAGCTATGACAATTCTGGAATAGGTAAATGGATGGTTAACACCTAGCTCTCCACTCCCCATGCTAATGAACATATTGCTGAAGCAGTAGGCACATAAAAGCCCCTTCTCGGTTCTTCTTGAAAGAATATGCAGATTCTCTTCATCTGTTTCCCGTCCACTTTTGATCGAAATCGCTAGCATAAACATTATCATTAATTTATAAACTTCCTACAATTAGTTGAGTAAACGGCGGTAGAAAAGTCAACTCCACTATACAAAAACGATTTTCAACACGAAGTAGATATTTTTCTCAACAACTAGGAAAAAAAAGATACCAGTTAAACCTCACTGACTAGTCTCATAAGGGCAGTTACTTCTGTGAATAATGAAAATGCAAAAAACATCATGTTTGACCCAAGACATAATTACGATTAAGAGCCGCCTGTCTTAGCAAAATTGGAGTAGATAACTAAATGTCAAATTTGAAGAAAAAATGTATTAAAAATCTCATATGCAGTATTAAATGTTGGAGAAACCAGTTTGATTTGTAAGCGAAGTTATTGATTACCCGCTCAGTCACATTAAATACTGAGCTTCATGATGGTCGGATGTTTGTTGCTAAAAAAGGATAAAGTAAGGCATAAACTGAAACTTCGCGGGAAATTAATTTCGCAATATTGGCGAGGAGCTGTATCGCGGGGTTATATTTTGGCGATTTCAAAAGGCAAATATGAAAAAGGGGCATTGACTTTCGTGATTCACGCGTCCTAGTATTCTGAGGAATATATACGAATAGAGCGAAATCTTTCTTTGCAAGTTAATGTCATTTCAGAGCAAAAGATACAAAATAGAAGTTACCAGCTAATAATTTTAGTATTTGTCGATGCGTACATATCCTTTATATGTTTTGGTGTTACAAATTTATTCTTTTAGTCAGCGACTTGAATTTTCTCAAGAGAGCTTATTTCGCGTATCTAAATTTCGCTTTGATTTTCATTCGCAGGTCTTTGATTTGGCGATTTTTTTTTTCAATCGCCCAAAAGGCGAAATGAAAGACCTACGAATTTAGGTACCTATAAGGTAGATATTTCTATGATGTTGTTTTATGGAACTGTCAAAGAGTATTCGATGTGGAATTAATCTAAGGGTTGTGCATAGCTGTTAATTGATTCAGTAAAATTTGTGAGTCAACTTTATTATTTTAACCATCATGATTATTTGTCAGGCTTAGCGTTGGGTCATCAGGAATGCGACGGAAGTAACGACCCGTGTACAGGAGAATGCACCCCGACGGGCGGTTCAAACGAGCAGATTTGCAAACATGGGAATTATACTTGTAATCTGACATGTAGCCAAGAGAATGGTAAGCAAACTTGTATGGCTAAAAAATGTAATCTAGAATACAGCGGAAACAATTCTTCTCAGCGCTGCATCGGAGAAGTAGAAAGATGCAAAATGGATTGCAACAGAGGAGATTGCGATCAGCTTTGCAACGGGAAAGAATATTGCATTATGCAATGCAGTGGAAAAAAGTGTACTCAACGTTGCAATGGGCCAGCAAAAGGATGCAAAATGAACTGCAGCGGGGAAGAGTGTAACCAGTATTGCAACGCAGAAGAAGACTGCGTTATGCAATGCAGCGGGGAAAATTGTACTCAGCGTTACAATGGGCAAGTAAAAAGATGTAATATGAAATGCAGTGGGAGAGAGTGTAAGCAGTATTGCAAAGGAAAAAGAGTTGCAAAATGCAATGCAGTGATGGAGAAGTGTGTAATCAGCTTTGTAACGGAGAAGGAGACTGCATTTTGCGATGTAATGGGGAAGGGTGTGATCAGCGTTGCAGCGGGCAAGCGAAAGGATGCAAAATGAACTGCAGCGGGGAAGAGTGTAACCAGTATTGCAACGCAGAAGAAGACTGCGATATGCAATGCAGCGGGGAAAATTGTACTCAGCGTTACAATGGGCAAGTAAAAAGATGTAATATGAAATGCAGTGGGAGAGAGTGTAAGCAGTATTGCAAAGGAAAAGAGAGTTGCAAAATGCAATGCAGTGATGGAGAAGTGTGTAATCAGCTTTGTAACGGAGAAGGAGACTGCATTTTGCGATGTAATGGGGAAGGGTGTGATCAGCGTTGCAGCGGGCAAGCGAAAGGATGCAATGTAACATGCAGCGGGAAAAGATGTAATCAGCGTTGCAACGCACAGGTAAAAAGTTGTAATATGCAATGCAGCGGAAAAAACTGTACCCAGGATTGCAAAAGGCAATTAGATAAATGCAATATGCAATGCAATGGGATTATTTGTGAACAGACGTGTCATGCTCACACATGTAACATGACAAGGTATGGGCCCAGGAATAGATTAACTAAACAGATCTGCAGAAGTGGTAATGGCACATGTTATCAACACATTATGATGCAGTGCAGCATGGGAAGCTTTGATATCAACTGTTACAGAAGTGGTCGATGCATAGCCTCCAAACGGCTCAATAGTGACTGCAGCCCTTCAATTTTATACACGTCCAACGTCGTAAAATCAGCCTCGATAACAACAATACAAGTTATCGCAACTCCAACTTCAACAGTACAAGGTAAACAAAATTACCAGGCTTGCAGTGACTGCCCTCGACCGAAAATGATGAAAAGATAACAGTAATAATAATAATGATGATGATGATGATGATGATGATAATACAAATAATACCAATAATAATGATGACAACGACGAGGACGATAATAAATTAGATAAACTTGTTTCATTACAGTGGATACTAACTGCTCATCTCCATACGAGTAATCAAAACAACTGTAGCAGAGTGGTCATAAAAGCAAATCAAATTTAGAACAGAATTTGAAAGCAGCTCAGCAATTATTCTAAAACAGTTATTCGCCTCAGGCTCCGTGAATATTGTTGAGTAATCCTTGAGACTCTGATGGTCGAATAATGATGATATTAATAAAAATAACCATAATAACAATAATTATAATACTGGTTAAGAATGTATGAAAGTCATATATTTGAACTGCGGATAAAGACATGAATGAAAGTGATCCTCGCAGTAATGTGCACTACTTAGGCAGTAGTGAAAATAAGGCCTGAAAAAAATTCAGAGATTTGAACCCGTGACCTCTGCGATACCGGTGCAGCGCTCTACCAACTGAGCTAAACTGGGAGCTGGTCATGATGTTGTTGAATTTTTTTCAGGCCTTATTCTTATTCTCAACCGTTTATTCATCACTTCACGGGTTTATTCAGAACCAACATGACCAGCTCCCAGTTGGCTTGCTAGCTCAGTTGGTAGAGCGCTGCACCGGTATCGCAGAGGTCATGGGTTCAAATCCCGTACAGGCCTAAATTTTTTTCAGGCCTTATTTTCACTACTGCCTAAGTCGTGCACATTGCTGCGAGGATCACTTTCATTCACAATTATAATACTTGTACAAATAAATATAATGAGAACAATGTCAGAATTTTTTGCTCCACCAAAAATTGTTAAGACCCCTACATGAAATATCCCACTTAGATTTCTCGTGTTCCAAACTCCTAGTAGTTGATTGAAGCATAATTTGAGATTGTCTGAATTAATTTTGACCATGACTTTTTATTTTCATATACAGCTCCTTTGCTATCATCATCACCGAAATCATTTTTAGTATTGGTACCATCCCCATCGTCGTTATCGTCATCATTATCGTTTTCGTTACCACCGTCGCTTTCGTCATCGTCATTTCCACCTCGGACAACTCCGTTATCGCCGTTGGAAAGCATTGAGAAACTGGTACGTATTGAAAGTTATTTTAACTGTAAACTCTCCGCTAACGAACACTCTCGTAAGCGGACAGCTCTCTAAATTGTTTTTTCTATTCCCGTTTATGCTTCCCAGTTAGATTCTGTATTCTCTCTTTCTTGTAAGCGGACACTCTCTCGTAAGCGGACGCGGACACTTTTTAAAGTGGAAATTGAATTTTTCCTTTGTTTTCATTCTCTCTTCATCGGACAAGCGATGCATACTAATGGCCTCTTGGCGATAAAATATTTTTCAACGAAAATATGTCCCTTTACAGAGCAACAGAATAGAAAGGATCCGTTTGATGAAATATTCATTTGCCTGTGAGAGAGCATGCTGCCCGTTTGTCTAATATTAACACTCACCCGTCAGCGGGCATCCCCTACTCTTCTTTTGTGTCCGCTTATAGCAAAAATTTTCCGTAGGCGGAGAGTTCTGTTAACGAACTCTTTTTTCAATTTCTGAGAGTGGTTGCTTACGAGAGAGTTGATGATATCTTTTTGTTCGCAAGTTTCAAGTCTGTGTTCGTCCGTCAACTTTGATAACTTTTTTCATCCTAGGTAAACGCATCTGTTTCTGAATTTAGTAGAATAGAAATCAGCAGAAACAGCTCCATGCAGGTATCTGAATTAACTAATGACTTATGTATCTTTAATTTTGATCTTAAATTTCATTGCTATTCTTGATAATTGACATTAATCGTTTAAACGCAGAAATAGATATTCAAAGGAATTCAAGTCAGAGGATTAGGTTTAGAAACACCATGAAAAAGACGCAGGGACCTGTGAAACGACAGCTCTCTCAATGAGGGTTAAGCTTGTTCAAGGTATTAATTTCCGTAGATGAGCACTGAAAACGTGAGGCAAGCTATAGAAAAAAAAGTGAGGAGACTAAGTTGAGCGGCGAAACAACAGCCTGATATAACCGATTTTCGCCCGAGTTCACTGACCTCTGACGCTGACCCAGGTTACTAATGGTGATAAAAAATCCACAAATTCTTTCTGTTCAATAAGCATTATTTTACAAAGCGAGAACTAGTGGGGGAAGTAATTTCTGACCAACTTTTTCCTTCTCTATTAGTTGTACGTTGTTGATGCTATTGGATTGTAAGACACCTGATTTTCTGTAACATTGATGAAGAGTATTTCATTTGCAATTACAGGAGGCAATAAGTTTGTTGGAAGACTTCACCGATCGGTATATTACCTTTTCAAAATCTCATAAAGGAGAACTTGGTGTAGGAGAGGTTAAAGCAGTAACAGAATCCGTTTTTAGAGTGGCAGTCGCCTTCGAGGAATTTGCTCTTAATTACGGTAAATACCATCTGAGTGGAACAGAGCCTTCAAAAACGATCGTGCGCCAGAAAATGGGTAAGTTGAAATACAACCCCACTTTAGATTCATGAAAATTTGTCTATCACTTACTGATCTATCGAGCTTTTCTCTAATTGAATGGTCTCACTGCTCCTTGGGTCAAATTAATGCGTCTGAATAGGAATGAGGTTAGGGGCCTAATTTGCAAATAGTGAAAATCTCCTGCTTAACATTTCGTTTCAATATCCGAAATTTGAATATTTTGAGAAATTAGAAATTAACGATCTTTCACATATTTGATTACTTTCACGTTTTAACCCTTTAACCCCCAAGATCTGATGGTTAATTCTCCCCTCCAGCTGCTACACATTTCCTTGTAAATTAGTTATAAGAACTTGGTGCTAGATCAAGATAGCAGCTTCTACCTGATAAGTGCAAATATCCTCATTACTTGTTTGCTAAATAGTGCATCACTAATCACTTCTGGGAGTTAAAGGGTTAAAGCTGTTTTGTTAAAACGGTTATAAGTTAGCGACTACTTGAATCCTATGGAAAATCTGTTTTTTCAGTTCTCTACTTCTGATTTTAATTTAGTTACCCGGTTGAACTGAGACATGTTTTACTGATGTGAATAGGTGATTAGTTACTAGTACACAGTGAATTATGTACAAATTCAAGTTTCTTGATAAATGTAACCACTTGTATCATGTTTCTGCAATTTCCTAAATCCAATTAATTGCCAACTACTGTTTACTTTCTTCCGACAGTTTTAAGTATTCAGAAAGGTTACCGCCAGAATACGACCGACTTCTCTCTCGAGGAGAACGAATTGCAAGCCACCATTAATATTTCCTCTGCAAATTTTGCGGAGAATGGTTTGTTTCATCTTTAAAGTACATCCTTCTGTTTCTTTATTTTGTATTTCATAATCTTAATACTTCTAAAAATGAGTAATTTACTGGGGTAATTCTTTTTGTATTTTTGTTTTTTGTTTCCAGAGTTTTTTAATTTGAATTACGCCCGCTATAAACTTTGAAATGTTTGTTTGCTTGATCATTTGTTTATTAGGATCAGTCGTAATAGGGTGTGTCTACAGAGAACTCCACGAATTACTTCAAACAAATCAAGACATCGAAAAAGAAAATGGCAATTCAAGGTGACATTTACAGCTAAAATAAGTTCAAACTGTTACATGATCATGCAATGCGTCATTTTCCGAAGAGAATCCACAATTCAATAGGCGCATAGTGAATAAATTATCTTAGAGATTGTTAGGACACGATTTTCTTTACAGGTATGTGAATACCAGGATAGTGACTGTAGCTTTGGATCCCGCGCCCGAAAAATTACAACAGGATGTCATCTTGAAGTTCAAAAACTTGAAGGTAACATAATGAACACTGAATGCTTGACTAAGTTCATCTTCGTTGCGTTGGGTTAGTTCAAAAGTAAATAACATCTCTTTTAGGTCGATGAAGGAGAGAAGCATTGTATGTTTTGGAGTGGCCTCAGCAAGAGGTAAAAAGTAGCCACTATCTATTTTTGTTAAAAAATCATCTGCTATTTGGGTCCAAATTTCAGCAGAAAATTGGAAAGTATCAGTTGAACGGTTATTCGGAGCGTAAGTAGCCCTGAATTTCAGAAGACATTTTCAGTAACAATAACAAATGTTTTGGACAACCAAAGGTGAATTCTTACCTTTAAGTTATCAGTAACTGGGAAAAAAATATGCAAGTAACAATAATCACATACTCATAACTTTTAGTCATTAAATGCCAATTCGAAGGGAGTCAGCACTCTGAATGATGTTCGAAACTCCGAATTGTTATTCAAAAACATAAACTCTTTTTTTCAGTCCAGACGGGTTTTCAGGAGATGGTTGTTATGTAGATCCAATAAAGAGCAACTCAGAAGACACAGTTTGCAAATGCAATCATCTGACTCATTTTGCTGTCTTAGTTGACTTCAGCGGTGGCCCAGAGGTATTTTTTTACTGTTGTTGTAATTTTCTTCTTCGTGATAAGTGTGTTGGGTCAATTAATCCACTGTTCATTTTAACTTTGCCATAGCTCTCATCCAAGGACGTCACTATTCTGGAGATCATCACATACGTGGGATTATGTCTTTCCATCATAGGAATTCTTTCCACAATAACTTTATACTTTTTACTCACGTGAGTGCTATTTCTAAGTAATCAGTGGTTTATTTTCTAACAGAACTAACGACGTTAAATAATACCGGCGTTCAACAAATGGTGAGCAACACCCACTACAAGAGGCTGTCAACCATCATATATTTTCAGTCGCTTCAAAAAAAGTTCGAAATAAACATAACAATAATTTATGGGCAATGTTTTTTACAATTTCCATACACTCACTATGTTGTAAAATTTATGAGTCGCTATTCATATCACGTTTGGTTTTCAGTGCTTGTTTGTTTGTATGTTGTTCCTACCTTTCATGGTTACTTGATTTGTTTGACCTCGCTCTTCCTTTGCGTTTCTGCTGATTTATCATACTTTTATTTATATACATATTAACATCAATACGTGTTTAATTTTCACCAGAGATATTCGACAACCTCTGTCTCAAATACGACTAAGTCTTTCTGTGTCCCTTGGAGCTGGACAAATAATCTTTCTTGCTGGAATAAAAGCTACAGAAAAAACGGTGGGTGGCTCTCTACTATACGTGGTTTTTATTCGAAGACATCCTCCTTGAATGAAATGTGAAAAAAGGTATTTCCCCCTTTCTTTTGAAGGCTATTTGTGTCACAGTGGCAGCTATAATGCAATATTTCCTGATGGCCGCCTTCTGTTGGATGCTCGTCGAGGGAATCTACCTCTACCTGTTTGTTGTGAAAGTTTACAACATCAACACCAAGATGCACATGTATCATGTCATTTCATGGGGTATTTTGATTTTTCGGTTGAATTTATCAAACATTGTTAGGGATTATTTTGTTACCTAATTATATCAAGCTTATTAACTCTTAAATTTCTTGATAGGTTTGCCAGTCATTATGGTTGCCACTTCATTGAGCATCGCTGCTGAAAAAGATGGGATACAGAGCTATACTAGCGATGAATAGTAAGGGCACATCTTAACTTTTTATTACTCATTTTTGTTAATTTTGTTTGTTCAATTTTTAAAGTTTGTTTCGCTCTAATGTGATTATATATCCTACCTATCCTTATTATTTTCATTAATCTCCTTCTTACGAGCTTAATCTTCATAGGCCAGCCTACGAACTACAGTTTCTTTCATTGAACGAATGTTACTTTAGAAAGTAACATACAAAGCTGATCAGGAATATTGTGGGACCTAATTTTTCTCTTTTCATCTTTCTTCCCCCATTTTTCCCCTTAGCTGCTGGATGTCCTCAAATGACAATTTGATCTGGACATTTGTCGCATTTGTCATTATTATTGAAGTTGTAAGTTTTGCATTTGAATAAATGTTTTCTTTTGACATTATTGTGAATGACTGTGTGCAACAGCCATACTTCATTACAAAATTCTATTCATATCTTCCTCTTTAAGATCAACATTTTGATACTCGCTCGAGTCACAAGGGAGATGGCCAAAATGCAGCCAACAGGAGACAAGCAGATTCTGCAAATACGGTATGATGGATCTTCCAAATTACGTAAAAAAAAAAAAAGAAGATCATATCAAATTTCTAAATCATCCTTTTAACGATATTTGCAATTGATCTTTTAAGAATTCCATATCTTAGACTGTTGTCGTCCTTAGACTTGGCATTAGAGCATGCGTGGTTATGATTCCCTTGCTGGGTGTCACATGGTTATTTGGTCTTCTGACACCATTACACAAAGCTTTCAACTACGTTTTTACCATCCTTAATTCTACTCAGGTACGTGATTTCATTAATAAAAATATCCATACAAAGTGTCCAGAGATGATATACAATCAGACTATTTCAGTATGGTCAGATGACCTTTGCTACAATAATTATTAAAATACATAATAGGATAAAACTAATAATAAAGAAAAAATGGATAAAAAAAATTGTTTCCGCCTTTATGTTATCCTTATTTACTTCATTTACCTCTGAGATATTGGAAGAATCGATTATAAAAAAAAAAGACTGATCTTGAAAACCTGTCTTTCTTTGTAAGGGTTTTCTGATTTTTGCCCTGCACTGTGTACGAAACAGCCAGGTAAGTTTTATACGGAAAAAAGATTGTGTAGAGCAGAAGTTTCAAAATCTTGCATGAATTTGAGTGCCTTTTTTTGTTACTTTCCTTGTCTATCTGCAGATAAGAGAACGATTCAAGAGAAAAGTTAGCACTGTTTTCCCATCTGCAACCAATGGAAACTCCACAAAGAAGAATTCACATGTTAACATGAGTGATTTTGCTATGTGAAGGCAGTTGAACTGCAGTCTTACAATGAATTTGAACTGAAAAATCACACACGTAAACGTAAACGTAAACCAAAACAAAAGAGTGTTTAGGGAATAAGATCTAGGTGTATAGGTCATACCCACAGATGAAGGTTACACGCCGCAATGATCCACCCATTTACTATGGCCATTGATGGTCGCCTGAAACATTTTATTTTTCATTAATAGCTGACAGCTTTGTTTAGGCGGGAATATGTAAACAAGAATGAAAAGTTTAAGATTCGCTCGTATTTCTCAGAAATGGCTAAATCGAGGGAGAGGGTTGCCTGGGAGACTCTTCAAAATCCATTTGAGCTGCGTCACGGGTTTTTTATTCGTCTTTGCACTTTTATCAGGCTACTGAAACATAGAAAAAGACATAGCTTGCTAAAAGATGGCAAATATTTGAAATAACAAATAACGGACGCTCCGACCAGTTGAAACAGCTTTCTTGATCATAAAACAGATGCAACGTGGTCAAGTTGGAGCACAAGTTTTAATTTTGGTCCGACTTTAAAAACTCCATTTTTTCCCCAAATTCAAAACTTAATCTGCATGCCTTAGAATAACGCAAATAAAACGAGTTACGTGTCTGCAATAGCTATGGCCATTACATGCAGATAATTTTTTTAAAGATACGTGTTTACACAAAAAAAAAATGTGTTTAATTATGATTGAGAGGTGAAAAAAATATCATCGGTGTTTCGAAGGTTTTGATAAAAGTGATCGCATTCATTACAAAGGCAAAATTGCACTTACATACAAAAAAAAGAAAACGTTGGGAACGTCGAAAGAGCTGTTCGAATTCACGATAAAGATCATAGTTTCCAAAAACTGTTCAAACTGCACCTGCCTTATGTTAATTTTATCGCCTCATATTTTCTTTTCTGTTCTTCTCAGATTTTTTCTCTCTTTTTTCTTTTGGAATTCCCAGGGGTAGTCTGAAATAGGTGGTTCATTAAAAAACATACATAATTAGCTGTTAGTTATGAACCGGTCACTTTTTGAGGAGCAGGTAATTTATTGTTAACAACTGGGTTGAAAACGTATATTGGTCACCGTAAAGAGTAAAAAAAGCTGACGTTTCGAGCGTTAGCCCTTCGTCAAAGCGATTGGAGAAAGCAGACAATCAGAAAACTCTTGAACTATTGCTTGCGTTTTTAAACATAATAAATTATTGCTGTCTACAATTTTATGCGTGACTCCACGAAGTATAGCGTGAATGCTTCGTCATTGTGAGTTGGATGATGAAACATTAATGCAGTGAAGATAAAAAACCCACGTACCTAATAAAGCAATTTGAACTACTATGCCTAAATTTTGATAGACCAAAAAAGTTTTGTGTATAATTGATAATAAAGATTTGTGGTGCATTACGTAAACAGGCGGGATCTTCATCTCTGCAGCATACGGGCACTAATATCAATAAAAGGTAAAGCAATCTCCTATGGTACACTTGCCGAGCAGTAATTATCTCGAAGCGACTTCTGTGATGTAAGAGCTCTAAAAAGCCCTTCTTTTATCGTTGTTAAGTGACGAAATAAGCAAAGGGTGGCAATGGCCATTAATTATTTGCGATTAACATGAATACTCACATGAATTTAACATTTATGGAGAGAGTTCTAAATATTCTCATGAGAAAGTTTGTTAAAATGATAATTTTATATTAATCGTATTTGTTTTACCTAAATTTCAAACGGATGCAAAAAGGGGAAATATCACTGAATTTAAGCAGAAAGATCTGACGTCAATGATTTGCATGACATTCAATTTCCCGCTTATGCTTACATTAGGCAGCTGGTTCTGGTCAAAACAACATCATAAGACTGATCTTTCAAATATCTCCGAAGAAAGAATTCTCACAAGCCTTCCTCACTGAGAAAGAAAATATCAACCGATCCTGAGCCACAGAAAATTTGCCAAAAGGCTGTGTTTAGTTCAGCTGACAGATGCTCAACTTACACAACGAAAAAAAAAATGATGATGAATAGAAGTTGCCAGATATGGGGAACACTCCTGTTATCAAGTGCTCTCCTGAGTGAGTATCAAAGTTTTTGTCAAAAGAGATTTTTTGTTTAATATTTATCACAAGTATACCTAGAGGAGGCGCTCTTATGGCTCTCTGAAAAGCGTTGGGTGAGACCACCAAAGAATGGTAGAATGGTTTTAGAAAAGTTTGCTTTTCATCCCAGCTAATCAAACCAACATCCATAAGGAAGCCAAGACTAATTTATTTCAAGAAAATATTTAAAGGAACTAATTTTACAATGTATTCCTGTGCCACAAGCTTTAAGTCTGATTTGACTCAGGGGTCCATCATGAAAATAAATAATTTTTGCGCAAAAATGCAAATGAGGATATGCGCATTCAGGAATGACAAAAGATATATTTGACATTCAGCTGTCTCTTCATCTCTAACAAATAGCTAGCTAACTAGCTTAATAACACCATTTCAAGTCCTCTTGTCCAAGGGAAAGGCAGTTTTCTATACTTCCTTTTCAATGTTTATAACTCTTTTTTTATTTCAGTTATTCATTGATTTTCATCTTGCATTAAGTTGAATAAACAAAAGTTAACAATTGCAACTCAGCGCCATTGAGCGGAAATATTCTTACTACTCAGAAATAACATATCATTCTCTCGATTCTAAGGCTTTACGCGTAGTTATGGAAACACGGCGTCAATCTCTAATCATACCAGGGCAACCTGCAAAATGGCCCGAAGTAACGCTCTACCCTTGCAAAAATTATTACAAAAAAAAAAACAATAACAAGTAGATAAATACATACATATTTTAATTTGCAAATCAGTCAGTGACGCCTAACGGCTTCAGGATGGCAGAATAATTGCTGCAAATAGAAGGTTAATTGCTATGAATAATATATATTTATTCACATCATACTAAAATAGTATAGATATTATGAAAGTTCTACGCTAGATTTATTCAACAATTTCATGAATCTGCTTTTTTTTTTTTTTTTTTTCGTTTGGCGGGGGAGTGAGAGGGCTCAGTGAACTATTGTCTATTATATATTATATAATTGTCTAAATTTATCACATAAACTGCAGTGTTATAAAAAAGATTTCCGGCCCTGAGAAAAGCTGTAAAAAATATCGTTTTTTTTACGTGTGTTGATACGGCCAATTAGCTACTTACACGTGCTCAACTCGACATCACTCGAAGAGAAATTCCATATCTCTGCGCGCCCATGTATTATTCTCTATTTTTATTCTTATCATTACTTTCTTTTTTCCAGGCTTTTGGGTGCACGGTAACGTTTGCAACAACGATGTGTTTGACTTGTATTGTACTAAAGACGATTATTCTTGCCATCTGCTTCATAGCAACGCTAATTCTTGTACTTGCCTGGGAATAGGATGCAAACAAACGTGCAAAAGTATCGCAAAAGAGTGTGAAATGGTTCTGAATTGTGGCGGAGGGGATTGTGAACAAACTTGCAACGCTAAAACATGCAAACTAAACTGCAGCGGGGGAAAATGTAAATTTCAGAAGTGCTATGACAAAGGAGACGTCTGTGAAATGGATCTAGAATGTAGCGAAGGGGATTGTGAACAAACTTGCAACGCTAAAACATGCAAACTAAACTGCAGACAAAGGAGAAAAATGGATAAATTTTGTGAACAAACTTGCAACGCTAAAACATGACAAAGGGAAACGTCTTTCAGAAAATGGATCTAGAATGTAGCGAAGGGGATTGTGAACAAACTTGCAACGCTAAAACATGCAAACTAAACTGCAGCGGGGGAAAATGTAAATTTCAGAAGTGCTATGACAAAGGAGACGTCTGTGAAATGGATCTAGAATGTAGCGGAGGGTGAACAAACTTGCAACGCTAAACAAAAACTTGCAACGCTAAAACATGACAAACTCTGAACTGCGGAGGGGACAATGCAACGCTAAACAGCAATGCAAAATGCAGATAAAAGTAGAAATGTGTAATATGCATTGTAACGCAATTGATTGTACACAGACCTGCGACGCTGTCACATGTCATATCTCTAGAACTTGGCCGACCAGCCCTCAAGGTTGGGTTTCATGCTCTGGGAATGGTGAATATTGTGGAAGTCTCATGTCGTCTTTGGACTCATATCCTCTCACGCAGGGAATCTTTTCTACCAACAATGGCGGAGATAAACGCTGCACATGCACAAAATGTTTAAGGGGCTTCTGCAGCTCTTCCGATTCATACAGGTCAGATTTAATTTCATCTGCTCCGTCAACGGCGACTCAAGGTTTCTTAACTCAAATTTCAACAGTGCAGCGAAAAGATAAATCTCATACTTGGGGTGAGTAAACTTAGCGTAAAAATTTGTTTTTTCACGATTGAATGTCAATGAGTCTTAAAATAGAATAGCTCTTTCTTCATTGTTCATATTCCAAAATTCCTTGCGCTCTATCATTACTTTCCAATTTTAGTTAAATGTTTTTTTGACATCTAGCTTTTACTTCAACATACAGAACACTTGCAGTCATCGTCGTCATCACCATTATCATTACTCTCACCATCACCATTGCCATCCTCTTCAATATCGTCATCATCATCAGGAGCAGAAGCAACAACAACAGCAGAATCAGAATCAATATCAACAAAATCATCAGCATCTTCATCATTACAGGCAGCAGCATCGTCGTCTCTGCCATCGTCAATTTGGACATCTACGTTAGAAGTACTTAAGAATTTGGTATGTTTCCTAGGCTCTCCTTTTATTTCTTTTGTAACAATAATTTTCATAATTTCTGCCATTCTTTAACGCTTTTGTCTTTCTTTACCACAGGCAAATGGTTCTGTTTCTAAACTTGGTGAGCTCTTTCTTCATTGTTCATATTCAAAATTCTTTGCGCTCTATCATTGCTTTTCAATTTTAGTTCATTGTTGTTTTGATATCTAGCTTTTACTTCAACATACAGATCACTTGCAGTCATCGTCGTCATCACCATTATCATTACTCTCACCATCACCATTGCCATCCTCTTCAATATCGTCATCGTCATCAGGAGCAGAAGCAACAACAACAGCAGAATCAGAATCAATATCAACAAAATCATCAGCATCTTCATCATTACAGGCAGCAGCATCGTCGTCTCCGCCATCGTCAATTTGGACATCTACGTTAGAAGTACTTAAGAATTTGGTATGTTTCCTAGGCTCTCCTTTTATTTCTTTTGTAACAATAATTTTCATAATTTCTGCCATTCTTTAACGCTTTTGTCTTTCTTTACCACAGGCAAATGGTTCTGTTTCTAAACTTGGTGAAATAGATAGCAGGAGAAATAACTCTTTGAAGGTATAAATGCACAGTATTTTTACTGGCATCAAGACAATTTAATATAGGAAAATATACCTCCTCAAAAGATGAGTGGCTCATTTGCTTAAATGATGTTCTGTTAAAACGCTCCTTTTTAAATCATACAATATCCAATCAGTCCAAGTCTCATGATGTGCGCTTTTGTTTTCTCATTGTGATAACGACACGATTAAAGTTACCTTTTTGGTCCTTAAAGGAGGCTATGCGTGTATTTGAAGACTTTATCGATACTTTTATGAACATCACGACACCCATTAAAGACCAACTTAATGATGGAGGAGAAGAAACAAGAAGAGAATCCATCTTTAAGGTGGCAGTCGCCTTCGAGGAATTTGCCCTTAACTATGGTAAATACCATCTAAATGGAACGAATCCTTCTACATCGATCACAAGCCAAACAATGGGTGAGTTAATATTATTTTTTATTAGTAACTGACCTACTGTCCAATTGTCTACCTGAATGGTCTTTCTGCCGCCTGGCCGTAGATATTAAGTGATACAAGTGAATTCTTGAAAGGCTCATGGAAGCAGTTGAAGGCGCATAAAATTCGTCTGGCTTGATGCAATTAGGTGCACGAAGAAGGGTGAAGCACAGTTGACGAGAAGTGATTTTCGTTTTGATAAAATTTTGTTTCAATTTCCTCTTTTGAGTTTGTGAGTACGATCTCAGTACAATAATATATTTCAAATAAACCCGAATGGCGTTTGAAAAATGATAGCATAGAACTGTGTGTAGACCTTCAAGAAGAGGATCTGCATATGCCACAATCATCTCCTTGAATTCCAGTCATCATCTAACATCTCCGCGTTCTTCTGACAGTTTTGGGTATTCAAATTGGCTACCGCCATAATGCAACTGACTTCTTCCTCAAGGGGGAAGAATGGGAAGCCAGCATTAACATATCCTCGGATGAATTTGCTGAAAAAGGTTTGCGTTAACCACATTTTAAGCTCTAAATCGTAGAATTGCATTTTTCCTCTTTAATATTTGCTCTATTATTTAGAACTCATATGGTTTTACGTATCAGTGTACTATTTGTCAATCCTTAAACACCTCAAAACAGCTGAGAAAATATGTGCACCCCGAATGATCAAAAAACCTTTCGTTTATTGCTCAGGTAAACCCATAGAAAATTGACGTTTATATTATAAAAGCAAAAGACGTTAAACCGACGTGATGACCCTATTAGGAAGCTAGGAGAATAGTCAAGTTTAGTCTGGACTGTTTGCTAATCATTCACGCCCATCTCGTGATATATAAACCTTAGTTGAACGTTCTCCCAAAATTCAAAGTAGATGATTTCGCCCTTTAACAAGTAGAATGTAGGGTCAATTGCTTGAATTAATGATAATTAGTACGCACAACATTTCTGTGTTTTCACTGACGTCATAGGAAAGAAAAAAAGAACGAAAGCATTTTAGTTGATCTATTTCAGTGGAGTCTTGGGTTCAAATAGTTTATTCAGATTGATAAAGGAACAATGATGTAGTTTAGCCAGTTGGATTATCAAATGCCAAAATAAATGGGTCAAACAAATTATGGCCCATACTGTATTATAACTTAATAAGTTCATTGGTGAAAGAAAGAGAGGGGACTTGATCGATCACCATTTCGAACATGTTTATACTGAGACTAACCCCATCGTTTGGCGTTAGAAGGACTTTTTTTCCACACTCTGGTTGTTTTCTTTGTAGGGTCGGTGATTGTAGGGTGTGTGTACAAGGATCTTCATGTATTACTGCTGAGAAATCAATCCACTGGGAAAGAAACTAACACTTCTAGGTGACGTTAAACGATGAAATAGTTGCGACTTGGTTCGTGCTTAGCGTGCATGTATTGAATTATATGGCATGCCATATCAAATTTAACCAATCAAAATAAGGAGAAGCCTATTAAGTGGTATGATAAGAACTTTAACAATGAAAAAAGAAGGCCACGACTAAAGTCCATTTTGAAGCTCATTTGAAGAAATTTTACTAACCGTTAAGTTTTCTCTATCACACAATAAACTCTCAAAGTCACACAAAAAAGTTAGTTTTCATTATCACCGTTTTACATCGAAGATAAAAATGACATAAAGTGTGCTTCTACATCATGCAGTTACATGTAATTGCAGTGTGATGCTTTGAAAAACTTGATGGCATAGGAAAACATTTTCTCTGCAGGTATGTTAACACCAGAATAATGACGGCAGCGATGAATCCCAAACCTGAAAAATTACGACGAGATGCCATCTTGAAGTTCAGAAACCTTCAGGTAACAGCAAAAATACAGAAAGATGAGCGCGTTCCATCTGTGTCATGTTGGATCGATTTAATAGAAATACGTGTAAACTATATTTTCAGGTCGTTAAAGAAGAACAACACTGCATGTTTTGGAGTGGTTTCAAAAATAGGTAAAAACAAAGTTATTTGTTAAATATGCTTTGGAACTCCATCATTTTTGGGTTTAGTCCAAAGTTGAGTGTAGAAACTGGAGATTACCAGTCAAACCCTCATTTGCAAGGTCAGCGGTAAAAGACTTATGGCTTTTGCTGTAAAAATATTGCCCAGCCGGCAAAATGAAATATATGTACGAATAATGGCATGGAAGGTAACGACGTACTCGGTAATCCGTGTAATCGTCACCGTGGCCGTGGGCAGAGATTGGAAATCCGAACTAAGAACCAATCAGATTGTAGGATTTGTTACCGTGCCCTCTGAGAAAGAAAATCGTTATTGTTATTTCTTATATTGTAATATTCCTTTGTTTTTAGTCCAGATGGGTTTTCAGAGGAAGGTTGTCATGTGGATCATTCGAGGAGCAATTCAGAAGAAACGGTTTGCAGTTGCAATCATTTGACTCATTTCGCTGTCTTAGTTGACTTCAGCGGTAGCACTAAGGTAGCTTTATTAATATTATTATTATTATTATTATCATTATCATTGTTTTTTACTTTGTTTCCAAACTAATAATGGGTCCGTATGGTTAATTTAAGTATTGCCTCCTCTTGCTTTGTTTTTGACGCAGCTTTCCGAGAACGACGTAGCTATCCTGGAGATCATCACGTATGTGGGGCTAAGCCTTTCCATCATCGGAATACTTTCGACAATAACTTTATATTCTTTCCTTACGTAAGTACTGTAATCAAATTATCAGGAAGAACATCCTTAAATACCTTGGAAGATGTAGTAAATAAATAAAGCCAGTGTAATGTTCATACCCCCTCTCCTCCCCTCCAAAAAAAAAGAAAAAATAATAAAGGGAATGCCTTGGTGCTAGTTAGAAACTTAATCCGTACCCAATGTTTTGGACATCACTCTTTATCAGTGATTGTCCAAGTTCATCTGCCTGACTGCTCTCTCTTGCTTTCACTCATTTCTTTTTTTTTTTGCTTTTGTTTTTTTGTTTGGTTTTTTGTGTGTGTGTGTGTGTTGTTGTTGCTGCTCTAATATCTTGATTTTAACAGAGATGTTCGTCAGCCTCTGTCTCAAATACGCGTCAGTCTTGCTGTGGCTTTAGGAGCTGGACAAATATTTTTTCTCTCTGGAATAAACGCCACAGAGAACAAGGTGGGAGGTTTTTTCCATTATTTCAATTAAATTAAATATATTATGATCAAAAAAAACATTGAAATGACAAAATATTTTTTTTTCTTTACGTCTCTGTGCAGGCTGTGTGTGTCATAGTAGCAGTTACTATGCAGTATCTCCTGATGGCCGCTTTCTGTTGGATGCTGGTCGAGGGAATTTATCTCTATCTGTTTGTTGTAAAGGTTTATAACATTAACACCAAGATGCACATGTATCACGTCATGTCATGGGGTATTTTGATTATACAGTTGAACTAACGATATGCTGCTTTTAATGGTTTTTAACTAATTTAATTTTTATCTTATTGAGTCGCCTTGATTGGTTTATAATTTCGTGATAGGTTTCCCCTTAGTTATGGTGGCCATTTCACTGTGCATCGCTGCCGGAAAAGAAGGAATACAGAGTTACACCAGCGACAAATTGTACGAGGCGTGTGTTTTTTTCTTTTTTTCTCCTCTATTTCTTCCCTTAAATTGTTAATTTTTTTCTTGAAGTTTTGATGTTTCTTTTAATTTGCTTTGACAGTTTTATTAACTTTACCTCAAAGTCATTCTCATAACATTTATCCTTTCGGGACAGCTTTCTGTTTTTCGCTTGCAGATATGAAATTTGAAAATGTGAAATGCAGATATGAAATTTATCTCCTCGTCTTCAATTCGACATCTCAATCGTTCGCTGGGCCCAGTCGTGAGCTATAGAGTCAAACGCTCGAAGAGAAATTCCATATCTACGCGCGCCCGCGTATTGTTTGCTTTGTAATTTCTTACGAATTACGTTGACTGCAGATCTTATGCTGCCAATTTTTTTTATTGTTTTGTTATCTTTCCCCTTTTAAGTTGTTGGATATCCTCAGCAAACAATTTGATATGGATATTTGTCACATTTGTGATTGCAATTGAAGTGGTAAGTTTCTGATTCGGCTTATTCAAATTGGTGATTCTGATATAAGACTTGAAATGTGTAATAGCCTTAATACAAGCTTTTAATTTACCTACTCCTTTATCAGATCAACATTTTGATACTCACACGAGTCATAAGGGAGATCACTAGAATGCAGCCAACAGGAGACCAGCAAAGTCAGCAGTTACGGTGAGAAAGGGCTCTTAATTAAATTTAAAAAAAGAGAGGGAAAAAAGTTTCCAGTTCCTGCAAGAGATTGGGTGAAATCTTTAAGAATCCTTACAATCGAATACGTCTTACTTCCTCAGGAGCTTGTTGTTATTAATTAGGGAAAAGAAATTCTGGGTACCGTAAATGTTTGTGAGGGTGATGTGCAATCAATTGATCAACAAGTTTTCGTCCTTCAGAGTTGGCATTAGAGCATGCATGGTGATGATTCCCCTGTTGGGTATCACGTGGTTGTTTGGTCTTCTGTCGCCACTACACAAAGCTTTTTCCTACATTTTTACTATCCTCAACTCTACTCAGGTGAGTATCAAATATTACCATTTTATAGTTTCATACATGAGATTATCCACATTGAGTGTCGAGATTACTTTATAATTATAAATCGTAGGGTGTTGATGGGATATTTGTAAATGTAACACACAGACAAAAGAGGATAAAAATTAAAAGAAAAGGAAGAAAGCGATGCCACTGTCTATGAGATTCTTACAAGTCAAGAAATAATTTGATTCTCTTTGTTGTTCTTTGGGACTTTAAGAAAATAAACTTCAACATAGGTACCCCAAGTCGCAATCACAAAACGAAACTGGCCTGAAAAACATTCTTTTTTTCTGTTAAAGGGTTTCCTGATTTTCGTTCTTCACTGTGTGCGAAACAGTCAGGTAAGTTTAATTATACATATGGTGTATATAATGAGGTTTTAAACTTGAATATACCGTGAGAGTGGTTCATTTTCTTACTTTCCATGTCTATCGGTGCCTTTATTTGTTCACTTTGCTTGTCTATCTGCAGATTAGAGAGCGATTCAAAAGGAAGGTGAACACTGTTTTCCCATCTACAAACAATGGAAACTCCGCAAAGAGGAGCTCACAGGTTAATCCAAGTGATGTTGGTGATACGTGGGTAGCTGAATTGCAGTCTTTCAATGAGTTTGAGGAGGAAAAACACTCAGCTTGAAGAACTAGATTCAACACTGACCAAGCCTGAAACTCCATTATTTGATTGCTTAATGTAATAGTTAGTCAGTAGTAGTTGCTCATTTTAGATCTGTCGGGAGGATTTCGGCCCTTCAAATCGAGCCTTTAGCTTGGTGAATAAGTCATTTGTAAAGTGTCAGTTACTGCGATGATTGGGTAATTTGCTAAAGTCAGTAGCCTTTAACGTTTTTTAAGCTAGATGCAAGAGCTTTTCAAGCTTTTTTTCTTTAAATTAAGAGTAAGTACTTCATACGTTATTAGGGAAAGTTTGCTTTGGCTGCAAACTAAATTGCTTTAAAGTAACTAACCTATAGGTTGGCTGTCGATTGCTGTTAGAATTCAAAACAGTCTGACTTTCATGCGGTGGTTTCTTCGCCTCCTATTATTTCCTATTATTTAGTTGGAATGTCGCGGCATTGCAGTCAAGCAGTCAAGACTGACCTGTCTTCAAACAGTCTTAAGCTTTACTATGATACGCATTTCTCTGAATTTTAGTGGGCTATTTTTAGACTAATATTTTACGATAGCGTCACCTTTTTATAATATTTAAGCAGTTAAAATACGTATAAAATAGCAAATACTATTTGCTTTGGTAATAGTAGCGGTTAAAGCTGACTTTTAAATTTTATGATAAATAAGTGAGTGAAAAAACAAATAATTGAATTTGTGACAAAAACGAAATAATATTTTAGATTTCTTCAGGATCAGTTGCATCTGATTAACCGTAGCGGATTCAACGGATTAAAATTTGTGAGTCACTGGGAAGAAATGGAACTAACTTCGATGTTCGGGAAAGATGCACCTGGGCAAGAAACGCCCTGAGTTTATCTTAAGTGAAGGAACGCTGGAAACGTGGAAAAACAAAAAGGTTTTTCATCAGACTTGTTTTCCGGGAAAAAAAACCCAGAGAGCAGTTGCTAAGTGAAAATTGAAGCCATTAGAAAGGGAAGAGGTTTTTAGATCTATTTCAACTCCCCCTTTGCCTCACCCTTCATATTTAGATGTGGGTATTTAAACACTGCAAAAATAATGTATCATTTTAGTGTGATATGTGGTGCAAATCGATCCAATTTACAGCACTATGCAGAAGTACTATAAATGAAGGCTTTCGAATAAAGCGCTTTGTTTTTTCACATAAATTAGAAGGAGGCGGGCCAGAGCCCCCATGTGTCTGTACCTCATGTCTCCTTTCGTAATGTTAGAAAAAGGATAGATGAGATTTCAGAGCTATCTCGCGATCATCTTAAGGGCATCTCCATCTAGAGACATATAGGTACAACAATATATCGAGGAACTTGCGTGATTCGTCCTTCTTTGGCGGGATACGCATCTTTGATATCTCATTAATTTGTGAATAAATCGCCTCGGGCTAATGATTTTCGCCGCTTATAGACTGTCCGAAAAGGGAACATTTTGCTCAAAGACAAAGCTTCGAAGGGAGATGTGAACAATATCAACACCCCATAATTTTTCATAACGCGAGTCGATAGCTGGCTTATTTCCTTAATAATCTTAGGACAATTATCGAAGCTGACGTGGTTATTTTTGGTAACTGACCTGTTATTTTGCAAAACCCAGAAAGCCGCGCGATAACAAATGGGGGGGTTTCAAATCGAAATGTCCTTGAGATAGTGTTGATTACTCGCCCATTTTGTATCTCGTAGTGGTATTTCTTAATTGGTCTGCTCGGCATACCTCGAAATTCCAGACTGATGTATCCAAATGAAAAGTAAAATACAAACAGTATCTAACTACTTATGGAGAAGAGCATTGTAAAAAGGCAAAGTGAGGCAGAACAGTCATTTGAGCTTTGAGATCAATTGAAATTAGAAACTTACTTTAAGTAAAACCATATTTGTTCCGAGTTAGTTCGTGTTATGCTACTGCTCTAAACTACTTGTCAGATTTGGGGAATCGTCCTATATTCAATTACTTTGTTGAGTGAGTACCAAATTTCTCTTTAGAACATGAATTTTTGTTGAGTTTATTAGTATCGCAAGCATAGTCCGAAAAAAAAAAAAAGACTTCTTCAGAGTTCTCGCACGTGACTCGAGCTTGTTGTTTCCCCAAAGGCCTTCGGAAGAAAATACGGCAGCAGATAGCGATTGAACCTTTTAGATTTTCTTGTTCCTGTAGTACAAGGGCGTGCTTTGAGAAGCAGCTATATCGTTATTAAATAATTGTGGTAACGTGGTAGGTAATCTCAAACCAAGCATTTCTCTTTTAACAATAATTTCAAATAAAAGGTTTCCTTAACATCAAAACGCACGTGAGTAATTATTAAAGACGTCTTATCCAACCGAATACTTTAGCCTGCCAACTTGTGAGTAGTCAATTTGAACATGTCACCAGAAAGAACTACCGAGGTGTTTTGTGAGGCAAAACGTCCGGGTGTCTGTAAAACGTGGACCGGATGACCGCAGATGGCGGGTGTGGATGGTGGATGGCGGATGGGAAAATGCGAATGGAAAAAAAAAAGATACATAAGAAACTAAGAGGCGTTACTCAAATGAATTGAAACAGCGTTTTGTGATTCTGCTTAATGTTACTCTGTCTTTAACCACACAGAACGGGAAAAATGGCATGCTGTTTAATACTGAATGTTGCAATTACCGTCGCGTCGTCGGCAAGTGACCCTTGCCAGGTACCCTGGCTCCAATAGTCTGCTCTAAATAATCTAGAAAACAGCTATTTGTGCTTTAGATCACTGATTCACTGAATAACGAAAGATAAAGAGAGAAAAGAGTTCTTAGACTATTTAACTACGTTCTGGTTAGGGCAACTGTTCGATTGTTACCCGCAAAATTTGTTTTTGCTGATAGCCTCTTGAGACACCGTAGGACACTTCTGTGTTTCTATTGGCGGTCGGCATCGCGAAAAAGTTTTGAGTGTTGACGTAACTTAGCATGTGGTCACTTAAAGGCGTCTTTTTTTATTACGCGATCATGGAGTATGTAAACCATACGGATTGCCTTGAACTTCCGTTTTCGGACTCTGCAACATACCAACCTAAAAATCCGGTGGGGGATTCTACTTTTTCTGAACGAATCTTCCGCAATTGCCTTAGACGTTCGGCGGTCTTGTATCGCGCAGAATGCTATTGTCTTTCGCGACATTGACTTACAGTGCCCAGTTTATCAACGAGCGGAATATCAATTTGCTAGGTTTGCCAGTCATTATGGTTGCCACTTCACTGAGCATCGCTGCTGAAAAAGATAGGATACAGAGCTATACTAGCGATGAATAGTAAGGGGCGCATCTTAACTTTTTATTACTCATTTTTGTTAATTTTGTTTGTTCAATTTTTAAAGTTTGTTTCGCTTTAATGTGATTATATATCCTACCTTTCCTTATTATTTTCATTAATCTCCTTCTTACGAGCTTAATCTTCATAGGCCAGCCTACGACCTACAGTTTCTTTCATTGAACGAATGTTACTTTAGAAAGTAACATACAAAGCTGGAATATTGTGGGACCTAATTTTTCTCTTTTCATCTTTCTTCCCCCATTTTTTCCCCTTTAGCTGCTGGATATCCTCAAATGACAATTTGATCTGGACATTTGTGGCATTTGTCATTATTATTGAAGTTGTAAGTTCTGCATTTGAATAAATGTTTTCTTTTGACATTATTGTGAATGACTGTGTGCAACAGCCATACTTCATTACAAAATTCTATTCATATCTTCCTCTTTAAGATCAACATTTTGATACTCGCTCGAGTCATAAGGGAGATGGCCAAAATGCAGCCAACAGGAGACAAGCAGATTCTGCAAATACGGTATGATGGACCTTCCAAATTACATTAAAAAAAAAAGAGGACGACAGCTTCTTCCGGAGATTTTAACGAAATCATATCAAATTTTTAAATCATCCTTTTAACGATATTTGTAATTGATCTTTTAAGAATCCCATATCTTAGACTGTTGTCGTCCTTAGACTTGGCATTAGAGCATGCGTGGTTATTATTCCCTTGCTGGGTGTCACATGGTTATTTGGTCTTCTGACACCATTACACAAAGCTTTCAACTACGTTTTTACCATCCTTAATTCTACTCAGGTACGTATTTAGTCCAATGATTTCATTAACAAAAATATCCATATAAAGTGTCCAGAGATAATATACAGTCAGACTATTTCAGTATGGTCAGATGACCTTTGCTACAATAATTATTAAAATACATAATAGGATAAAACTAATAATAAAGAAAAAAAGGGATTAAAAAAATCGTTTCCGCTTTTATGTTATCCTTATTTACTTCATTGACCTCTGAGATATTGGAAGAATCGATTATAAAAAAAAAGACCGATCTTGAAAACCTGTCTTTCTTTTTTAAGGGTTTTCTGATTTTTGCCCTGTACTGTGTACGAAACAGCCAGGTAAGTTTCATATGGAAGAAAGATTGTCTAGAGCAGGAGTTTCAAAATCTTGCATGAATTTGAGTGCCTTTTTTTGTTACTTTCCTTGTCTATCTGCAGATAAGAGAACGATTCAAGAGAAAAGTTAGCACTGTTTTCCCATCTGCAACCAATGGAAACTCCACAAAGAAGAACTCACATGTTAACATGAGTGATTTTGCTATGTGAAGGCAGTTGAACTGCAGTCTTACAATGAATTTGAACTGAAAAATCACACAGGTAAACGTAAACCAAAACAAAAGAGTGTTTAGGGAATAAGATCTAGGTATATAGGTCATACCCACAGATTAAGGTTACACGCCGCAATGATCCACCCATTTACCATGGCCGTTGATGGTCGCCTGAAACATTTTTATCTTTCATTAATAGCTGACAGCTTTGTTTAGGCGGGAATATGTAAACAAGAATGAAACGTTTAAGATTCGCTCGTATTTCTCAGAAATAGCTAAATCGAGGGAGAGGGTTGCCTGGGAGACTCTTCAAAATCCATTTGAGCTGCGTCACGGGTTTTTCATTCGTCTTTGCACTTTTATCAGGCTACTGAAACATAGAAAAAGACATAGCTTGCTATAAGATGGCAAACATTGAAATAACAAATAACGGACGCTCCGACCAGTTGAAACTGCTTGCTTGATCATAAAACAGATGCAAGGTGGTCAAGTCGGAGCACAAGTTTTAATTTTTGGTCAGACTTTAAAAACTCCATTTTTTTCCCCAAATTCAAAACTTAAATCGCATGCCTTAGAATAACGCAAATAAAACGAGTTACGTGTCTGCAATAGCTATGGCCATTGCATGCTGATAATTTTTAAAGATACGTGTCTACACAAAAAAATGTGTTTAATTATGATTGAGAGGTGAAAAAATATCATCGGTGTTTCGAAGGTTTTGATAAAAGTGATCGCATTTATTACAAAGGAAAAATTGCACTTACATGTAAAGGAAAAAAAAAACGTTGGATAAAGATCTTAGTTTCACAAAATTGTTCAAACTGCACCTGTCTTATGTTAATTTTATCACCTCATATTTTCTTTTCTGTTCTTTTCAGTTTTTTCTGTTTTTTTTTCCTTTTAGAAATCCTAGGGGTAGTCTAAAGTAGGTGGTTCACTACAAAAACATATATAATAAACTGTTAGTTATGAACCTATCACTTTTTGAGGAGCAGTTAATTCAGTGTTAACAACTGAGTTGAAAACGTATATTGGCCACCGTAAAGAGTAAAAAAAGCTGACGTTTCGAGCGTTCGCCCTTCGTCAAAGCGATTGTAGGAAGCAGACAATTAGAAAACCCTTTCGAACTGCGTGCGTTTTTAAACATAATAAATTATTTCTGTCTACCATTTTATGCGTGACTCCACGAGGTATAGCGTGAACGCTTCGTCATTGTGAGTTGGATGATGAAACATTAATGCAGTGAAGATGAAAAACCCACGTACTTTATAAAGCAATTTGAAATACTATGCCCAAGTTTTGATAGACCAAAAAAGTTTTATGTATAATTGATAAAAAAGATTTGTGGTGCATGGCGTAAACAGTCGGGATCTGCATCTCTGCAGTACACGGACACTAATATCAATAAAAGGTAAAACAATCTCCTATGGTACACTTGCCGAGCAGTAATTATCTCGAAGCGACTTCTGTGATGTAAGAGCTCTAAAAGGCCTCTCTGTTATCGTTGTTAAGTGACGAAATAAGCAAAGGGTGGCAATAGCCATTAATTATTTGTGATTGAAATAAATACTCATATGAATTTAACATCCATGGAGAGAGTTCTAAATATTCTCATGAGAAAGTTTCTTAAAATGATAATTCTATATTGATTGTATTTGTTTTACCTAAATTTCAAACAGATGCAAAAAGGGGGAATACCACTGAATTTAAGCATAAACATCTGACGTCAATGATTTGCATGACATTCAATTTCCCACTTATGCTTACATTAAGCAGCTGGTTCTGGCTCAAAACAATATTATAAGACTGATCTTTCAAATATCTCTGAAGAGAGAATTCTCACAAGCCTTCCTCACTGAGAAAGAAAATATCAACCGATCCTCAGCCACAGAAAATTTGCCAAAAGGCTGTGTTTATTTCAGCTGACAGATGCCCAACGTAGACAACGAAAAAAAAATGATGATGACTAGAAGTTGCCAGATATGGGGAATACTCCTGTTATCAAGTGCTCTCCTGAGTGAGTATCAAAGTTTTTATCAAAAGAGTTTTTTGTTTAATATTTATCACACGTATACCTAGAGGAGTCGCTCTTATGGCCCTCTCAATAGCGTTGGGTGAGACTACCAAAGAATGCTAGAACGGTTTTAGAAAAGTTTGCTCTTCATCCCAGCTAATCAAACCAACCTACCATAAGGAAGCCAAGAAAATATTTCAAGGAACTAATTTTACAATGTATTCCTGTGCCGCAAGCTTTAAGTCTGATTTGACTCAGGGGTCCATCATGAAAATAAATAATTTTTGCACAAATATGCAAATGAGGATGTGCGAATTCTGTAATGACAAAAGATGTATTTGACATTCAGCTGTCTCTTCATCTCTAACAAATTACTGAGCCTACTAGCTTAATAACACCATTTCAGGTCCTCTTGTACAAGGGAAAGGCAGTTTTCTATACTTCCTTCTCAGTTTTTATAAATCTTTTGTATTTAAGTCATTATTCATTCATTTTAATCTTGCATTTAGTTGAATAAACGAAAGTTAACAATTGCAACTCAGCGCCGTTGAGCGGAAATATTCTTACTACTCAGAAATTACATATCATTCTCTCGATTCTAAGGCTTTACGCGTAGTTATGGAAACACGGCGTCAATCTGTAATCATACCAGGGCAACCTGCAAAATGGCCCGAAGTAACGCTCTACCCTTGCAAAAATTATTACAAAAAAAAAACAATAACAAGTAGATAAATATGTACATTTTTTAATTTGCAAATCAGTCAGTGACGCCTAACAGCTTCAGGATGGCAGAATACTTGCTGCAAATAGAAGGTTAATTGCTATGAATGATATATATTTATTCACATCATACTAAAATAGTAGATATTATGAAAGTTCTACGCTAGATTTATTCAATAATTTCATGAATCTGCTTTTTTTTTCTTTTTTCGTTTGGCGGGGGAGTGAGAGGGCTCAGTGAACTATCGTCTATTATATATTATATAATTATTATAATTGTCTAAATTTATCACATAAACTGCAGTGTTATAAAAAAGATTTCCGGCCCTGAGAAAAGCTGCAAGAACACACGGGAACAAATATCGTTTTTTTTACGCGTGTTGATACGGCCAATCAGCTACTTACACGTGCTCAACTCGACATCACTCGAAGAGAAATTCCATATCTCTGCGCGCCCATGTATTATTCTCTATTTATTCTTACCATTACTTTCTTTTTTCCAGGCTTTTGGGTGCACGGTAACGTTTGCAACAACGATGCGTTTGACTTGGATTGTACTAAGGACAATTATTCTTGCCATCTGCTTCATAGCAACGCTAATTCTTGTTCTTGCCTGGGAATAGGATGCAAACAAACGTGCAAAAGTCTCGCAAAAGAGTGTGAAATGGTTCTAAAATGTAGCGGAGGGGATTGTGAACAAACTTGCAACGCTAAAACATGCAAACTAAACTGCAGCGGGGGAAAATGTAAATTTCAGAAGTGCGATGACAAAGGAGACGTCTGTGAAATGAATCTAGAATGTAGCGAAGGGGATTGTGAACAAACTTGCAACGCTAAAACATGCAAACTAAACTGCAGCGGGGGAAAATGTAAATTTCAGAAGTGCTATGACAAAGGAGACGTCTGTGAAATGGATCTAGAATGTAGCGGAGGGGATTGTGAACAAACTTGCAAAGCTAAAACATGCAAACTAAACTGCAGCGGGGGAAAATGTAAATTTCAGAAGTGCGATGACAAAGGAGACGTCTGTGAAATGAATCTAGAATGTAGCGGAGGGGATTGTGAACAAACTTGCAGTGCTAAAACATGCAAACTAAACTGCAGCAGGGGTCAATGTAAGAAACAGGAGTGTGATGATGAAACAGATTTTTGTGAAATGTACTTGGAATGTAGCGGAGGGGATTGTGAACAAACTTGCAACGCTAAAACATGCAACCTGAACTGCAGTAGGGGTCAATGTAAGAAACAGGAGTGTGATGATGAAACAGATTTTTGTGAAATGTACTTGGAATGTAGCGGAGGGGATTGTGAACAAACTTGCAACGCTAAAACATGCAACCTGAACTGCAGTAGGGGTCAATGTAAGAAACAGGAGTGTGATGATGAAACAGATTTTTGTGAAATGTACTTGGAATGTAGCGGAGGGGATTGTGAACAAACTTGCAACGCTAAAACATGCAACCTGAACTGCGGAGGGGGACAATGCAGAAAACAGCAATGCAAAAATAAAGTAGAAATGTGCAATATGCATTGTAACGCGATTGATTGTACACAGACCTGCGACGCTGTCACATGTCATATCTCTAGAACTTGGCCGACCAGCCCTCAAGGTTGGGTTTCATGCTCTGGGAATGGTGACTATTGTGGAAGTCTCATGTCGTCTTTGGACTCATATCCTCTCACGCAGGGAATCTTTTCTACCAAAAATGGCGGAGATAAACGCTGCACATGCACAAAATGTTTAAGGAGCTTCTGCAGCTCTTCCGATTCATACAGGTCAGATTTAATTTCATCTGCTCCGTCAACGGCGACTCAAGGTTTCTCAACTCAAATTTCAACAGTGCAGCGAAAAGATAAATCTCATACTTGGGGTGAGTAAACTTAACGTAAAAATTTGTTTTTTCACGATTGAATGTCAATGAGTCTTAAAATAGAATAGCTCTTTCTTCACTGTTCATATTCCAAATTCCTTGCGCTCTATCATTGCTTTTCAATTTTAGTTAAATGTTTTTTTTTGACATCTAGCTTTTACTTCAACATACAGAACACTTGCAGTCATCACCATTATCATTACTCTCACCATCACCATTGCCATCCTCTTCAATATCGTCATCGTCATCAGGAGCAGAAGCAACAACAACAGCAGAATCAGAATCAATATCAACAAAATCATCAGAATCTTCATCATTACAGGCAGCAGCATCGTCGTCTCTGCCATCGTCAATTTGGACATCTACGTTGGAAGTACTTAAGAATTTGGTATGTTTCGTAGTTTCTCCTTTTTTTCTTTTGTAACAATAATTTTCATAGTTTCTGCCATTCTTCAAAGATTTTGTCTTTCTTTACCACAGGCAAATGGTTCTGTTTCTAAACTTGGTGAAATAGATAGCAGGAGAAATAACTCTTTGAAGGTATAAATGCACTCATGTCTCCTTATAACAAGATTAAGATTACTTGTAGATATGAAATGTGCGGTAATTAAAAGGAGTTACTTGTGCAACGCTGCAGTTCGTAAGCTGCACAAGCGTTTTAAACAGGGACAAAAGCATGACAGTATTTTTACTAGCATCACGAGAATTAAATATAGGAAAGTATACCTCCTCAAAAGATGAGTGGCTCATTCGCTGAAATGATGTTCTGTTAAAACGCTCCTTTTTTAATCATACAATATCCAATCAGTTCAAGTCTTATGATGTGCGCTTTTGTTTTCTCATTGTGATAACGACACGATTAAAGTTAACTTTTTGGTCCTTAAAGGAGGCTATGCGTGTATTTGAAGACTTTATCGATAATTTTATGAACATCACGACACCCATTAAAGGCCAACTTAATGATGGAGGAGAAGAAACAAGAAGAGAATCCATCTTTAAGGTGGCAGTCGCCTTCGAGGAATTTGCCCTTAACTATGGTAAATACCATCTAAATGGAACGAATCCTTCTACATCGATCACGAGCCAAACAATGGGTGAGTTAATATTATTTTTTATTTGTAACTGACCTACTGTCCAATTGTCTACCTGAATGCTCTTTCTGCCGCCTGGCCGTAGATATTAAGTGATACAAGTGAATTCTTGAAAGGCTCATGGAAGCAGTCGAAGGCGCATAAAATTTGTCTGGCTTGATGCAATTAGGTGCACGAAGAAGGGTGAAGCACAGTTGACGAGAAGTGATTTTCCTTTTGATAAAATTTTGTTTCAATTTCCTCTTTTGAGTTTGTGAGTACGATCTCAGTACAATAATATATTTCAAATAAACCCGAATGGCGTTTGAAAAAACATAGCGTAGAACTGTGTGTAGACCTTCAAGAAGAGGATTTGCATATGCCACAATCATCTCCTTGAATTCCAATCACCACCTAACATCTTCTCCTTCTTCTGACAGTTTTGGGTATTCAAATTGGCTACCGCCATAATGCAACTGACTTCTTCCTCAAGGGGGAAGAATGGGAAGTCAGCATTAATATATCCTCGGATGATTTTGCTGAAAAAGGTTTGCGTTAACCACATTTTAAGCTCTAAATCATAGAATTGCATTTTTCCTCTTTAATATTTGCTCTATTATTTAGAACTCAGATGGTTTTGCGTATCAGTGTACTATTTGTCAATCATTAAACATCTCAAAACAGCTGAGAAAATATGTGCACCCCGAATGATCAAAAAACCATTCGTTTATTGCTCAGGTAAACCCATAGAAAAGTGACGTTTATATTAGAAAAGCAAAAGACGTTAAACCGACGTGATGACCCTATCAGGAAGCTAGGAGAATAGTCAAGTTTAGTCTGGACTGTTTGCCAATCACTCACGCCCATCTCGTGATATATAAACCTTAGTTGAACGTTCTCCCAAAATTCAAAGTAGATGATTTCGCCCTTTAACAAGTAGAATGTAGGGTCAATTGCTGGAATTAATGATAATTAGTACGCACAACATTTCTGTGTTTTCACTGACGTCATAGGAAAGTAAAAAACAACGAAAGCATTTTAGTTGATCTATTCCAGTGGAGTCTTGGGTTCAAATAGTTTATTCAGAATGATAAAGGAACAATGATGTAGTTTAGCCAGTTGGGTTATCAAATGCCAGAATAAATGGGTCAAACAAATTATGGCGCATACTGTATTATAACTTAATAAGTTCTTTGGTGAAAGAAAGAGAGGGGACTTGATCGATCACCATTTCGAACATGTTTATACTGAGACTAACCCCATCGTTTGGCGTTAGAAGGACTTTTTTTCCACACTCTGGTTGTTTTCTTTATAGGGTCAGTGATTGTAGGGTGTGTGTACAAGGATCTTCATGTATTACTGCTGAGAAATCAATCCACTGGGAAAGAAACTAACACTTCTAGGTGACGTTAAACGATGAAATAATTGCGACTTGGTTCGTGCTTAGCGTGCATGTATTGAATTATATGGCATGCCATATCAAATTTAACCAATCAAAACAAGGAGAAGCCTATTAAGTGGTATGATAAGAACTTTTACAATGAAAAAAAGAAGGCCATGACTAAAGTCCATTTTGAAGCTCATTTGAAGAAATTTTACTAACCGTTAAGTTTTCTCTATCCCACAATAAACTCTCAAAGTCACACAAAAAAGTTAGTTTTCATTATCACCGTTTTACATCAAAGATAAAAATGACATAAAGTGTGCTTCTACATCATGCAGTTACATGTAAATGCAGTGTGATGCTTTGCAAAACTTGATGTCATAGGAAAACATTTTCTCTGCAGGTATGTTAACACCAGAATAATGACGGCAGCGATGAATCCCAAACCTGAAAAATTACGACGAGATGCCATCTTGAAGTTCAGAAACCTTCAGGTAACAGCAAAAATACAGAAAGATGATCGCGTTCCATCTGTGTCATGTTGGATCGATTTAATAGAAATACGTGTAAACTATATTTTCAGGTCGTTAAAGAAGAACAACACTGCATGTTTTGGAGTGGTTTCAAAAATAGGTAAAAACAAAGTTATTTGTTAAATATGCTTTGGAACTCCATCATTTTTGGGTTTAGTCCAAAGTTGAGTGTAGAAACTGGAGATTACCAGTCAAACCCTCATTTGCGAGGTCAGCGGTAAAAGACGTATGGCTTTTGCTGTAAAAATATTGCCCTGCCGGCAAAATGAAATATATGCACGAATAATGGTATGGAAGGTAACGACGTACTCGGTAATCCGTGTAATCGTCACCGTGGCCGTGTGCAGAGATTGGAAATCCGAACTAAGAACCAATCAGATTGTAGGATTTGTTACCGTGCCCTCTAAGAAAGAAAATCGTTATTGTTATTTCTTATATTGTAATATTCCTTTGCTTTTAGTCCAGATGGGTTTTCAGAGGAAGGTTGTCATGTGGATCATTCGAGGAGCAATTCAAAAGAAACGGTTTGCAGCTGCAATCATTTGACTCATTTCGCTGTCTTAGTTGACTTCAGCGGTAGCACTAAGGTAGCTTTATTAATATTATTATTATTATTATCATTATCATTATTATTGTTTTTTACTTTGCTTCCAAACTAATAATGGGTCCGTATGGTTAATTTAAGTATTGCCTCCTTTTGCTTTTGTTTTTGACGCAGCTTTCCGAGAACGACGTAGCTATCCTGGAGATCATCACGTACGTGGGGCTAAGCCTTTCCATCATCGGAATACTTTCGACAATAACTTTATATTCTTTCCTTACGTAAGTACTGTAATCAAATTATCAGGAAGAACATCCTTAAATGCCTTGGAAGATGTAGTAAATAAATAAAGCCAGTGTAATGTTCATACCCCTCCCCCAAAAAAAAAAAAGAAAAAATAATAAAGGGAATGCCTTGGTGCTAGTTAGAAACTTAATCCGTACCCAATGTTTTGGACATTACTCGTTATCAGTGACTGTCCAAGTTCATCTGCCTAACTGCTCTCTCTTGCTTTCACTCATTTTTTTTTTTTTTTTTTTTTTTGTTTTTTTGTTTGGTTTTGTGTGTGTGTGTTGTTGTTGCTGCTCTAATATCTTGATTTTAACAGAGATGTTCGTCAGCCTCTGTCTCAAATACGCGTCAGTCTTGCTGTGGCTTTAGGAGCTGGACAAATATTTTTTCTCTCCGGAATAAACGCCACAGAGAACAAGGTGGGAGGTTTTTTCCATTATTTCAATTAAATTAAATATATTATGATCAAACAAAACATTGAAATGACAAAACATTTTTTTTTTCTTTACGTATCTGTGCAGGCTGTGTGTGTCATAGTAGCAGTTATCATGCAGTATCTTCTGATGGCCGCTTTCTGTTGGATGCTGGTCGAGGGAATTTATCTCTATCTGTTTGTTGTAAAGGTTTATAACATTAACACCAAGATGCACATGTATCACGTCATGTCATGGGGTATTTTGATTATACAGTTGAACTAACGATATGCTGCTTTTAATGGTTTTCAACTATAATTTAATTTTAATCTTATTGAGTCGCCTTGATTGGTTTATAATTTCGTGATAGGTTTTCCCTTAGTTATGGTGGCCATTTCACTGTCTATCGCTGCCGGAAAAGAAGGAATACAGAGTTACACCAGCGACAAATTGTACGAGGCGTGTGTTTTTTTCTTTTTTTCTCCTCTATTTCTTCCCTTAAATTGTTAATTTTTTTCTTGAAGTTTTGATGTTTCTTTTAATTTACTTCGACATTTTTATTAACTTTAGCTCAAAGTCCTTCTCATAACATTTATCCTTTCGGGACAGCTTTCTGTTTTTCGCTTGCAGATATGAAAGTTGAAAATATGAAATGCAGATATGAAATTTATCTCCTCGTGTTCAACTCGACATCTCAATCGTTCGCTGGGCCCAGTCGTGAGCTATCGAGTCAAACGCTCGAAGAGAAATTCCATATCTACGCGCGCCCGCGTATTGTTCGCTTTGTAATTTCTTACGAATGACGTTGACTGCAGATCTTATGCTGCTAATTTTTTTTATTGTTTTGTTATATTTCCCCTTTTAAGTTGTTGGATATCCTCAGCAAACAATTTGATATGGATATTTGTCACATTTGTGATTGCAATTGAAGTGGTAAGTTTCTGATTCGGCTTATTCAAATTGGTGATTCTGATATAAGACTTGAAATGTGTACTAGCCATACCTTAATACAAGCTTTTAATTTATCTACTCCTTTATCAGATCAACATTTTGATACTCACACGAGTCATAAGGGAGATGACTAGAATGCAGCCAACAGGAGACCAGCAAAGTCAGCAGTTACGGTGAGAAAGGGCTCTTAATTAAATTTAAAAAAAGAGAGGGAAAAAAGTTTCCAGTTCCTGCAAGAGATTGGGTGAAATCTTTAAGAATCCTTACAATCGAATACGTCTTACTTCCTCAGGAGCTTGTTGTTATTAATTAGGGAAAAGAAATTCTGGGTACCGTAAATGTTTGTGAGGGTGATGTGCAATCAATTGATCAACAAGTTTTCGTCCTTCAGAGTTGGTATTAGAGCATGCATGGTGATGATTCCCCTGTTGGGTATCACGTGGTTATTTGGTCTTCTGTCGCCACTACACAAAGCTTTTTCCTACATTTTTACTATCCTCAACTCTACTCAGGTGAGTATCAAATATTACCATTTTATAGTTTCATACGTGAGATTATCCACATTGAGTGTCGAGATTACTTATAATTATAAATCGTAGGGTGTTGATGGGATATTTGTAAATGTGACACAGACAAAAGAGGATAAACATTAAAAGAAAAGGAAAAAAGCGATGCCACTGTCTATGAGATTCTTACAAGTCAAGAAATAATTTGATTCTCTTTGTTGTTCTTTGGGACTTTAAGAAAATAAACTTCAATATAGGTACCCCAAGTCGCAATCACAAAACGAAACTGGCCTGAAAAACATTCTTTTTTTTCTGTTAAAGGGTTTCCTGATTTTCGTTCTTCACTGTGTGCGAAACAGTCAGGTAAGTTTAATTATACATATGGTGTATATAATGAGGTTTTAAACTTGAATATACCGTGAGAGTGGTTCATTTTCTTACTTTCTATGTCCATCGGTGCCGTTATTTGTTCACTTTGCTTGTCTATCTGCAGATTAGAGAGCGATTCAAAAGGAAGGTGAACACTGTTTTCCCATCTACAAACAATGGAAACTCCGCAAAGAGGAGCTCACAGGTTAATCCAAGTGATGTTGGTGATACGTGGGTAGCTGAGTTGCAGTCTTTCAATGAGTTTGAGATGGAAAAACACTCAGCTTGAAGAACTAGATTCAACACTGACCAAGCTTGAAACTCCATCATTTGATTGTTTAATATAATAGTTAGTCAGTAGTAGTTGCTCATTTTCGATCTGTCGGGAGGATATCGGCCGTTCAAATCGAGCCTTGAGCTTGGTGAATAAGTCATTTGTAAGGTGTCAGTTACTGCGATGATTGGGTAATTTGCTAAAGTCAGTAACCTTTAAGGTTTTTTAAGCTAGATGCAAGAGCTTATCAAGCTTTTTTTTCTTTAAATTAAGAGTATGTACTTCATACGTAATTAGGGAAAGTTTGCTTTAGCTGCAAACTAAATTGCTTTAAAGTAACTAACCTATAGGTTGGCTGTAGATTGCCGTTAGAATTCAAAACAGTCTGACTTTCACGCGGTGGTTTCTTCGCCTCCTATTATTTCCTACTATTTAGTTGGAATGTCGCGGCATTGCAGTCAAGCAGTCAAGACTGACGTGTCTTCAAACAGTTTTAAGCTTTACTATGATACGCATTTCTCTGAATGTTAGTGGGCAATTTTAAGACTAATATTTTACGATAGCGTCACCTTTTTATAATATTTAAGCAGTTAAAATACATACAAAATAGCAAATACTATTTGCTTTGGTAATAGTAGGGGTTGAAGCTGACTTTTAAATTTTATGATAAATAAGTGAGTGAAAAAACAAATAATTGAATTTGTGACAAAAACGAAATAATATTTTAGATTTTTTCAGGATCAGTTACATCTGATTAAACGTAGCGGATTCAACAGATTAAAATTTGCGAGTTACTAGGAAGAAATGGAACTAACTTCGATGTTCGGGAAAGATGCACCTGGGCAAGAAACGCCCTGAGTTTATCTTAAGTGAAGGAACGCTGTAAACGTGGAAAAACAAAAAGGTTTTTCATCAGACTTGTTTTCCGGGAAAAAAAACCCAGAGAGCAGTTGCTAAGGGAAAATTGAGGCCATTAGAAAGGGAAGAGGTTTTTAGATCTATTTCAACTCCCCCCCCCCCCCTTTGCCCCACCCTTCATATTTAGATGTGGGTATTTAAACACTGCAAAAATAATGCATCATTTTAGTGTGATACGTGGTGCAGATCGATCCAACTTACAGCACTATGCAGAAGTACTATAAATGAAGGCTTTCAAATAAAGCGCTTTGTTTTTAACATAAATTAGAAGGAGGCGGGCCAGAGCCCCCATGTGTCTGTACCTCATTTCTCCTTTCGTAATATTTGAAAAAGGATAGATGAGATTTCAGAGCTATCTCGCGATCATCTTAAGGACATCTCCATCTAGAGACATATAGGTACAACACTATATCGAGGAACTTGCGTGATTTGTCCTTCTTTGGCGGGATACGCATCTTTGATATCTCATTAATTTGTGAATAAATCGCCTCAGGCTAATGATTTTCGCCGCTTATAGACTGTCCGAAAAGGGAACATTTTGCTCAAAGACAAAGCTTCGAAGGGAGATGTGAACAATATCAACACCCCATAATTTTCCATAACGCGAGTCGATAGCTGGCTTATTTCCTTAATAATCTTAGGACAATTATCGAAGCTGACGTGGTTATTTTTGGTAACTGACCTGTTATTTTGCAAAACCCAGAAAGCCGCGCGATAACAAATGGGGGGGTTTCAAATCGAAATGTCCTTGAGATAGTGTTGATTACTCACCCATTTTGTATGTCGTAGTGGTATTTCTAAATTGGTCTGCTCGGTATACGTCGAAATTCCGGACTGATGTATCCAAAAGCAAAGTAAAATACAAACAGTATCTAACTACTTATGGAGAAGAGCATTGTAAAAAGGTAAAGTAAGGCAGAACAGTCATTTGAGCTTTGAGAATCAATTGAAATTAGAAACTTACTTTAAGTAAAACCATATTTGTTCCGAGTTAGTTCGTGTTATGCTACTGCTCTAAAATCACCGAGATGGTTTCTTAAATAGCTAAATAAACAAAGACTCGCAATGGTGAATAGTCGACCGCAAGAGTGGACATTTACAATCGATACCAAAAATTTAATCTCTCGAGTTTGACTATTTATGACTATTTAACATTTTAGTCCACTCCATTATTTCAAAAGAATAACGAGTAACGTAGAGAAACGATTTCTTACGCTATTAATTGATATTTTTGCTATGCTTTCTTTTAAACAGGTGAAAAGTCTGAGTTCTTAGAATTGAATTTAACGGGAGACAAGACGTCAAAAATGTAAATGTCGTTCCAATTTCCTGCATAATGAATAAGCAACACAAAGCTGATTTTGACTCAAAACAACACACTCTGAAAGCTTATTCTTTTACCATGAGACTGATCTGGAAAAAAGTTTTCCCAAACAAGAATTGCTACCAACTTGATTCGGCCAGAAGGAAATTTGGGGAAAAAAAGGTTAGAATTGGTTGAGCGTAAGGCTGAGAGAAACGTAACTCAAACAGAAAAGTGAGATGTTGACAAAGGCTTGTCAGAATTGGGGAATCGTCCTATATTCAATAACTTTGTTGAGTGAGTACCAAATTTCTCTTTAGAACATGAATTTTTGTTGAGTTTATTAGTATCGCAAGCATAGTCCGAAAAAAAAAAAAAGGACTTCTTCAGAGTTCTCGCACGTGACTCGAACTTGTTGTTTCCCCAAAGGCCTTCGGAAGAAAATACGGCAGCAGATAGCGATAGAATCTTTTAAATTTTCTTGTTCCTGTAGTACAAGGGCGTGCTTTGAGAAGCAGGTATATCGTTATTAAATAACTGTGGATAACGTGGTAGGTATAAGCCCCAATACAACTTAAGTAGTTTTGAGGTAATGTCGAACTAAGCATTTCTGTTTTAACAATAATTTCAAATAAAAGGTTTCCTTATCAAAGACGTCTTATCCAACCGAATTCTTTAGCCTGCCATCTTGTGAGTAGTCAATTTGAACATGTCACCAGAAAGAACTACCGAGGTGTTTTGTGAGGCAAAACGTCCAGGTGTCTGTAAAACGTGGACCGGATGACTGCAGATGGCGGGTGTGGATGGCGGATGGGAAAATGCGAATGGAAAAAAAAGACATATATAAGAAACGAAGAGGCGTCACTCAAATGAATTGAAACAGCGTTTTGTGATTCTGCTTAATGTTACTCTGTCTTTAACCACACAGAACGGGAAAAATGACATGCTGTTTAATACTGAATGTTGCAATTACCGTCGCATCGTCGGCAAGTGACCCTTGCCAGGTACCCTGGCTCCAATAGTCTGCTCTAAATAATCTAGAAAACAGCTATTTGTGCTTTAGATCACTGATTGTGAATAACGAAAGATAAAGAGAGAAAAGAGTTCTTAGACTATTTAACTACGTTCTGGTACGGGCAACTGTTCGATTGTTACCCGCAAAATTTGTTTTTGCTGATAGCCTCTTGAGACACCGCAGGACACTTCTGTGTTTCTATTGGCGGTCGGCATTGCGAAAAATTTTGAGTGTTGACGTAACTTGGCAGGTGGTCACTTAAAGGCGTCTTTTTTTATTACACGATCATGGAGTATGTAAACCATACGGATTGCCTTGAACTTCCGTTTTCGGGACTCTGCAACATACCAATCTAAAAATCCGGTGGGGGATCCTACTTTTTCTGAACGAATCCTCCGCAATTGCCTTAGACGTTCGGCGGTCTTGTATCGCGCAGAATGCTATTGTCTTTCGCGACATTGACTCACAGTGCCCAGTTTATCAACGAGCGGAATATCAATTTGCTTGCCTAGAGCTAGTTCGAATCATATCAAAGTGATTGTTAGTTGCCAATGAGGAAGGATAAGAATATCACACAGAACCCTATGGAAAGATAAAGTAAATTTTATTCTACCCTTCCCCCCCCCCCCTTCTAGACTGGTCTATAACATTGAGGAGCCATAAAGGACACTTTTCGTCTCTTTAAAGGGAAAGTTTTCTCTTATTAGTGTCCTCTGCGCGCCTTCCTTCGAGCGCTCGAGCCTCCCTCCTTATTATTTGCTACTCCACTCTCCCAATTACTATATAAACAAATATCGATGTTATTGTGTTTCTCGCAGACTCAGAGAAATGCTGGATTCCCCTGCATGTCGTTACAATACATGCAGCGTTGATATGAATTCACCAGAGGACTTCTACTTCCCCTGGTTTATTCCTCATACATGTATTACAGGATCAGTCCCGCTGGTGAATTTATTAAAATACCATGTAAACGTTACCAATTTCAACAAGCAGCTTCATTTATTTGATGGATAGATGGTAATTTCTTCCATCCGTGCAGTTGAACAGATCGAATACTCGATAAAGCTTCCGGTAGGAAAATACTGATTTACAAAAGAACACTAACTTTAAATATGATTCATGAACAAGTTTTATTAAAAACGTATTTTATCAACTTATTATTATCTGCTCTATAAGAAAATGTAAACTAGTATAGCTATTTCTATATAGCTAATTATAGCGAGTTTCCTGTTTTGCTGAAGCAAACAATTCCTTTGCACCTGGTGGAAAAAGCCTTTAGCTTCATTGTTCCTTTTATCAAGGGAAAAAATAGTGGTGGCTTATGTCAGTGAGAAGCGATCGAGTATTATCATATGTCATATTACCGCCATCAAAAGAGTTTTAATACGTTACACAATCTGTCGCGTCGGTGTTGTTTTCATGTTAAGAACTATATAGCATAAATGTACTGGCATCTGCTGGGGGCAACTTCTCTATATCATAAGCTTGAAGAATTGGGCTTCAATCCGGTAAAATGTTCACAGCCCTGTTTTTACACTCTGCTCTGAGTAAATACAACCGAAGCTCTACTACATCTTCTGATGATGTTATGGAAATGTTAAGTAAATAGTGTCTGGTTAGATCTAGATATTTGTTATTCTTGAAACAGTTTTGCGGTTTTAAAATTGAAATGGTAGTTATAATTCACGATTGTTGTGTCTTAATGGACGTTTAGTGCAAAGCCTTTCAGAAATATTATATAAGGTTTCAGGAACACGATAACATAGTCGCCTACCTCATGAAACTGCTGTGACCATAAGTTAACCGAGAAATAAACAGACGCTATATATGATCTTTTTCGCGAAAAAAACGAATTTAGTTCGTCGACTAAAAAACTAATTCAGACGTTTCACTTAAACAATCTTGCACGAAAAGAAATGGGAGTTGCATTCGTGCTCATTTTATAAAAACGCTAAGTCGAAAAAATAATTGTGATAAACAGAGGGGCCAGTTTGGACAAGTGTTTATCATAATAAATGCCGTCAGCAACAGCTCAGCTTGTGACGGGTTCATCTTTTATTTCTCTTTAATAAATTCCCCGCATCCTCGAATTTTTTATCGGTTTCAGTTGTTGAATTTTATTTTCTAAATGGACGACAAAACCCAGTAAACGGTAAATTAATGAATTCCAACGCAGTTAGAAAAAGAGAAAAAAAAGCTAAATTTGTACGTTTACTGTCTTCATTTACAATTTTCATCTCCACTCAAATCACTTTTTTTTCTTTTTTTTTTTTGAAATAATAATAGGGTCATTTGTCGAAAGATATACTTTTTTATCTCTCCGCTACTACGCCATTTAAGCCATTTATTTGGGCAATGGAACATGGTCACGGTATTCCACTGTACAACAGTGCAAAAATACGGACGGAGAGCGGAACAACAGAAGGTTGCACCTAACAAACGGATATTATTGTTGTTGTTGTTTTTTCCCTTTTTTAAGCAACAAATTTCTTAGCTCATTAAACTTTTCTGACGGTTATAAAGAACACTTGAATGGTTTCCCAACGGCACTCTCTTGACTTGGAATAATATCGCGCAAAATGTCGGCATCGAATAAGTTGTAAATATTTATATTGTAGTTATCTGTTCCGAGAAGCGACAATTTTGAACTTTTTGAACTTACAAATAAATGTCTAATCCATACGTTTGACCTCTCGGTGATGATTCTGGGAAAAACAAAGCTATAAGGCACAAGTATTTGCTTTGCTCTAAGCATGTGAAGTCGTTGCCCAAAGGAATAAGCGCCCATCCCGGTTACTTCGAGGAACAGTTAAAAACTGTCTAAAGTTTTGGCATTTTTTACCGCAATTTCCTTTCATTTCCATTTTAGATTTAAAGTTTCAATTAAACAAAATTAAAGGCAAGAGATAGATAACAAATTGAAGGTGGTCCTTGAATTACAATCATGTAAACATCTCCTGATGAAACGCATCCCTAAGCTCCTAAGGGAAGGTAAGAAAAGTCATAGGTAGATTTTAAAGTGCATGCAGCGAATAAAATGCATTAGTACTAGTCTACCTCGAAATCTAATAAACTTTTTAGTTGTTTCAAACGTTATTTTCGACATAACAATCGCATTTTCTCTTCTACAGTCATCCTTCATTTGATGATGGAATTGCCAGGAACAGGTGAGACAGTGTAATTCCAATATAATATTTGTGTACCATAAAAATTAACCGGAAAAAAAGAAAGGATTTGACTGAATTATCAAAATGATTAGTGATAGACTTCCTCCTGGAATTACATCGGCTTGCGATTAAAAAACGTTAGTTGGAAAGCAAAAATAAAAAAAAGTCAGACTAACGGTGCTATTACCCTGATTTCCCCAATTTCCACTTTTAAAACCTTGCCTAATTCTAATTTTTCCTTTGGTGAGGTAGAAAGTTTTGATGCCCATTGTTTTTTTATCAATGTTAATGGTATAAAAATATACTTTCTCTTCTTCATCTATATCGTTATTACTATTGTTATGATCAGTAAACAATTTTTTATTTACTTATTCCTTTGTCTCCACCATCAGAATTATCACAACATTATATTACAACAGTATACATTTTTTTGTCTATTTTTTGTCCTTTATTTTTTTTCCCAGAGTGCCAAGCAACCTGTTTCAAAAACTCCTCTTACATATTTTCGAAAAGCGGAAGAGATGGTATGACAACAGGGATGTCTGTTTCGAACAGGGATTTGACTTAGTCTCCATCGAAACTGAAGAAGAATGGAAGTTTATCAAACATGAAATTCAAAAGCGTGATACTTGGGATACTAGTGCGTGGCACATTGGTTTATGGAAGATAAGCGAGGTTTGGACTTGGCTGAGTGGAGAAAAACTAAATATTTCGAAATGGCGAGATTCTGAGCCAGATGGTAACGACGATTATGCGGAAATATCCAAGAGTGGAGGTCTCTTTAATGGTATCTCTAAAAATGATGAAAATGCCTACATTTGCGAGATTCCCGGAGGTAAGATCACATTCCAACCATAAAGTGTATTACATGCTGAAATATTACAGTCTTGCACTTGTGTCAGAAAAATTGCTCTTGCTTCTTAAGATGAAGATATTGTTCACAGAATATGCTCAGCTCACCTCACTTGAACATGTACGTGTCAGCGACGAATGAACTTTTAAGCGCGTATTAGTAGTTGAACATAATGCCCATAAAAAAATCCGGGACATATGTTTCGAAAAAAAAAATGATTACTCTAAAATTGTCCTTTTTTTTGCATCGCCTGCAGCTGAAAAACCGCGATCGAAATTGTATATTTAACAACTTTTGTCGAGTGCGTTGAGATTGGGATAATCTAGCCAACGGAATTTTCCCTTGCCACAAGTTACAAGGCGTGTTCACTGAGGTCAGTTAGTAAATGCATGTTCTTTTAAACATAGCACATCGAAGAATGTATGCCCAAGGTCTTGAGTACCAGTTTTGAAGTACTGGTTTTTCTCGTAGAGTGCCAAGCAACCTGTTTCAAAAACTCCTCTTACATATTTTCGAAAAGCGAAAGAGATTGGAATAACAGTAGGCGTGTCTGTAAAGACCAGGGATTTGACTTAGTCTCCATCGAAACTGAAGAAGAATGGCAGTCTATCAGTAACGAGATTCAGAAGCGTGGTACTTGGAATGCTAGTGCGTGGCACATTGGTTTATGGAAGATAGACGGGGTTTGGACTTGGCTGAGTGGAGAACAATTAAACATTTCGAAATGGCGAGATTCTGAGCCAGATGGTACCGACGATTATGCGGAAATATCCAAGAATGGAGGCCTCTTTAATGGTATCTCTCGGAATGATAAAAATGCCTATATTTGCGAGATTCCCGGAGGTAAGATCACACTCCAACCATAAAGTCTACTATGTGCTGAAACATTACAGTCTTCCACTTGTGTCAGGAAAATTGCTCTTGCTTCTTAAAAGTGAAAATATTGTTCACAGAATATGCTCAGCTCATCTAACTTGTACGTGTGAGCGATGAACGACCTTCTAAGCGCGTATTAGTGGTTGAACATAATGCCCATGAAAAAATCCGGGACATATGTTTCGAAAAAGAATGATGACTCTAAAATTTTCCTTTTTTTTTACATCGCCTGCAGCTGGCAAAACAGCGATGGAAATTGTATATTTAACAACTTTTGTCGAGGGCGTTGAGATTGAGATAATCTAGCCAACGGAATTTTCCCTTGCCATAAGTGACAAGGCGTTTTCATTGATGTCAGTAAATGAATGCATGTTCTTTTATACAAAACATATCGAAGTGTGGGTGCCTGTGTGTACCCTACTGATTTAGGGCTGTAATTACGGCAAGATCCTCCATGAGCTGAACAATTTTTGAACGAGTAAATGGTAGTTGAAACAGACTGAGGTAATGCAAGTTAAATAGAGGCTTCACCGAAATATTTTTATTTGTATAATGAAAAAGGTGATTCAAATGGCTTGCCAACAAACTTTGAAGCATTTCTTTAAATGTATCTGTCACAATCTGACACCTGTTAAGAAGAGAAAGTGTAAGAAACAAAAGCGCATGCACGTTTAAAAAAAAAACAAAAAAAAATCATTATCAACGGTACTGGTTTGGCAAACAAACTTAAGTTTAATATCTGTAACGAGTATTGATGAACGACGTATACCTCTGTTCAATCAGAGCACACTTCTATTCAATCAGTAAATGGAAAATAATTGTCAGTAAAATTAATTCTGTTTCGAGATTCTGCCCATTTGTTAGGTGCAATCGCGTGTGTAAATCTGATCTTTTCTTTTCTTTTTGGAATAATTAATTCCTCTGTATTGCATTTGTGACATTTGTTCAGCAGATTCAGCTCCTGGACAAAACTCTTGGCAGGGCTCTTACCAAGACTACGTTGGACCACCTTGTACACAACGATATGGTAAGAGGAGTGGGTCACTATAATGACGTGGAATATGTCCCAAGCACAATAAATAACCCATTCTCAGAAATAGAAGGTACAAAATGATAAGGGAGGGGGGACCCGACAGACTTGCTGGTGCTCAATGTAATCGAAACTTCACCGGTGCTTAACGCAATCGAAGATGCCATGGTGTAAGGTGCAACAAACATGCACAGAAATTAAAACCGGCGAGTATCGCAATCAAGCTAATAGCTGAGTAGTAAACCATTTCCTCAGCTACCTAATCAATTAACAAAAGCCATAGCTCGTTTTTCTTTTCCTCCCTCATTATTGTTAACAACGGGGATGTTCGAGGTAATATATTCCAATAGTTTCCGTTGGCATAGCACACTTCAAGTTGAGTACTTCGTAACATTGGCGACATATGGTGTTATGACACATTTAGCAAAACCTGTATTGGAAGGAAACCAAAGTGATCCTCGCTAGCGTTCACTTATTATAAAACATCTGTTTCATCCAAGTTTTGTAAATTGAGCGATATGACAAGTTTGAATTTTTGAACCTTTAAACCGTTTGCGTTTCCTGTCATTCGCCTCCCAATAGTTGGAAAAATATAAAAACATGTGCTAAGAGGAAAGCCGTAAAACATTGAAACAGCTCAATTTACATCTCGTTCTAATCCAAGATTTTCCTCTCTCATCCATCTCCAGCATCGCCATCGCCGTCGCATCGCCGTCGCCGTCGCCGTCGCCGTCGCCGTCGCCATCGCCATCGCCATCGCCGTCGCCGTCGCCGTCGCCGTCGCCATCGCCATCGCCATCGCCATCGCCATCGTCAACAACACCATTGTCATCGTTTTTAAGGACAGTCGAGAAGCTGGTTTGTGTTCTAAATAGTCATTTACGTTTCTGTGCATGTCGCTTTTCGGGACCTTCTCTGTTTATAAATGTGACATATTTTTTTTTTAATTCTAGGCAAATGATTCTGTGTCAAAATTTTCCGGAATAAACATTACCAGAAATATTTCCATAAAGGTATCCAATTTTCATAACTTGAAGGCTTTTAACTTTGATATATCTATTTAAACCATAAAAGTAAATATCTGATCTTTCAGGATAAACCACCATTCAAGCCATATGAGGTGAAAATGGTGAAAAATGGGAAAAAATAATCCAGGCTCCTAAAAGAGTTATTTTGACAATGGATACCCTGGACACCATCGAGGGCCTCCTGCTAGACTTTTTCCGCCTTCTTAATATCAATTGTATCTATGAGACTAGCTAGTTAATGACCTGGAGATATTTTACGTCATTGCAGGAGGCTGTAGGTGTGTTTGAAAATTTCACCATAAATATCGCGAACGTCGCAAAAGACATGGCCAACATGGAAGAGGTTAAGACTCTAAGAAAATTCATCTTTGAGGTGGCAGAGGCCGTCGAGAAATTTGCTCTTAATTATGGAAAGCAGCACCTGAGTGGAATGAGGCTTTCAAAAAGGATCGTGTACCCAAAAATGGGTGAGGTTGCGGCCTTCAATACTGTTTAGGTTTAAAGTCTATTTCTCTGTTACTTAATGACTTGCTGACAGACCGACTGAGCAGCATAATTTCCTAGATAATGTAAGAACTCAGTTATATGCCTTAAACGTTATTGTTGAATGTTATCGATGTCTGTTTTTTGTCTTTAAACAATCAATAAGACAATAGAAATCCTTCAAAATTTTGAAACCTTTCTTCTCGCTCGGTTTGACAGTTTTGGCCATTCAAAAAGCCTATCGCCAGAATGCGAGTTACTTCCACTTTGAGGAACAACGATGGCAAGCGAGAATCGATATCGCTTCTTCAAATTTTGAGGAAAATGGTTCGTATTAACCAGCGTGTTAACTGTACAACTTTTAGTTACCTTGGTTTCTCCAATCGAAATTTCTGTATTGAAATAAATCCTCAAAAAAATGCGGTTTATTAGTTTACATAGTCTATTTTCTTGAATCATTTGCCTTCCTTCTAATGTCATGATAAAAATTTTAATTTTGTGGTTTATTATTATTATTTTTTTTTTTAACTTATTTTTTGTTGATTCTTGGGGGTTTTAAGGATCATTGGTGGTTGCTTTTGTGTACAAGGATCTACATGACCTACTTCTGACAGATCAACCTATCAGGAATGAAACAGTCAACAAAAGGTGATGTTATTTTCATCTTATAGTATGTCCCTTTCCCCAAAAACGCACAACACAGAAATACGTAAGACCCAAGTTCAACTAAACTGACCTTAGAAACTGTCAAAAGTTCCAACTAAGGTTGGAAGTCTCCCTGCCTGTCTCAGACTATTCCACCTTCAATAAAAATTCGCTTGAATCTAGCGAGAGTATATGCTTGTTGATTCCTTGGTTTTGGTTCATTTTCAAATATAATTTCTTCATAGGTATATCAACTCCAGGATAATGGCCATAACTATGGACCCCAAGCCAAATAAATTGGGAGAAAATGTCATCCTTAAGTTCAAAAACCTTAAGGTAACATTAAAATTAGTAGTAACGCGTTATTATGATTCATTCTGACAAGATAAAATCCATTTTCAGGTCTTGACAGCAGAGAAGCGTTGTATGTTTTGGAGTGGCCGCATCGAAAGGTAAAAATAAAACTGCAATATATTATTGTTCAGTTTTTATTCCTTCTTAAATTGATTTAAGTATGAAGGAGAATGAATGAACTTTCTTAGTAAGATTTTCCCTGGAGGCCAACATGTTGGCGTTTTTAGAGAGAGGAAGTCTGACTGAAATGTTCTCGCAGCTAAGACTACAATGAAGGAAAAACTTAGCGCAAAATTGTCAAACATCGCCTCTTCCAAAACGATGAACAATTTTGTGCGCTTTGTCGACCTACTTTTTTTCAGGTCAGAAGGCTTTTCAGAGGAAGGATGCCATGTAGTTACATCAAAAAGCAACTCAGAAGAAACAGTTTGCAGCTGCAATCATTTGACGCATTTCGCCGTCTTAATGGACTACGACGGTAGCACAAAGGTAATCAAATAATTTTTGCCTTACTCTATAATTTTATGAGCTCAATTAAATATCTCAATGTTTTCCTTTAAATTTTTTTTTCTTTTTTGACACAGCTCACCGAGGAGGACGAAACAGTTCTGAAAGTTATCACCTACGTGGGACTGGGCCTCTCCATCGTCGGGATACTTTTAACATTAATACTCTATTCTTGCCTCACGTAAGTAATGTACCTGAATATTAGTGACGTAGATTCTTAACTCCCCTCAAGGAGGCTAGAGCGAAAAGAGATCTCAATGCAAATCTCCATGCCAATAAGAACATGCATGTCAACCAGCCAGATAACTAAGAAATTCAAAGTCGATTTCATGCCCCATCAAGAGCGCTTGAAAAGCTCATGGTTTCACGTTTTATAAATTGTTTTGGGTTAAGCTATTATCCTCGTAATGCTTTCCTTTTTTTTGTCCTTTCTAGAGCTATTTACTGTTTTTTTTCTTTCCTTTGATGTCAAGATTTAGTTGATATCTTTAGCCATATTTTGCTGTATCTTTTGATTCAATTTTGTTGTTCTGATGTACTCAGTGTGTGTTGATGTTATTGTTCTTGTTTCCTTTGTCTAATTCACTGTTTTTTTACTATTTTTTCATCAGAGATGTTCGTCAACCTCTCTCTCAAATTCGACTGAGTGTTTCTATGTCCCTTGGAGCTGGACAGATCATCTTCATCGCCGGAATAAACGCCACAGAAAACAAAGTTAGTGGGCTCTCTTTCTATCCATAGAAGGAATTTACTCTTTGCACCGTAAATATCTTGTCGAAAGGAGCACGATAACAATACGAAAACTTTTTCTTTTGACAGGCTGCCTGTGTTACAATAGCAGCTCTGATGCAGTATTTCTTCATGGCCGCTTTCTGTTGGATGCTGATCGAGGCAATTTATCTCTACTTCTTCGTTGTGAAAGTTTACAACATCAACACCAAGATGCACATGTATCACGTCATCTCATGGGGTGAGTTTATTATTTTACAACATGCACTTGTAGCTATAACAATGCATGCTTTCGGATCACCAAATCTGGTGTTGTCATCCATTGAAGTGTTTCGATTTCCTTCCTTTCTTTATGGGTAGGTCTTCCAGTGATCATGGTGGCCATTTCACTTGGCATCGCTGCTGGAAAAGAAGGGTTACAAAGCTATACGAGTGATAAATAGTGAGGAAATTCAACGGTTTCTTAATTCTCTTCTTCTTTTGTTTCATTTTATTGCATTCTTTCTTTTGTCTTTTTGTGTATAGTTTGAAATCGGTATCATTTCATTCGCTGAAAATTTGGCTTTCTTTCTTGTCTTTCACTTCTTCGAGTTTAGTTGCTGGCTTTCCTCGACTAACAACCTGACCTGGATGTTCGCCGCCTTTGTGGCTTTCATTGAAGTTGTGAGTTAATGATTCGTGTTGGTGATTGTGATTGGTATACCTGGACTAATTTCTGCCAAAAGACTTTTTTTCTCAGCTCTTTAAAAAAGCGGATTAAACCTTTAACTCCCAGAAGTGATCAACATAAAACCTCTCCTTGTGATATCCTTACATTAAACAGCAAACAGCTGATGAGAATATTTAAACTTATCAGGTAGAAGTTGTTGCCTTGATCTAACACCAGATTATAGCTTCAAATATTCTCCAACTTTTACTACATAGTGTAAAAAAAAAATAGCTTCTCCACCCTCCATGTTAATTTTTCTAACACTGTTTCGCATTGATATACCAAGATGAGTTTTTCGCGCTAAAGTTACTCATTTGAAAAAATTAATAATGATAAAAACATTGAAAAAGATAAAACGAGCAGGAAGAGTAGAAGATATTGAATTTATCTAATTTAACATGAGGCTTCACTTTGCATAGTTCATTTAGTTTAGACACTTTTGTTCGCGATTTCTTTAGCTCATTGTCAGAGCATCCAAGCTCATAATCTAGGTACCCTAGCTGAGAGTTCTTTTCCCTGTAAATGACTCTTCATTCCACTCTCCTTACCAAACAAATGACGTCTTTGGCAAGGATCCTCTCCTGCCTTGGCTTTTTGACAACTATTTCTAAATAATCAATTTATTTCTATTGTATTCTTCAGCTCAACATCTTGATACTCGTACGCGTTATAAAAGAGATCACCAATTTGGTGCAGCCAATAGCAGAAGACAACCATTTTCAGCAAATACGGTAAGATTTACATCATAAAACTAAAACTAAATAGTGGAAAAGATTGTCATGTGCTCCTGTGAGGCGATATTCGCCTAACCTCCTCATTCCTTAATCAGGAAGGCATTCCGATCTCTAACAATTACAATTTTTTGTCAAAAGAAAAAAAAAAGAATGGTGTTTTTTTGGTTGTTTTTAACTCCTAGACTTGGCATCAAAGCATGCTTAGTGATAATTCCCCTACTGGGTGTCACGTGGCTATTTGGTCTCCTTTCGCCAGTGCATAAAGCTTTCGCCTACATCTTCACCATACTCAACTCTACTCAGGTGAGTGTTGAATGGCTTCTCTCAAAAATCATTCAATCTCGATTAAACTTTTTAACCAGGCGATACAACATTACAATTGTTACATGATATTTATTGGAGTTATGAAAACAAAAAGCTGTTAAATATGTCAGAGAAAACAGATTTCTTCCTCATTTATGGGTCACGCAATTTTCTTTTCTTCTCAAATTTCTCTTCATACATATGTAAATATTAAAATATATTTGCCTAGTTTATTTAAATATTGTAAAAAGGAATGTTTATTCTGTAGGGTTTCCTGATTTTCGCTCTACACTCCATGCGAAACACTCAGGTAAGAAAAGAAAACTGTTTATACACTAACTGCATATCATCAAGTTGTAGTGTTTCAATAAATACCTGAGTACTAAGAACCATATTTCATGTCGCTCATCTATCTGCAGATCAAAGAACGATTCAAAAGAAAGATGAACATCGTTTTTCTATCTTCGATAAAGGACACCTCCATAAGGAAGAGCTCACAGGTCAAACCAAGTGAGATAGACATTGTATGGACAGTTGAATTGCAGTCTTGTGCTGAATTTGAATCGAAATATCGCACAACTTAGGTAACTGGATCCAGCAAACTGGAAATAATAGTCAATTACTTAGTACAATCACTTAGTTAACAGCTATTAGTCGGTTGTGATCGGTCTGAGTTACGATCTGCCGGTAAAGGTCATTCTGTTTATTATTGTTTAAGCACTCATGCAGTTGTAAATGTCACCAGTCTTCTTCGTGATTGTAAGTTATAAGTTTATTTTCTGAACGATCGTATATTTGTAGGCAAAACTCATCGAAATAAACCAATCTAAAAATTAAAATTTTTTATGGCTCAGTCAGTTGATGACTGCCCTTCAAATAAGACTACAGAGAGAACTACTGTGAAGATTGTTGATATAATTTCGAGGAACTTTGGAGACAACTGTGAGATTTTGTCAGTGGGTTGAGCTAAGATATGGTTTTTAATGGGCTTAAATAAGTTTATTTAGGATAAATACTGTACTTCCTTTAAGAGTCGCTCCTCGATAAGAATATTACAAGTTGTTTAATATTGTTCTTTCAGTCGGTTAAATTGTACCGTAATAAATAATACTAATAGTAGTAGCAGCTAAAGCGGACATTCAAAGTTGTTGCTCAATGAATAAATAGATGAATACGTAAATGTTTGAATAAATAAACAACTAATTTTAAAACAACAGAAAAAAACCCTTATGATTGGATCTTTTTTGAAGCAGTTACGTCTGCCCGTTTTTATTTTTTTTTCGCAATTACGTCGCGCGTTATACCCGAACTTTAATATAATATTCTCCTTCCGCATCCCTAAGATAAGGATCACCGTTTTTGAATGGAAATACATTGAATGATTAGGAATTCAATATAATAAGGGCTATGTTAGCCGGAAATGGCATAAACCAATAGATTATAACCTCTTGCGCAAACTTCATTCAACAGCGATTAAGGAACAATTACTCAGAGTAGACAATTTATAGGAAAAAAGCTTAGCGATAGAAATGCGGAATATTTCCATGGGCCTTGTTTTCAAGTATCACTACAACGGAGAGTCAATCATTGAAGAGGAATTTCAACAAGTGAAATAAGGAGTCGATTATGTAGATGTGCCTAACTCGGTTTACAACAGACTCACAAACTCCCGTTGGTAAAAACTTTATCAGAATTATCGAAATAGATTCATGTCGAACAAGCGGTTAGGACCTGCGAGAAGGCAGCCCTTTTTAAGTTTGTTGTTGTTTTTTTTTCGAGTGCAAACTGCGGCGGTAGGGGGTTATAAATAGCGGTGCTTAATCAGCAAGTTGCCTGAGATCAGATGAATCCTTTTTGCGCTAATTTACTCTGAGGGCGAACTTACTCTTACGTGGGGCCACGTAAAGAGAACAAACAGCGCGAAAAAAATGGCTCAATCATTTAGGATCATTCCGAGCGGTGCGATGCCTGAGTCACTCGTTTTACTTCACACATGCATTGGTGTACTCCGCTGATTTCTTTTCTTTTTCTTTTTTTTTGATGACTTAATAACTACATAGAAGTTAGTCTTCCTTGTTTTCCAAAAAGAGAAGAAGAGTTAAGGGGTGTATATGACTTTCATATATTCACAGTCGTTTAAGAATTAGGGGATTATAAAAACACCGAGGGAAAAACAAACAGTCAAGCGCCCGCCTAAAGCCTGAGGGAACAGTTAGATAAATATTCACATTTGGATCCGTTTTGTTCAATCCCTTTAAAAGCGTGTCCACGAGAGCACCAGGCAGTCGTGCTACATGCCATCTCACCGATTTCAATGAAACTTTGCCAGTTTAAAGGGTCTACCCCAAAACTCAAAAAGACGAACTGGTTTCTGTTTTGGATTTTTCCTGGGGGAGATAGACCACCCCCACGGTTTTTCTTAGTTTTCATCGAGGAAATCGCTTCAAAATAGGTAAAATGTATGAAGCTCTCACTGCGATGGTATAGTTTGCACACATACTTTTACATCCTTAGTTAATTTCCGCCGCAATTATCAGTCAGTTTGATAGACGGCTTGTCAATCAACAGAGGCAAATAAAAGACTGTGGTTTTAGACTTTTCGATTCATCCAAATATTTGACAACTTTGAGGTCAAATATCTCCCCTTGCCAGAAAGTTACAACACTAATCTTGATACCCCTTCATAATCCATAATTTTATCTCTGAAAATCATCAAAAAACTTTGGGCACTACCGTATTTTTGTCTTGGATGCCTTTTAAAATCTGCGACTGTGACAAGTTTCTCTCAACTACACCTGTCACGCAATTCTTGCTCTAGGCGGTCACTTGACCAAATAAACCTACATTTTTCAGCTCTTTATACAAGATAATTGATCAAGAAAGCTAAAAAATGTGAAAAACTTTCAAAATTTCTTGTAAGAATGGAAAATTTCACGTTGCTGAACATCACCGACTCCCGAACCACACTATTGACTGGGACTCTGCGCAATGCCTAACCTACAGCACCAACTACTTTCAACGCCTGACTCTGGAAATCTGGTTTACTAACTTGGAATAGACTCCCCTCAACAGGTGTCAACCACTACCGGCACCATACAAACGACTCATCCATGACATTAACATTACAAACGAACCGAACTTTACTAACGGTCGAGACTGACCAATCACGACCGACCTACGCCACTTGAGTCTTACAGCCAATAACATCGCGGCAAAACCGACCGATCAGTTTACACAAACCGGACTAGGAACATTCGACTGACAACAACTATTCCTTGGCTCTAAAGATGACTTCTGCTCAGGTTGTCGAAACGTCAGTCACCGACATCAGTCTTCCTCAGGACTACACTCACCCGGACGATCAGACTACACTATTACGAGGAATTCTCTCTTAGTCACTCATGGGAGTTAAAGGGTTAACATCAATATCCATATTCTCTAGACTCTTAACTATAAATTTCCATTGGTACTGTATTTGCTAGTTCAAAAACAAACTCACAGTCTGATCAAATTGGTATTCATAAACAAAGTAATAGCTAGCTCACCTGATTGTAACATAAAGAAAACCCAGCAAGGACCCAGCCAGTCTGTTGTCAGTTGTAAGACAGCAAAAAATGGGTAGAACAGGATCCCGTATACAAGAACAGTGACAATAATCTGAAAAACTAATTAAAACAGAGGAATTTTTTTTCTGCTTGCTCGTGTTGAGTGCTGGACTGCTGTGCAGGTAAAGGGGGTAAATTTCTAAAGAAACTGTGGTGTTGCATCAGTGGGAGAGTATAACAGGGTAATTAAGTATTATTGACTAAGCTGATAATGTAAATTGGCCAGAGTAAAGGGTTTAAAAGCTGACATTTTGAGCGCAATAGCCCTTCCTCGGAGCAATTGGAGAAATTGTGGGTTGTGTGTGTATTTATATGCAGAAAATGGAGCTATGTTATTGGTGGGAATGTGGTGACAGGAAAACAAGAATATATTAGCTGAATGAAAGGCATTCGTTGATACCATCTGGCTTAAGAGTGCCTATTTGAAAGATAATTTTTGTTCTGGAGTTATGCAGCCCTCTAAACTGCCTAGATGTAGGGAAAGGCCACAAAGTGCCATATGCTGCCAAGAATGATTGTGCAGATTAAAGTATCTAGCGACTGGTTTGGATGAGTCCTTGTGATTTCTTTTTACATTGCGAAGGTGTTATGGCTATGTTGGTAGCTGAGGGTTCAAGCCCCAGACCACAACAACACTCAGGTCTTAAAATAACTGACAAGAACATGCTGCCTTTGATACAACATCTGCAAATGGTTATATGTTCTAGTCTTCTCAGCTAAGGATGATAAACCATAGGCCCCATACTCTCCTACATCTTCTCTGTACTGGTTATAAGCAGGGGACATTAACCCCCTAACTCCCAGAAATGATTAACAGGTAACTTCTCCCTATAATATCCTTACATTATCCAGCAAACGGGTGATGAGAATACCCAAACCTTCTCAGGTAGAAGGTGTTTTCTTAATCCACCAGAAAAGTTCTCATAACTGATGAATATGCAATTGTGCAGCAGCTAGAGGGGAGAATTAATTAATAATCAGATCTTGAGAGTTAAAGAGTAAAACAACTCACAGACTTCAACAAAGAGTAACAAATGTTGCCCCCAGTGTGGCCTTCTTATCATTTATAGGGCCCACATTTACACCTGCTTTTAAAAGCCAAACTGAGCCAGCCTGTCTAAATATTCCAAATAAATAACTTAATATCAAGTTCACACCCACATCACAAATGGAGGCTGGGTGCCCAAGGGGCCCAGGAGTGCAACTACAGTCACACCCCAAGGTGCTAGAACACCCAACTGGCCTACCCAACGCTAAAGTGGCAGCTTGCTGAAATAGACCCTGCAAAACAAACCCTGCAGTTGGGGTTGAGGGGAGGAAACACCGAGAACTGCTATCCTCAAGGACAAGAATCCCACACTACAGAACAGCAAACACAACACGGGCACACGGTAAACCAACACATACACTGATAAGGTATACTGCTGGATGAGGACAGCCCCAGGGCCCTAACATCCACAGCAGTGCTAATGCAAACTATGCAGAATGCAACAAATACTGCACGGATGCTAACAGCTGGCTAAGACATAAACCAAATGTCTGAAAACGCTACTGACCATGCATGTATTTGCTCTTAGTCATTTAAACTGTATGTTAAATTCCATTTAATAACTATATTAAAATTTGTTCATAAAATAATACTGACCCATGGAAACTGAGTTAACCTATAGCTACTATACTCTTTAAAATGATTTTAACAGTGAGAGAAAAAACAAAACAAAACAAAACAAACAAACACTCAATTTATTCAAAATTAGGTTGCTATGGTATGACCACTTACCCTGCACCCATCCAGCTGGGTCAGGCATCTGAGAAATTCCATTTTTTGGTTGTAAAAACATATTCAGGCATGCGCTGGAAGTGGCTCCAAACATAACAGCCATGGTGAATCTGTTGCCAAAACCACTTAAAAAATCAAATGGTCTGAAAGGAAACCACACAAACATTGGTAAAACATAGGCAGCCAAAAAGCTCACTTAAAAATACACTCCCATTAGACCCATTCAATAAGGGAATGCCTCATATTATTGCACTGTGTTTATATTCTGACTGAAATGGCACAATTTCCTAGTAGATTAGGGGTAGGGGAGTTTTTTGGTCAATGAAGTGGAAAGTGTTACTTTTGTGATCCCATCTACCCATGTGCTGCTGGCCTCTTGGAATACCTGCCCTATTATAGTCTATTCTGTGGCCAACTGTACACCCCATCTGCTAAGTGAGTCACTTTACCAGAAATGTAATACTTGTGATCCCAACTTAGTCAATTTCTGTTTATAGATGCATCTATCTAGCTATACTACAAAGTCTTTTAAGTAGGTCATGATCCTAAAATGAAGCGACATATTTGTTTATGCGAATTTAGAACACTTTACTTTTCATCTTCAGTGCATTAATATTCTGATACATATCAATCTAGTTTGAATCTTCCTGTTTGTAAATCCTTATTTTGATGTATGAAAATTTTCCAAATAATGAAAATGTGTTAGTCCCCACTCTAGTAACTCTACTGAAAATGTAACCCCATTATAGCTAAGTAAATCATGAAAATGCCACCCAAATCAGCAGCACATCCCCTTGCCTAGTATTACAAGTAACTAGGTGTCACTTAGACCTAGGTACAACTACTTAAAAGTACACAATGATCAGACTATTTGGTGTTGACCTTCAATATAAGCCTTGACCTTTTTGCTTTATTAATCAATTCTGTACTCACATCAGCAAACCAGGATATCCATTGCAGTTTTGAAGTCCAGATTTGACCCTTTGCTTGACAAAGGCCAGTATAAAAATAATGACAAGCTTAAAAATAATAACAATACATGTAATAATAATTATCAGTTGTGCAAGCATGAAATTACAAGTGAAGTTTCAGCAAAACATCATCACCTGTCTAAGTTTCTGACATGAAACAGGGGGGAGGGGGGCACTTATTCCAGAGGGGTGCTTATAAGAAGAAGGGTGCTAAATCAAATTATTACTACATGTAAACGATTTTGTCATCATTGTCTGATGAAAGTTACTTTAGTATTTCACTTACAGCTGGAAGAAGACAGCCACAATCAAACAGACTCTCTTTGATAATGATGGGGCACCTAAATTGATAATTTTGAGGATGAAAATCTCTCAACATGTCTCAAAAAATGAAATCACAGAGACATCTTTGGATTAAAATAAATTTGTTACATTTTTAGGTTTCAATAACAAAAGACAGGTGTTACAGAACATTGAAAATTCACGCTGGAATGGAAAATTACAAAGCTAATAGATGACAGTGCAGGCAAATGCAGGAACAAGCTTCCTAGCACAGACACCAAATTCAAGTGTGAAGTGAGAAAGACAACTGCTCTTCCTTTCCAGAACAATAATAATAACAAATTGAAAATTATAAAAAAAAAAAAATCCACATACAATTTCAAAGGAAATAACTGAACGAGGCCTACTGTAATTTAAGACACAGAACAGAACGAAAATGATGATCTGTAATTTTAGAAAGAGAGATTTTCAATTTGCAAAACAAGAACCCGTGTGGAACTCCACTGTACGGAAGAATGAGAGGGTCCATTAGAAACCTCTAAGCCGTCAAAAAAATTATCCACAACCGCAAAACCGCAAAAAGATTCGATCAAAACCGAAAACCTCATGCAAAACCGTCAAAATCTTTAAGTGTTCACATCTCAGTTTTCAAAACCCTGATCGATCTGATACAGTGTTGACAAGTGGAGCATACAGAGGTTTCGCGGCAACTCGAGATCAGTGGAGGCGCATAATGGCCGATTAAATCGAAGAGAAACCGGAATCCAGATAGGAAAATCCGAAAACCATATTGGAAACCAAATCCGAAGGCCCATAAGACAAGTATTTATGACGAAAACCGAAAACTATATGATAAAGGACGGAAAATCCATAATGAATACCCAATCCGAAAAACCAAAATTCTTTGGCACAAAAACCGATCTTAAAAAAATATCGAAAATCCCAATGCCCCCCTTACGGATGAATCGGTCAGTTCAGTCCATAAATCACACAAATGATAACACAACAACCATTATTATTATTGAAACCTCAACGAAAACTTTTTTTATCATTATAATCAGAAACATGCTGCAAAACAACTTTAGTCACGCGATATTTTTTAAAGAAGGTGTCATGTCACGCAATCGAATTATTCATCGACTACGAGCTCACAAATACAGAAGAGGATTTGATCTCTGCGCGAACATAGTGAAGATTCAGCAAAGAACACCACGGAGATGTTCATATTTTCAGTTCGTTTCGTCTCGTTTATCAAATCGCAGTAAGCCCTATAAAATTCCGGAGATATGGTCGAGTCTAGTTTTACAATAGAGACTAAATGCATTGTATGACACCAGATCTTTGAAAGACAGACGCAAAGAACAGTGTTACAAACGTTAACTCTTAGACTCAGTTGTATCCAACTCTGCGCATAAACACTATCATCTGCTACCACTCAAGCAAACACAATTTAGAAACCAGTGTAATTTTAAGTTTGGGAAAATGTGCACCACCACATTCATTCCATTCAAGTCCAATCGCTAGAACTTTTTATACGTAGTTTTTTTTTATTCTATAGAGTCATTTTATATTACGTGAAATTGTTTTTGAATAACAGCGTATAAAACTTCAAATAACATTTTGCAAATTTCATGCTGCGAATTTGAATATTTTTCAATAAACAAACGATATACCTCGAGGAGACGACAGCGCAACGAAATAACCCAAATCGCAGAACGAGCGGGCGCGAATCTAGGGCGCATTCATTCATGGAAATATCGACATCTACAACAGAGTACGTACCCCTGAGAAGTGTTCTCCGCGGATCTATTTGCCATTTTCCAAAGCAATCTATTGGGGCAACTGCACGTGGTTCAACCTCCATCGTCTGACGGCTCCTTTCGTGTGGTTCCGCGAATAGTCCTTTTTACAGTTCCCGGCGCCATATTAGATTAGTAGCCGCGCAAACACGATAGCGAGGCTGCCGGTGACCCGCGTATTACAAAAACAGTAAATACAGCTGATCGGAGAAGTCTTTCGTGGTTCAATCGCTTCTAAAATGGTGCTAGTTTGCAAGGATATGCAGATTACAACGCTAGAAGATATCCAGAAGTTAAAAGTGAAGCTTTAAAGGGAAATTTTGCGTTCTAATTCGGAAGCGACGGGCAGAATAAAAGCAGATTTGGTTTTAAAAGTCTACGCGATACTCATGCGACACGTGCTACGACCGGGTGAGTATCAGCAGCAAAGTAGCGATAATACTGCTCAGGATCACCAGAATACAACGGAAAATAGTGGTGACTTCAAGTACGATGAAACTTTAAGACGAATCTCTGCTCTCGGATGGTCCACTGATTTACGTCAGCTTCCCGAACTAAATTTTATTCAGCTTTACGATTACCTGGTTGTGTCAACGCGCAAGTACCGCCACATTGTGCTCAAAAAACAAATTACTAGCATGCACTGTGTAAAAATACATGTACAATTTCATTTTTAAATGAAATAAAGTGGGAATTTTTGGTTCCATGATAACTTACTATATGGAATCCCAATAGTTATTAATATGCATTGACACGCAAGTGGTATTATTTGGAATACAAAATTAATGGAACCCAAGGGGCTGATTACGGGAAGCAGGCTTAGACTGATAGCTGGGCTTCTGCCACAATTTTAAAATGCAAAAAAAGTAAACATTTCTACCTAATAATAAATAGACAGCGAAAACTAGAATCAAAGATTGGCCGGTGGTAGTAAAGGGGGGTAAAAAGTTTGTCAGAAGGCCACAGACAGTTGAAATTTGTGTTGCATAGGGGCTCAATGTATTAGGTAAGGTACCATCTAAAATGTGGTAGGTCTTAATGCGGCCAATTGCACGCTCCACGTGAATGCGCACTGAAGCAATGCTCATAGTCTCTTCAGTTTCAGCTGCTGTCATTTGATCACGGCCAGCCAAAAATGGTGGCATGTTTACTGTAACGCCAGCAGGTACAATTGCAGAAATGTCAAATCCGCGATCAACCATGACATTATCACCCACTTGCAACAAATCTAATACACCACTCTCTCTTGTTATTTGCTTGTCAGACACACGCCCACCCCAGAGATCTGACAAAAAAGTGACCTGTCCATTTGGGGTTACCCCAACTAACAACTTCCAAGTATTATGGTGTTTATAATCTGACCATGTCTCTGACTGAGCCAGCATAGCAGATGGTCGCTGAATGAATAGCTCAGTACAGTCTAAAATTATCCTGGTTGTGGCATACTGGGCAAACTCCTTAGGCATGTTTTTGCAAACAAGCTCCTGTGTGGGAAATGGAAACAGGTCCTTGAGCTCATGATAGAGCAAATTTATCCAGGTGATGCAGATCCTGGAAACCAGGCTGGCACTGATGCCAAATCTGTCGGCAAGGTCCTGTACAAATAGACCAGCTTTCAGTCTCATGAGCACCAGTAGGAACTCATCCAGAAAAGTAAGCTTCCTTGATGGTCCAGGTTTACTCTTGTTATCATCAAGTTGATAAGGCTGGCTTTCCTTTACTAGATTTTCACCCTTCCAGTACTGCATTTTGGAAAGCTTTGGCTCAATGTATTTGTAGAAGCTTATTAATGCCTCATAACTTGGGAATCCGGTGTAAAATAAAACAGCAGCATTGTCATCTTTAATTTTGTCAATGGAAAATTGACGTTCCAATAACACAGCATTTTCCTTTTCTGCTTCACTGAGTTTTTCCTGGCAGTCAGCTAGCTGAGTTTCAAGTAATTCAATTCTCCTTTGCAGTTCAAGGACACAATCAGGCTCTGTTTGAGGGGACTCGCACTCCACTTCAGCAGCATTTTCATCACACTCTGAAAATGAATGAGCAGCATCAGTTGACGCATCAATAGAAGGAAATACTGAGCAGGATCCAAACTGCAATGCTGATGCTGCTACTCCAACAGTTGACTCATCCATCTTTCTTTCCTTTGGTGCCTTTCTTTGGTTTGATTGCTTTGTCCAGCTAAATATACATGGCTCTGCACCTTGTAAATAAATAAAACTTATTAAATGTGACAGTAATCATTTCAGATTTATTTATTATGAGTTAATCTGCAATTAAATTTATTGCTTTTGTGAAGTCCAGCAATATTAATAAGCATACATTAAATATTCGATCATTCAGTGACAAAAATCACAAGACATGAAACACTTTAAATCATAAAGTTTACAATAAAACAACAATCGTCGAATAAAACAACCAAAATCTTTGATTTGGGAAAAATTAAACGAATCCTTGTTTCTAAAGACCAAAATATCTTTGAATTTTGAGTTTTTCATAGCTCAAATCACGAACGCACACAACAAAAGCTCGACAATATCACAAACCTGTCTTCAAATTCCAGCGACCAGAAAGTTTTTTCGAGATATCTTCAAATTCCAGCGACCAGAAAGTTTTTTCGAGATATCTTCTGCCCGAAAATGCTCATGACAGAGGACAGTGGCGGTGGAAACAACAAAGCCGTCCTGTCCGTGTCGTCGCTTGATAAGTGAACACCACCTATTCCTTCGCTGAGCGTCCTTGGGAAACTCGAAGAAATGATAACTTGTACGAGTACCGTTTACATTATAGGCGCTATTATTGCAGTCAAAGGCTGCACAATACTTTCCTCTTCTCTTTCGAGGGGCGGAGGATGTTTCCCCGACGCTTAAGCTTTCATTCATCCCACCAAAGACTCGACAAACCAACGAAACGCTTGAAAACACCAACAAACTCTTATGTGACGCCCGAATCGGGTCACCGGCAGCCTCGCTATCGTGTTTGCGCGGTTACTAATCCAATATGGCGCCAGGAACTGTAAAAAGGACTATTTGAATTAGATCATGGTTATCTTGTGACCCCTTATCTTTCTCAGAAAATTAGCGGAAGAGAAATAGTAGGAGTCTGGAAGCTAGCTAGGTTGGTGACCGCTGACTGAAGTACAAGAGATTTTCAAAGATGGCCCGCAATGTAGGAGAGTGATGTGAACACATCACTTTACTAATAGTTTGTTAGTCGTTTTGGTTCTCAGCGGCAGAATTTCGCCAAAATTGGTATGTATTGCCATACATGGTAAAATTTCCTCTGTCATGAATCTTTTATTTAGCACATGGTAGGTAATTTTACAACAAGTTTTAACCAAGAGTTTCATTCCACTACATATAATTATCTAATCCAAGGTATCTTTCTTTGGTATGGTACTGTGTGTTAACTAACTTTGTTGGTGTAATTTTCAATAGTTTGTCTGAGTATGTCAGGGTAGCTGAGTGAGGCTGATAAGTTACAGTGTTTTGCCTCTTTTATCTTAAACAAGGTCATTAAATGAAGCAATTTTGTCTCATTTCTTAACTCCCAAGATCTGTTTGCTAATTCTCCCCACTAGTTTATAGACGTTTCCTTGTGCATTTGTTATAGGAATTTTTTGTTAGGTCAAAATAACTTTTTTCATTACCCTTTTGTTGAATATTGTTTAGATATTTTAGGAAGAAGTTACATCATGTTAATTACATCTGGGAGTTTAAGGGTTAAACAGCGTGATGTGATACACTGCTACCTAAATTTCCCTTAAGTTCGAAATATCCAGGACTTAAGCATTCCCTACAAATTTGTTCAAACTGCAGCTTTGACACTTCTGCAAATTTTGACAAGTACTAGTTAATCTTTAATTTAATAAGACTGAAGGGAAAATGAAATTTTTGATTAACTTGAAAAGTGATTGATAAAGAAACATTGAAACTTCACCTTACTCAAACTTTTTTTTCCACAAGCCTGGTGTGTAACCAATGTGCCAGCAATAAATTTTAGATAAGTTTAATTTCCTGATGACTGGACTGAACTCTTCTATTTACATGCCATTGCCAGTGGTTTCTAAGTAAAGTATTACAAACATAATACATCAAGAACAGAACAACTAATTACAAGATTGGAAATAACACAGGAAATACAAGTTCAGCAGTACTGTAACATGAAATATGTATAACAAAGACAACACTAATAATATATGAAACATGGGTCACTAGACGAAAGAGCAATTTACCTGATGATTTTGGAATATGGCTGGCATAACAGTGTACTTGCAATTACCTTTTAACTCAAGCTCACACCTTTTTTATTTGCATGATCCACGCAAAAGTCAAACTTATATGGAGAGTTGCGTGGACTGGGGCTTAAGGAGGGGATTGGTATCTACACCTGGTGTCTTCTCTTGATTTTCTGAGCTGGAAGATAATGTCTTGTAAGGAAGCTGTGCTCCAAGGAACAACACCCCCCCTTGATCTTATCCAGTTTTATCGTTAGTGAATTTATCTCACATCTGTGTGAATAAAAATATGTCATTGTTAATTTGCTGGTCAGAGTTTATCAAGCAGTGAAGATGATGACATTGCCTGAAAACAAAAACCAAAAGTAAATCAGAAGAAGAAGAAGAAAGGAAAAAAGATTATTTACTCAGGTTATGTTTTAGGGTGAACACCAACAGATTAGAAAGGAACAGATGTTGAGACTCTACACAAACTCTTATACCTCTGTATAAGTTTTAATGGTTTCAATGTACATGTAAGCTAGGTAGTTGTGCTATACAGTTTTCTTGTCACTTCCCACTGCAATTTGCATTATTACAGAAACAGGGTGTACGTACAACATCACAATGATGTCCTGACCCTATTTCTAAATTAATCTTACATCTCTGTTAGATTCTGATGAAGATCCTCTTCCTCCAAATATCAGGTATGTGATTTGTTTCTTGAATTTTGTTCCCTTCCATACAGTTGTAGTTAATCCTTTAACTCTCAGAAGTGATTAACATGAAACCTCTCCCTATAATATCTACGCATTATTCAGCAAACAGGTAATGAAAATATTTAAACTTATCAGGTAGAAGCCACTGTCTTGATCTAGCACCAAGCTCTCATAACTAATTTAGAAGGAAATTTGTAGCAGCTAAGGGGGAGAAATAGCAATCAGATCTTACATGTGGGAGGGTTAAACTTTTGGACCCTAATATCACCCCTGAATCAAGAATAAAACAAATGGTCACCAACTATAGAAGCTCTTGATTATTAAACAAATTCTTCTTGTCAGCACCTTAGAAAATGCATAGAGAACAGTATGGAGAATATGGATACTGATGTCAGGTTGTATTCAGAACCTGGTTCTCTTTCATGCACTTTCAGAAAAGCCACATCAGTAAAGAAGGAGGAGAGTTCAAAAGCTAAGAAAAATAGAAGACCAATCAGTTTGGACTCAGGTAAGGAAATTATGTCGACTTATTGAGGCTACGTCATACTTTTTACATGAAAGGTGATGTGGAGACTTTATCTTTATGGGAGTTGTGATTCATCTTTTTTTACAAGTATATTTTTAATTTTTATAAGATTTACAGTTTTAGGTTAAAAAGAGTGAAATTATGAATTTAGTTTAATTTTTTTCTTTGGTTTTATTATGATGTTCAATCAAGTGATATCCTCTTGTCTGATGATTTTCTTTCTTCGCATCACATTGCTGCTCAGGTGACTGTGAATTGGTATTATTGTGAGAAATGAGAAAATTGATCACTCTTAAGAGTGCAAATTTTAAGCTTGATCCAGAGCTTTAAGCCTACAAAAATGATCATCCCTTAATTCCCTGTTGAACCATCAATCATGTTTTTTGTTTTCATTTCCCACAGAGATCTGACCCAAAGTGAATAGAAAAGAAGAGTATAAAAATGGGAGAGAAAAAGAAGGAAGAGAAAATGGGAATGTTAACCGTCACACAACAGAGCAACCATCAAAGAAAAGAAAGGAAAACTTCTCAGAATCAAAGTATGAGGTTAAAAGCCTTCCCCTGAGAAGAAAAGGGTTTGTATGCCTTTGATTACCATACTTTATTGTTGCAAAATTAATCATTACTATTAATACTTAATTGAACCAGCTACCCTGATACTAGAATGGATTGGATCTGATATGATTGCATGTGTAAGGTATGTGTCATTAAGCACTTACATAAGTTACTTTTAGATGAAACAGTAACACTTTATGACTAAATTTGGCTTTGTTTAAGATCCAAAAGCTTACTCATATTTGTTAACTGGTGTTACATTTTGTATATGTAAACCTGTCCTACTAATGACACATTACTAACAATACTTGCAACAAAACATTACTTACAATACTAACACTACTCAAAATACTACCATTACTGTACCTAGAATTTATACAAAAACAGTAACAATAGTGACAAAACTTTTAGGTACATTTTTGGTGATTTTAACTTTGACAATCCAGGAGGATGTTACTGCCTTGTCTCCATTTTTCAAAGCAGCAGTGTCTTTTACTATCAACATTCCTATTTGGGACAACTCTTGCCTTGTGAGAACAACTCTTTGCTGTTAGAATATTTGATATACATGTAACTTTTATTCACTTCAAATTGTATCCATGGACTTTTCAGGAAGTACCGAAGACAACTCCTGCTAGCAAACTGGCTGCCAAAGCTGCCACAGTTCCAGATAAAAGATGTTAGTAAGGAAACTCGAACCCAAGGAACACCAAAAGGTGTCAAAATCAGAGGAAGTGGTTGAAGTTCCACCCTCATTGGAAAAGACAAATCTGGCTACCATGGTTTTATGGCGAGAGATAGTCCTAGGGCACTTGGTTCAAAGGAAATCCCTCAGGTAGGTTTTAAAGACCAAGATCTGATTGTTAATTCTCCCCTCTAGCTGCTACACATTTTTGTGTAAATTAATAATGAGAGTTTGTTGTTAAATCATTATAACAAACTACATGTACTTGATAAGTTTTAGTATCCTCATTACTGGATAATGTATGGATATTCTCAAGAGAGGTTACATGTTAATTTCTTATGTTAGTTAAATTATTATTATCTCTCAAAGCTCTTTATGGTTTGTTTTCCATCCTTTCAAATTTTAACGAGAGATGCAAGACAAAGGAAAATGAAGATTATTAGAATTAAGTCCTATTTGGAAAATCTGCAGATACAGTTTATGCAAAAAAATTGTAAAATACATGCTTTGATTAACCCTTTTACTTCCAAGATGTCAATAGTAATTCTCCTTACTGTCTGTCATACAATTCTTGTAATGTTAGTTTGGAGAATTTGGTCTTGGATCAACTAATAATCCCCTGGCTGATATTTGTCTTTATTCTCATCACTTGTCTGCATGATATTGTATTGATATTGTAAGGAGAAGTTCTGTCTTGGTCACTCATGGGAGTTAAAGGGTTAAACAAAAAAATGTATTTTATCCTTTTACTCTCAGTTGATGTTCAAATGTTGGTTCAATGTCAGTATCTGAGAAACTGCCCACCTACCCCTCCCCTAATCCAACATTAACCCTTACTTGTAAGCAGTTGATGGTTGTTGGGTTAGGGGAGGGGTGGGTGTGCAGATGCTGACAATGATCTGAAATGTTTATGGTGTATCTACAGAGTTTTTTTTCATTTTTCACCATTTATAACTTTTCAGTTTGGACAGTATTAAGAGGCCTTCAAGGGAAGAATTAATTATTTGTCTGCATATCTTAAATTATGCATGCACTTGATAATAATTATAATATTTAGGAAGCGGAAAACTGTTTGAATGGACTGACATTTGTTATTACAGGAATCTTGGAAAGTATTGAGAGAGAGGAGACAGCAGATCTGATTCAAAGATATGGTGGAAAAGTTACCCAATCAGTGAGCAA